ATGTTCACTTAATTCCCGAACCATAACCTATACTTTCTATCCAATTTTCACCATCGTTAAGCTAAGAGTTGCACACAGATATAATGCTTTACATGAACCATATCATTTTGGCATCTTACTAGTGGTAACCATTTAGGGGTCAAGTGCCAGGATTTATTATTCTGCAGTTTGCATTGATTTGATGCAGTTTCCATGTTCAATCAACAATAAACGTGCGGTATTAATGTGCTCAAATGGCCTAGATTCAATTTTGATTTCCACTTCTGAAACCATATAAAGGAAATGGTTTCTGAATTAAATTGATATACATGATGGCATCAAAAATCCAGTTTCACTACAGCTAAAGCCAAGAAAAGAATTTAAACTTAAAACGATTTCCCTCAGCAATTCACTGGGCTGACTATAAGGTTTTAATGTTGTTGGAGAGATGGGTGTACTTACTCATCATTAAACTATTTTTTAAAAATGGCATGTCATACTGGGTAGCAAAGATGTGTGATCGTGCCTAGTTCTACATCTTCAGAGTTCTTTTAACCCTGCTGTGGACAAAAATAATTTGCAGGGGGTAGTGTAACTGTAGTTTCTTCCTGAATATCTCCACTGTATACTCTTTTAAGCACCTTAAGGTGTCCTTCCTCATCCTCTCCCTTGCCTCCTTCAAGACCCTCCTCTTCAACCGTGCCTTCGGTCACCCTCCCTCCCCCCCCCGCTGACCACCCTTCCCGATCCTGACCTCCAGCTCGCGTCCGAAACATTGATTGTCCAGTGCTTTAGGATGTCCTCCTGACGTGAAAGGTTCTGTACAAATGTAATTTTGTTGTGGTACTAACATTTTTAATGATTGCTAGACAAGTTTAATTGGTTGATTCCACTGAAGTGCGTGAAACTTTAATTACAGCCCTCCAACTTGTATTGGGTCATGATGCGCTATCGGCTAACCTTGCAATGCATCAATATTATATTTATCCACTCGGTAGTTTTAATAACGACGTAAAACAATTTGTCTACTAGATTGGATTGGGGTCAGGGGAGGGCAATTTCACGAACAGCTCATCAGAATCAATACACTTCTTACAACCTAAGCTAAGCATGATCAGATAATTAGGTGGGCAGGTGGTAAAATACTGAGTTTTATTTTATGCTCATCTAGTTATCTTTATATAGAGCAACCTATCACAGTAATGGTACTTGCATGCTCTCACTTGTCTTGATACCCAACCCATCTGTACTGTGATAACATGGCACAGAAACAATCCCTCAAGTTATGATGGATTGTATAGGAAAACAGAAAATTGCCTAAATATTTTGCCTACAAAACATAGCTAATTCACTTTATATTATATTCTGTGAAGCGCTTTGAGACGTCTAGAAGACATGATAAGGTGCAATATCAAATGCAATGATTATTGTTATTTAAAAATTAGTGAAATTTACCGTATTTTGCAGGAAATGGCAGTCACATTTTGCAAAAAATTACAGCGAGTTGATCAGTGCTATTGAGGTACATTTTAATGCCAACCTACATTTTTCACTTTATTGATTAAAAAGTAAACATGAAATAACATACATTAGATTGTTGCAAAACATTTTCATTACATTTCTTCTTTAACAAAAACTGGGTGGCCCATTTTGGTGGGTGGGTGGGCACCAGCACAGACCTGCAGAAGACACACAGAGAGAGGGAGACAGAGGCACACTCATAAACACAAAGGAACATATACACACACACACACGAGAGAGAGGCACACTTCCACATTCAGATGTATTGAAGTGACACACACACACACACGTACGTAGAGACTCTCACAAACAATAACAAATTACATTTGTGTAGCGCTTTTCACGTCAAGAGGACGTCCCAAAGCACTGGACAGTCAGGGATCCACACCCGAGCTGGTGGTTGGGATGTCTACAAGACGTGATAAGGTGGGGAGGTGGAGGGCAGGGAGGGTAGGGGTAGGAGGGTGAACGAGGCATGATCGAAGAGGAGGGTCTTGAGATGGGTTTTGAAGGAAGCGAGGGAGGGGATGAGGCGGAGGGACTGTGGAATGGACTTCCAGAGGGTGGGGACAGAGGACACCATTGGCGGGCGGGTGGGCAAGATGGGGCACGTGAAGCAAGCCGGAGCCCGCTGAGTGGAGGAAGTGGACAGGTTGGTAGGACGTCACAGAGGTAGGGAGGAGAGGAGTGAAGCTGTGAGGGCTTTGAAGGTGAGGACCTGGATCTTGAACTGTATCCTCTGAGTGATGGGGAGCCAGTGGAGCCAGGTGAGGATAGGGGTGATGGAGACATAAAGAGAGACACCCACATATACATAGACAGACACACACACACACAGACATAGAGAGACAGACATAGAGAGACAGATACACACACACAGACATAGAGAGACAGACACACACACAGACATAGAGAGACAGACACACACACATAGAGAGACAGACACACACACATAGAGAGACAGACACACAGACATAGAGAGAGACACAGACAACCACCACAGCGGGGCATTCCGAGTGGCATCCTGAGCCGCGCTGCCTTTCAGTAGTGTCGGCAGAGAGTGGCAGGCAGCGGTTGCTTCTACACAGTCCGCCTTGCTGATCGTTGGGTGGGTGGGTGGGGGGGGGTTGATTCACCCAGGTCCACGCCAACGCCCCTGTGTGTGAGTGGAAGTATTGGAGGCCTGGTCTCTCGGAGGTTTGTCGCGCTGCACCTACTGCTCGCCGCCCCACCCACAGTGACGTCAGATAAACAGCTGGGACACTCGGGGCCGGGAACCTCATTGTTTAACGGGTTGAGAGCGGAGGCGCTGTTGATAGCGGATTCCGCGGAAAAATTTCCATTGGCCCAGGTTATGATTAAAGGTCCCTGGTTCCATGTACCCTATGCGTACATTTAATGAAACAGTACTAGTTAAACTATGACAATTTCCATAACCAATGACCTCCTTAAGAAATAAAAGTAACACCATATCGAATCACCATATAGCCGTGGTAAATTTTGGACAGTTTTCTTTTTAAAATATACATATATATATATCAACAAAACAATTTAACTAAAAGGACTGTTGAGCTGCTTGTAATGATTGTAAATGGTAATTATCCAGTGAAATAATAGTTATTTACTTAAAATTAAAATCACAAAGCGATGAAATGTCATACCTGATTTATTTCTGTGCATTTCTTTCGGTTTTCCCCTTTTTTTAAAAAAAACCCTCATAAATTAACTCGAAATATGTGCTTATTTATAGATGAGAATAAAACTGCATCTAATTGTGGGAAGTATTTATATATTCACACAGTTTAAATCTCTCAGACGTTGCAATGAACAGAATTTGGAGACTTTTGCATCAATTATTCCATCTCTTTCTGATCAGATGACTACTTCCATAGGTTTTCTGTGCTCACTGTTAATTCGGCATCTGTCTGCTCGACCTGGGCTGACCTCTTTTCACTTGGCAGAGTTCTGGCCACCAGAAATACTGAGAGAGGTTTTAGAACATGATCCTTGATTTCACATAATCATAATTTGTGGTGTATTTAGAAATGCCCTTGCATTTGTGCTAGTTTTGACTGTTATTGGCACTGCTTTGCTGTTTCTCTCTCTACAGTCATACAGAAGAGAATATTTGATGGAAACAACATGTGGCAGATGGCGGTCATACTTACATAACATATTTGTACAACAAATAATGATAAATATTTGCATAAAGTATATTTTTTAAGAAAATTATAATAACATTTTTGATTTTAGAGGATGCTGCAGATTCAGTGATTGTGAATGACTGTGATGTGAGGAGTCAAGTAACCCAGGCATGCTGTTGGGAATGCTCAATCAACTCAGTGAATTAGGAAGGGAAGAATAAGCACAAACAAGCATCTGCATCCAACAATGCACCAGTGTAATATATGAGCAGGCATTTATTTTTATATACCACTGAGTACTCTGAATACCTCATAAAATATAGAAGTAATGAAACATGATGCAAAGCAGCTTTGTATTATATTATATATAGCAAACTGAAGACCCTTTAAAGGCAGATCCTCCAACATCTGAAAGACTGTTTAGATGATGTGCTTTTGAAAGTGTCAGGAAATGCCTCTCTCTATTTTGCTCTTTCATAATCGTACTTCACCTGTCGTGCATTTCCACCACTTTTTTTAAAAAAAAACTAGCTCCTGCCGTGATAAGGCGCTATATCAAATGCAAGGATTATTATTATTTTGCAAATCAAAAAATGTACGCAACAGCATTTTGATTTTTTTTGTATAAAAGACCAACCAACCAACCAACCAACAGCCAGGCACTGTGGTCTGGCAAGAGTCTGCTGAGACAAGCAGCTTTGCTCTGTTGCCTTTTGTTTCCTGGTTAGAGGTAAAATAGTTTCAGACATGGAGTACAATCAGTAACCACACCAGAGCTGATTTTGCTGCTTTGCTGCTCCTCTGGCACCAAGTGTGTGTGTGTGTGTGTGTGTGTGCACACAATGAAGCAGTAAACCTGGAGTGATTTGCAGTATGAACAAGAAAGAGGCATTACAGTGAGGCTGTGATATATATATATATATATACACACACACACACACACACGTGTGTAATGCATATACATGTATTTCAGGAGTGCCTTTTTTAGATCAAAGGGAGGGAGAGGGTTATTGTAAGGCACACTGACAACATCTCCAGGGGATGGGTGGGCAATGATTATATTTACTGTGTGTATATATATATATATATATATATATGTGTGTGTATGTATAAACACATATTTCACATTATATTTATGCATGTAAACACAGATATACCTGTGTGTATATATATATATATATATGTGTGTGTGTGCGTGTGTATATATATGTGTATATAACATGTACACAGAGTTGCAGGCAGGGAGATGGTTAGATACTGACAGCAGCTCCAGTGGGCGGGGCTGGGCGGGGTGGGGCGGGGCTGTGGACTCAGTTGGCGTCAGGCAACTGCGCGGGCAGCTGCGGTTCGGGGGGGAGGGAGAGACAGACAGACGGAGGGGGGGTCCTGAGAGCCGGCTCCAGGACAACCGGGGCGCGAGGGACCGGGACCGGGCCTGAGTTTGAGCGTCGCAGCGCCCGGTAAGGTTCCTCCTCTCCTCAACTGCTCTCGGGAACAGGTTGGACCGACGGCGGTGGGTTCGGCCTCCACCCTCCCTCCCTCCCTCCGGGCGGGCGGAGGGAGGATCCTCTCCTGCCACAGAAATGCGACATGGCCGCGGCCGTAATCTCCCTCTCCATCCCCCCCCACCTCACCTCACCCCCCACCCTCATCCCTCCCCCCCCCCCCCTATCCCTCCCCCCCCCCCCGTTATAGGCCTCGTATCGCGGTCCGGTCATTGACGCCCGTCATCAGTTCTAACCCCGGTGGCAGCAGGTGTTTTACTTGCAGTGATTTTTTTTCTCCTCAACCCGCACCGCCCCCCCCCCCCCACCCCTCACCCCCAGACGTGTCCCCCTCCTCTCCTGCCAGGCTGGGTGGGTGCCGGGGGGTGCCGGGCCGGGTGGGTGGGTGCCGGGGTGGGTGGGTGGGTGGGTGGGTGGGTGTATTTATTGTATTGATTCCAGCAAACATTTCAAGTTCCAGAATGATCTTGCGAATGATTTTGCGTAAAATCGACATCGAAACAATTCCTGTGTTTATTAAAAGCCCGTTCCCTGGTCAGTGTCTGAGTTGGGGGGTGGGGGGGAGGGGGAGAAGAGAGAGAGGGAGGGGGAGGGGATGGAGGGAGAGAGAGGGAGGGGATGGAGGAGGAGAGGGGTGGGGAGGGAGAGAGGGGGGGTGGGGATGGAGGAGGAGAGGGGGTGGGGAGGGGGGAGAGAGGGAGGGGATGGAGGAGGAGGAGGGAGGGGATGGAGGGAGAGAGAGGGAGGGGATGGAGGGAGAGGGGGTGGGGATGGAGGGAGAGAGGGGGGATGTCTTGTTTACTGCCTCATGTTCCGCCCTGTTTTGCCTGTCGCCGGGCACCGCTGCCGCCGCCCTCGTCTTTGTTGCCGACCCGACGAGAGCCGATCCCATCCGATCGATCCGGCTCCCGTCGGGTGGTGCTTTCCGGTTGCCCCTCACCCCCCCGCCTGCCCGGAGGGGTGGGGGCTCTGAGCAAAATCCCCCCCCCCCATGTTATTTGCTGTCTGTCTGTAGCCCCCCCGGGTCAGGGCAGAGCGGGGCGAGGCCACAGGGCGTTTCTCCTCCCCCCGCAGCCGGTGGTGAGTGAAATAGTCGAGTGTTTGTCCAGAGGCGAAGGAGGAGGCGGCGGCGGCTCTTAGTTTCTGATCCGTTATCTTGTCTACAGGCGATTGTAGATCTGTTTTTGTCCTTTAATCTTAATCGGGGTTTTCAGTTTATCTCGACAAGGCCTGGGATCGCCCCCCCCCCCCCCCCCCCCCCCCCCCCAGACCGGGCAACGACGGGTAACGTTTAGTGTGTTGTGTTATGTTATGACCTCGGGTTTGTGTCCAGTGTTCGGCTGTGTTGCTGTTGATGTGCTGCTCCTACCATTAAATGAACAGCCCCCCCCCCCCCCCCCACCACCGTAGCACAAGGCATCAGGGACACGTTTGTATTTTTCTGTTCGGCTCAGGAATTGTTGCAATGTAGATTTTACGCAAAGAGATCCTGGAAGATCTTTAAATGCGCGTTTGTCTGTCAGAAAGGGAGAATGGGGTTAGTTCGTGTGTTCTGAATGTGGTATTCAGTCTTGTGGCGTTGGGGTTCAACGCAGAGTGAGTAAGCGGTGGCTTCGTGAAGTGATTAGTCTTGATTCGTTTTTGAAAGATGATTTTTTTAATTAAAAGAAAGAACATCAATTTGCTGAAACGAGTGGAGAAAATGGTGTGATGTCTGTTCACATGGCGCACCTTGTGGTTGTTAAAATTGGTTATACTGCTGACTCAGCCACACCTATTATAACATTTTCAGAATATGCCAACAGGGTTGCTGATGCATCCTTTTTGTATCCCACTAGGAGTTGTGATCAATTATCAGTGATAATAAACCAGGGTGGGCCATATTGTCACGACTGCTTGTGTTTGGTGTAAAGCGAGTAATTATGGGAAAACTATGAAAAGCTGTCGTGAAGTTTTGATTAAAAATTGTCTCTGTGGTCTGATTAGTCCAATCCTGTTCAAATTTCCCTACGTTCTTAGCGTTATTTTAGTTAATTCGCTGGAGTAAAATATTACATTTTCATCAAATCTAAATCAGTTATTTACTGGTCTATATTATAGGATATATGATGTATTTTGTAAGACATATTGTAAGAAATCGAACATGCATCACGTATGGAGGTTCTTTTCTGAAAATGTTCTAAGTTGTAAACATGAAATTCAAAGCACTTTCATGATGCTGCCTTAAATGTTGTAGATCATAGTTTCCATGGGAAATGGTGTAGAATGTACAATTGAACTTTTCCCCCCTTTTGTGGGTGGTATCCAGCCTGTGTTTTCAGTGCTCATGGCAATATTTAGAACTCCGCATTTAGATAATTACCGACGTGAAACTGTTGCTTCCTGTCACAGTGGCATAGAGCGGTAGCTCTATTTGGTTGTCTCCCGGTCTAATCTTTGATGAGCTTAATGTGGTACTTGTTAAATTACGTGCTTTTTATTTTTAGGTCTGTTCACTTGAAAAGCTGTAATCATGACAGCCGAGGAGACGATAAACGTTAAGGAGGCTGAAATTATCAAGCTGATCTTAGATTTTCTGAATTCAAGAAAACTTCATATTAGCATGCTTTCTCTTGAAAAGGAAAGTGGAGTTATAAATGGGCTCTATTCAGATGACATGCTTTTCCTAAGGTAATAGTCTCATATTTTATTGACTGTTAGGTGAAATAATACATAGTTGGGGTTCATAGGGATTTGCCTACAAATAACATTACTACATCTAAGAATAAAATCCTGTGAAGCGCTTTGAGATGTTTCAAAATGTTATAAGGTGTCATAACAAATAGAAACATTTTGTGATTTCCTTAAGTAATCACATTGACTGTTTCAAGTCTGCCAGAAGCCAATATTTTTATTTACATGAATAGATTTTTTTATTTAGTATTTATTTAACAGAAAATAAAATGACAACCCAAGAATAGCATGAAAACATTTTGTTTCTGGGGTGAAGATGTAGCTGATGTTAAAGTTAATGGAATCGTGTCCTTTACTTTGTGGAGAATAGGATTGATTGATATGTTCTACTAGCTTGTGGAGGAGTTTTGGTAGAAAGCTTTCCTTGTGATTTAGGGAAGAGATTGAGTGGGACAGAGAGGAATAATAGACAAGTGAAACTAGTTCTGAAGAAGATAATAATCCTTGCAATTGATATAGTACCTTTCATGTTGAGAGGATGCCTTTTACTTTGGGAGAATGTATACTAATAAGACGAAATAATAATAATAATCCTTGCATTTGATATAGCGCTTTTCACGTCGGGAGGACGTCCCAAAGCGCTTCACAGAATATACTGTAAAGTGAATTGACTGTATATTTGTGGGCGAACGTGGCAGCCAATTGCGCACAGCAATGTCCCACAAACAGTCGTGGATTGAAAATGACCAATTTATTATTGTTTTTTGTTTTTTGGAGGGATTATTATTAGGCGTGTGGAGTAAGGAAACTTGCCCAAGGTTTCGCCCTCTGCCTGGAATTGAACTCAGGTCTCTCGCTTGCAAAGCGAGTGCTCTAACCACTGAGCTACAGGACTCCACGAAATGTTCTGTCTGTGTGTCTGCCCACCAATAATGCAATAACCGATTGACGTAGAGACATTGGATTTATACCTTGCATGTGGAAGTGTCATGGGCATTTTTTTCAGGCTCCTATTGTGCCCTAAACAAGCTCATCATACACACGTATGGATCTAATCAGGAGTCCTCCCAACCAGGAGTCCTCCCAAAAGGATGAGTATGCAAATATGTAAACAAGGGTCGCTAACGAGTTCAATAGCACATTTTCTTAATCTTCAGGGAAAAAGATGCCTAAGAAGCGAAGATCGGGCCCTTGAAAGACAAATAAAAATGCCAGCCGAAAGAGAGAAGGCCAATTAAATTAAACTAGTTGCAAGCATAGCTGTAACGCTTATAGCTAGTATACTATAAAGTGTAGTAACTGTATTTTGTAGGCAAACTAATATAGGGGCTATACTTTCTTAACCAAAGCAATGTTGTCTTATGTTCATTTACATTTTTCAATATGTTCCATAAAAATCAATTATTTTGCAGACAGTTAGTACTTGATGGCCATTGGGATGAGGTACTTCAATTCATCCAGCCACTTGAGTGTATGGACAAATTTGATGGGAAAAGGTATGCTTTCTCTGCTATTGGTCCCTCCTTTCTCTTTAAACTTCAGATGCCTTGAAACCACTTTCAAGGTGTTTACAGCAGTGAAACACTATACAGTACAGTTTAAGCATTGTATCGATATTTATGTTCTCTATTCTAAGCTTTGATTGAGATCTGATATACAATTGCTTTGACTTGTGGAAATCTGCTGCAATAGTGCTCCTTAATCTTATAAAACACGATCATTTAACTTTTTAAATATGCTTTTATAGATTCCGGTATATTATACTAAAGCAGAAGTTCTTAGAAGCTTTGTGTGTGAACAATGCAGTGTCTGCAGATGACGAGCCTCAACATGTAAGTACAGGAATTAATAATTTGCATTTACATGTAACATTCAACAAAGTAATCTGCAATGCTTGATGCATCATATAGTTTCCATAAATAGGCATACAAAATGTCCTGAAGATTAATTGCATCGAAGTATTTTTCTTTTTCTAGTTTTGCCTGAATTTAATATGTCAGATTATCTTCAAGATGACATGATTTTGATGGCTTCCTCACCTATCTCTCCAGATTGAGTGGATTGTACCTTCTCTGAGGAAGTTGGGTTAGATAGTCTGCTTTAAACTTTTGGTTAATGTTGCTCTATAAATCGACTGCTACAAAATATGCAGGGTGTTTTATTCTCTGTCTTATATCTCGGGTCCACTTTATGCAAAGTTATATTTTATATTTATGGGCATTGATACAAAATAAGGAGATTGATTTTAAAAACATTTCAGAAACATTTTGAGAGGATGAATGATTATTACCAGTATTTGTTATAGCTAGTGGTCATAAGCTAAGGATTCTTGCTGGAAAAATTAAGGGAGGTTATAAGGAACATTTCCATGCTGAGGCTTGTTAAAAGGATGGAATGAGTTTAAATAAAGTGTGTAAGTGTGTATGTTTGAACCTCTCTCATACCTTTTACCTCTCTCCTCATCCAATCAACAAATTAATAAATCTGCTCTAAACTACCATTATTCTTTTCATCCGTTCCCACGTTTAAGAAGTTTCCCTCATTCATACAGTATTAAATTGCCAAAACAATTATAGTGGAAGCCAGCAAGCAAATATTTGAAACTGAGACAAGTGTATACTTGTAGCATTATATATATTTATATATATATGTGTGTGTGTCTGAGTATATGTGCATGTGTATATATGTATATATTTATATTTTCGAATGAAACTGAAGGCTAAATACATTTAATAAAAAAAAGAGATGCATCTTCATGTTTTGTTGCAGTTGGAATACACAATGCAAGAGGCTGTGAAGTGTCTCCATGCACTAGAGGAATACTGTCCCACCAAGGAAGACTATAGCAAGCTATGCTTACTTCTTACCCTTCCTCGTCTGACCAACCATGCAGAATTTAAGGAGTGGAACCCCAGCACTGCTCGAGTCCAATGCTTTGAGGAGGCCTGTGTCATGGTGGCAGAGTTCATTCCTGCTGATAGAAAGCTGAGTGAAGCTGGTTTCAAAGCAAGCAATAACCGATTATTTCAACTGATCATTAAGGGCTTGCTGTACGAGTCTTGTGTGGAATTCTGCCAGAGTAGAGCCACTGGTGAAGAGATCAGTGAGAGTGAAGTTTTGCTTGGAATTGATTTGTTGTGTGGAAATGGCTGTGATGATCTTGACCTAAGTCTTCTCTCCTGGCTTCAAAACCTATCGCCCAGTACTTTCTCTTGTGCTTTTGAACAAAAGGTTTTGAACATTCACACGGACAAACTTGTGAAACCCACAAGAGCAACATACTCTGATCTATTAACACCACTAATTAATAAACTCTCTCCTTACCCATCATCCCCATTGAGGCGCCCACAGTCTGCTGATGCATACATGTCACGTTCCTTGAACCCAGCATTGGATGGACTGTCATATGGACTCACTAGTCAGGAGAAGCGTAATGCTGATTTAGTAAACCGAAGTTCTCCAATGTCTCATTCTTTTGCTAATTTTCATTACCCCGGAACGCAAAATCTTACCCGAAGTCTTTTAATGGAAAACCCAGACTGTCACAGCATATATGAGGAATCACCAGAAAGGTTAGTTGGTAACTTTCCATTCATTGCTTAAAAGTTTTAGGTTGAAGTTATACAAGAAAACATACTCTTAAGTACATTTTTAATAATAATATTTAATAAGCTTTTTCATTTTTATTCTGTAGATCTTCAATACAATTCAGAATAGAGGATTTTGTTATTTAGCCTATGTTCTGTTTTCCATTGTGAAGACTGTGATAAGTTAACCAAGAGAGGGCTCTATGGACCTTCTAAGCTGGTGGTTTGACAACAACAAATTACACTTGTATAGTTCCATTCATGTCGGAAAGACGTCCCTAGGGGCTGGATAGTTGGGTTTTTGGACCCGAGTTGGGGTCAGGAGGGGGGAGGGCAGTGGGGGTGGGAAAGTGACTGAAGGCACTGTCAAAGAGGAAGGTCTTTAGATGGTACTTGAAGGAGGCAAGAGAGTGGGTGAGTCGGAGGGATTGCGGGATAGAGTTCCAGAGCGTGGGGGTAGAGATGCTGAATGGCCAACCACCAATAGTGGGGCAGGAAGCTCAGGCGACCTGAAACAGGCCAATATCTTCCAAGTGGAGGGAGCAGACAGGTTGATATGGAGTTTGTGCCCCCTGGGACGTTCTCCCGACGTGAAAGGCGCTATACAACTGTAATTGTGTTGTTTTATTGTTAGGAGGTCAGAGAGATGGGGGGAGCTAGACTGGAGGGCTTGAGTATCGCTGCAATGAAAGGAGTCTTTTCCAGAAAACAGCCAAAATTGGTCAAACTCTTTACTTTTTTGTGGTTCTGTTTGTGTATGTGTGTGTGTGTACAAAATATTCCAAGGCTGCAGTGGAATTCAGATACTCTTAAACCATAGAAATGAACCTTAAATGTTTTTTGACCATATTCCACATTCCTGAGATAGCTAATTGTCTATTATAACTATAGCTACTGTTTTGCGACATTAAAGTGGTTTCGAGCAAGCTATTTCATGGGTCAATTATTATGACTAGAGGAGGGGATACTGGAGGAATTCTAATGAAAGGCCTTGTGTGACCTGACTAGAAGAGACAGCAATTTGCTGTAATATTGCTGTGGGAACATTGGCAATATATCCGGTTAGGCATTTCATTATGGTGCATCCAGTAAATCCAGTGCTGAATATCATTGCTCATTTGGTGTTAGTACATCGAGTCCTAGCTGCACAAGTTATTCCAGCCAACCTTTACTCTTTGTATCTTTCAAATTGAAAAGAATCTCACAAGAAAAATAAAATTCCCAGACCTTTTTAGGAGATTGATATGCTTTGAACTGTGTGACTTCAGTTTCCCTACTTTATATAGTTTCATCCTTCTTATTCTCTACCGCTGCCCACCCCCACCCCAGCTCGCACACGTTCACTTGTCATTTCATCAGCATATGTAAACTTGAGGAAGGAAACTTAACTATTCCCTATCTGGTTGATGTTTATAAATTCAGTGAAACATTCAGGTGTGAGTATAGAAATTGCTTCTAGATCAGTAGTGATTTTATTACATGTACAAAGACTGACTTGTGTATAATTTATTTTTGAAAATAGCATCCTGTAAGGTTTTACCTTGTGCTAACACCATCAAACAATAAAATAACAGTAATTCTGATTATCAAGAATTTTTAAATACCATACGGATGCATTATAGCTGGATGAGCAGTTCTTTCTCCTCACAAGAGTCCCAGGTTAAATATATAAGTGATGCTTAGTGTTGTTGACTGGACTCTCATTCGTTTACTTTTGATCCTTGACTGCTATGGAAGAGCGCTAGAAGTTTGGGATGCCACTGTAGACTAATGTAAGGGGAATTTTCTCCCCTTACTACTTTTTCTTGGTGTAAATAATAGCCTTTTGCTCCATGAATTGGCTTGCTTATCCTGATGTTCTTTTCCCCCCCCCACCCCCAATGTCTTCATAGGACCGAGTCCCCTCTGCCCAGAGAGCAACATTGTGATGGTGGTGAAGCTCTTATTCATAGTGAACCACCCGAACTAGATTCCTTACAAGCATCTACAAATACAATCACTCCCAAAGTGGAAAAGAATGAGGTAGTTGTTGGATTGGTTGAATGTGTTGTTTTTAATGTTGCTAACCGGATTAGGTTCTGTGATGGGCACTAAGCTTCTGGAACCAAAGGAATAATGTTTTCAAATGTTAAATCGATAAATGTATCTCCTATTTGGAGTAGCAGTTTAATTTAGCTCTGAAAAAGTGAATGCTTTAAGCCAGCTTCCTTGGTTACAATAGCTTGCCTGCAAAATACAGTGATTTTATAATAAATCTTGTGAAGCACTTTGAGATTTCAATCCTGATGTGAAAGGCATGTTATTAAATGCGAGAACTAGTATCTTGCATTTTGCAGGTAGGACAAGATATGCTTTCAGGCATATCCTAAAATTATTAATTTGGAGGGTAGAGAGCAGAGATGGAGGGAAAGAGGAGAGAGTTCTACATGTATGATGACATTTTGTAAGCTTTTTGATTAGGTATGAAAGGCTTATGCATTTTTGTGAATTTTTGAAAATTCTCACTTATTGAACGTACAATGACTCTTGTACACTGATTTCAGTTGGTGAGATTTAAAGGACTATATTGGGTTATTGGATGTATTGCTTTGCTACTGTTATGTACAGAAATAATTGGCTTGGATATATATTGCTTCTTAATTTTTAGTTGTATTTTTTGTGAACCTTACCTTACTCTTTTTGTACCATTGTTTATCGTTGATGGCTATCCATTGTTTTGTAGCAACATCATGTGCAGATAGATTGTTGCATGAGTTGCCTAAGAGAGTATTGATTTGTTTTTGAATAGATTTTCTGTTTTTAAAAACTTCTTAGGACAATTTAGCACATTCTCTCAAAACAGATTTTGTTGGACTAAGTGCATTTTGGGCACAAGGAATCGAAGAGTATTTTGAAGTGCAGAATTATTAATTACGGTTTGTTATTACAACACTTTAGAATTATATGTGTTAAATACATCTAGTCTTTCAGTGCACTTTATAGATGGAAGTTCTCTGAATTCAGGTTAAAGTCTAAATTTTCAGGATTGTTCTCTGTTAAGATTTTCTCTGTATTTCACAAGACAAAACATCCAAATGTCCTTATGCTGTAGTCTGGAAATGTTGCCAAATTGCATGTTCTCTCATGCAAGACTGTTTTTGTGGCTTACAATAGTACATTATACAAAAGGCTTTCTGTCCTGTGATCAAGTGCAGCTAAAATTCTCATCAGCTATGCTTGGTAAATGCTAGAAAGTGGCAAAGCTTCCTGGAAATGAACTTTGTTTACTTTCAACCAACAATAGTGCCTGTTCGGATAAGTTACATTAAATTTATATCTATTCGTTTCTCTACATCTGCCTTTTCTGCTACGAAGGTCACTCTGGATTGCTGAATCCACAAATGATTAAGTTATTGATCATCACAAGTGGGATATTAGTCAGTAGTAGCTTGTATTAATTTATGGGAGGTAAAAAAAAATCTGTTTCAAAACAGTCTTCAAGACACCCAGCTTCAAATAAATATTAAATGTTATTCCCAGGCACCCAATATTTTCTATGCATTTTATTTCAGGAGGCTGTACATTTAAACAACAACAGATTATTGTTTTGAATTTGTAGCAGGAGATCTTGGAGGTAGTGTTATCATTTTTAGCTCCTTGTTCAGTTGGGTCTGGTTATGTTTATTCTTAGAACATTTGACAATTAACTGAGCGTATTGTGTACATATAAGCATCATTATCTGATTGAGCTAAAGTAGAAAATACTATGCTAAACCCTTCTCTTTATTTTGTGGCAACAAAAATGTAAAGATTCATTTGGTTGTTTGTCATTTGCTTCATTCACCCCTTTAGCCGAAGGAATCCACAGAACATTTACAGGAATACTATCGACAGCGAATACGCTACCAGCAACACTTGGAGCAAAAAGAGCAGCAGAGGCAACTATACCAGCAGATGTTACTGGAAGGAGGGGTCAATGAGGAGGATGGAGCAGCTCAGCAGCAGAACCTCACTGAACAATTCCTCAGCAGGTATTTTCAATTCTCATTCTCTCATGTCAACAGCCCCTTCCTACCCCTTCTCAAATATGAAAATGATGGATCATCACACTGCGGTTTTGGATCTTGAAACAAATGCATTTACTTTGCATTCTCACAAAATATTCAGCAGAAGTAATAACTTAAAAGGCACTCATAAACTTTTTGAATAAAATCTTTCTGCTATCTTATGACCTGGGCCAATAGAAAAGTGTGGGCACAATTTTTCCACTAAATCCATTACAAATGCCCCATCCACTAAAAACCTATAAAAAAACAGTGTGCTTGGCCCTCAGTTCTCACCCTGCTCTTGGCTGTTTACTCAACCCCACTGTCTCTGTCTGAATATTTGTGTGTGTCTCTGTGTCTGTGTGCGGTGGAAGGCCCCGGAGACGGGAGGTGGTGACCTCTTGGAGCCCTGCAGTAAGGACATTGGCCTTCAAAAGTAGTTTAGGGTGGAAACTGACAATTTGGCCTTCGGGCCTGTGCTAATGCTAATGAGTTGCTCTTTGTATTGATTGAAATTGACAATATTTTGTGCTTTTTTGCAGATCAATGCAGAAACTAGAAGAAATGAATTTAGGAATGGATAACCTCAGCACTGATGTGCAGACTGATAACCAGCAGTGTAATGGAAACAAACCAAATACACAAAATGACTCTTTGTCTACAAATTGTTTGTCTAATCAGCAATGTTTAGGAGATTTGGAGAACTCGAGCCACTGCACAAGTACTCCATGTAAACTCAGTACAGAAAACCTGTTGCCCTTCACTGAAGAATCCCCAGTCTGTTCTGTGCAAAAGTAAGCAATAATCTATTTTAGCACAGGGGTTAATTTGTTTTCCAAATGCATGACATAATGTTAACAACAACAAGATTCCATTTATTGTTAACAAATAACAAGAGATATTGAGGCAACAATATATTTGTAATAAAAACAGAAGTCGCTGGGAACACACAGCAGATCAGGCAGCATTTAGGGAGAGAGGGTCAATAACCTTTCGACTGATGATAACTGAGTAATAACACTGACACAAGTTATAAACAGACTAAGTCATCTGCCCACATGGAGCCCTCCAACACATGCACTGCTAATTGCCCTTGAAGTTATTTTCCCCTATAACTTAGGTGCTAATTTATTGCTGTTCTTTTTAGATGCAATGTCCTACCTTAAAGTTCTCTAAGTGTAATTATGAATTTGTCTTGTAAGTAACAAAAGCTTTGTATTTTTTACGCAGTGCCAATTGTTCATCTCCATTAAGAGATCCAAATGGAAAAACTCCTACGGCTGGAAATTTGTCAGTCAGTGAAAATGGGGTAAAGCATGGCGAGGTAACATTTTGTTGCAATGTTGTTTGTTTATGAATTAATCGGTGTCTGAAATGTTTCCAGTCATGGTAAATATAAAATGTTACTTATTTTGAAAGCTGCTAAAAGGGTGTTTACGATGTTTATCATTTCACTTTGTACACGTAATAGGACGATGAATCAAAAAAACAGTTCATTGCCATCACTACCCTGGAGGACACCCAAGCCATAAGGGCAGTAGCATTCCATCCCAGTGGCACTCTTTATGCAGTTGGCTCTAACACAAAAACTGTGCGGGTTTGTGCTTACCCAGAAGTTATTGACCCAAGGTAAATAGTTTACTTGTTACAAGTTTGATTTTCTGGATCTTAAGAACCACATAAAAGATAATTTTTTTCTCTTGTGAAAGTTTTTAAATGTGTATTTCAGACAATATTTTCTGAAATTAATTTTAATTTTTTTTTAAAAGAAAAAAATGCACTTGAGCAAAATGCTTTGTTGTTGCACTAAAACTGTCTGTCGTGCAGTAGGCTTGGGTTGAATGTTCTTGACTTCTGGTTATCCTTTTAGGAAAGTACTAATCAGAAACTCAGTAATTCTCAATGAAGGGTAATATAGGGCAAGTCAATCTGGGATTGTTTTGTATATCTATTTCTGAGTGACCAGTTTATGAGGAGTGAAGCTTTGAAGCAGGTCACCTGGTCTATCTCGATTGTGGCATGGTGTAAAGAAAATGGCATCGAGTTGGTTTGGGAAAATGTAGGAAGAAAAAGTTTTTGCATCAAAGAATTTTGTAGATTTGTCTTTTATGGTTCAGGAAACAGAAAGCTAAATTTGTGTTCAAGTCAGCATTTTCCAGTTAAATAAAACAATTGTGGATCATAAATATGCATCATAAAATCCGCGGGAAAGGAAAACATTTAAGTTGCAAACATTTTTCATTGTTACAAATGTCGTAAATATGAGTACATCCTGTATCCTGCCTCCGAACAAGTTTACAGTAATGTTAAAAGGGTGTTTTACTTTAATCTTTATCATGAATATTAATAACCTGTGCATATAGTTATTTACTGTCTGTGGAATCTTGCAGTTAAAGTTGCATGTTTAATGTTTATTGCCTGCTTATAGATTTTCACTTTTTTGCATCTAGTGAACAGAATTCACCTACACAACCTTCAGTGAAGTTTAAAAGGAATAAACACCACAAGGGTTCTATCTACTGTGTGGCCTGGAGTCCTTGTGGACAGCTGTTAGCTACTGGATCCAACGATAAATATGTGAAAGTGTTGCCTTTCAATGCAGAGACCTGCAATGCTACAGGTATAGTGTATAGTGGATTTCAACTTTTTAGTGTTTAAAAGGGTTTGCAAATTAATTGCAATTGAATCTTCTCCCAATTGGGAAGTTGTACTAAAAGGGTATTTTGCTGTTCAAAGTGTTTTGAAGGGTAACTGATGTGCAACTATTGTGCAACTCGGATACTGATCTGAGCCATGTCAGGGATGGTTGCAGCTCTTCTTTGGGGGGAGAGTGATAATAGGACAGGGCTGCCTGCTTAGATGGCCACAGGAAAGTTAGTTGATGTGGAAGTAACCTCTCAGAAATATATTTCTCTACAAGTTTTTTAAAAATAAAACCTTTTTTTTGAAAAAGTTGATTTTGACAGAACATTGTACAGTTTGATGATGGGTTGTTATTCATTATTCAATATTTACTTGATCTCTAATGTATTTTTCTGTAAATTCTGTGAACCCAAAGTTTTATTAATGTCCAGTAGAATATTTTTACCAGAGAATTCCCTCATATGTTGGCATCTATTTGGTACAGGTCCTGATTTAGAGTTCAGCATGCACGATGGTACAATCCGAGATCTTGCATTTATGGAGGGCCCAGAAAGTGGAGGAGCTATCTTAATCAGTGCTGGAGCAGGAGACTGCAATATTTACACTACTGACTGTCAACGAGGACAAGGTTTACATGCACTCAGTGGACATACTGGTATGCAATCAAAGTCGAAACGTGCTTTCATAACAGAAAATAAAGAATTCTAGTTACTGTTTATTTAATTTGGTGATAGTTTTTGTTACTTAAGGTGTGAGCATCAGTGTTTGTTCTCTGGTTTTAGGTCACATTCTGGCACTTTATACTTGGGGAGGCTGGATGATTGCATCTGGATCACAAGACAAAACTGTACGATTCTGGGATCTGAGAGTTCCAAGCTGTGTTCGTGTTGTTGGAACAGCGTTTCATGGGTCGGGTAAGTGTTACTTTGCTGATTGTCAACCAACTATTTTATACAGTTTGAATTTTGTTCAACTGAGCGGATTTTACACCCTATGTTTTCCATTTTGAGGCCGTTAGACCTACAACAACATAATACTTTGCATATATATAGTGTCCTTCATGCGGGGAAGTGTCTCAGAGCACTTATTAGTGCAATTTACAGAAAAATACATTAGTGAGCAAATAAATATTGAATAATGAAGAAACCTAATTTGCAGCTCCCATTTTTAATCTTTAGCAGGCTGGCAGACCTATGTATGACTAGTATGACTTTGTTTTTATAACCACTTGTGCAGGCAGTGCTGTTGCTTCTGTGGCTGTAGATCCAAGTGGCCGTCTCCTAGCCACAGGCCAGGAGGATTCCAGCTGCATGCTGTATGATATTAGAGGAGGGCGAGTGGTACAGATCTACCAACCCCACAGCAGTGATGTCCGTTCAGTGCGGTTCTCCCCAGGAGCTTACTACCTTCTCACCGGGTCTTATGACACCTGTGTCAAAATTACAGACCTACGAGGTAAATGTTTTAGGTGAATTTGAAAATCGAGAACAATTTATTATATGTCGATTTTCTCTATTTTAAATTGTTTATATTTCTTCAATTTTCAGATTTGATTTTTTCCCTTGAGATCGGTTACAAGTGATTGGTTTCACAGATTCTACCTCACCCTGGTGATTCTTGACATTTTAAGACAAGATATTGAGTGTCAGCTGGCTCCTTAACCCAGAGCCTGACCCTGTCTTATTGCCCAACATCCACATGTGCAAGCTGGGAGTGTGGACATTTGATAATGATCAGGAGCCATGGATAATGGTTCCCTGGCTACGATTTTGAGACCTGTAACACCCCTTCCCCACCCTGGCTGAGACAATTGCTTGCTCCAAACAAACAGTCCAGGGACAAATTCTGGAACTTTTCACTGCTCAGTGAAATCACAATATGTGTTTGGGTGAAGAAGGCCCTCGCACATAAAGTCATTGGAAAGCTCCAGAAGTCATTTTTATTCATATCTGTAATACATTAATTGGTTTACCTTGTATATGTATTGAGTTTTAATACATAGAATATGATGCTAACCTGGATGAAGGGGTGGGGGGGGGGGTATAGGTAAACATTGGTTTCCATTGTAGACATGTATAATCTTTGATCTTTTATTCATAGGGGATCTGATGAAGCCACTTCCCACGACTGTAGTGGGTGAGCACAAGGACAAGGTAATTCAATGTCGATGGCACACTGAGGACCTATCCTTCTTATCTTCATCTGCTGACAGAACAGTCACCCTTTGGACTTACAACAGCAGTTGACTCACCTCTGCCAATGCAGACAAAGCACAATTGTAATTGTAATCCAAGATCTGAATTTATTGGCAATCATGGATTAATAACTATTTGTAGCTGGCGAGTGGAACATTATGTGGGATGGCACAGGCCGGTCGGTGTGTGGTGCTGTTCATGCTAAATGAAACTGTTGTTTGTGCTTGTATTATGCTGTGCTTAAGTCTTCCAATGTGATCACGCTGCTGTCACTGATAGAGCCCTGTTGCCAAATTTACACGATGACTTGAGTTGTTTGTAATGTACAAGATGAAGCAAGGCAAATGTGTTTGGTTAATATTTATGACATTCCTTGTTCAGTGTGCCAGCGACTAATGTAGAAAGCTGGCTGTGTATTATAGAGCTCTGTTCCAGTTGTGTATGTTACTTTTACAGCAAGTCACAGTGAATTGAAATTAAATCAGCAGTTCCCCCAAACAGGAAGTTGTAGTTTACCTGTAGAAAGTATTAAAAAAAAGCTGGCCAGCTTATAGCAGCACTCCCAACGTGAGGAAACAAGATGGTTGACAGAATATTTTGAATGTAACTTATTTGCTTTTATACTTCATGTAGCATGGCTTTCCACTGTGTGCACGCATGGATAATATTACAGTATTTACACCATCTCCCCCCATAACCCTAATAAATTCTCTTCTTTTATTTCAAGTTTTTTTTCTAAAGTGTGAAAAACAGTTACTTTCCTTGATATATTCTGTTTGTATATGTAATGCTTATTATATTTTCATATTGTACAGTTTAGTTTAATTTAAACTCCTAAATGTTGGGTTCATTATTAATATTTAACTTATGCATTTGTGCGTTTGGCTACAAGAACTAAAATGTAAGCACCTAAGCACTCCTGTTTAGTTTTTCTAACCATTGTAATGAGTGAAAAGTTAACCTGAGAATTTGGAAGTGTGATTGTGCAGTGTTTTCTCAATAAAGACCTTTATTTAATACAAATGTAAAAGGAAAACGTTTCATATTGTGACTGGAGAATACATCATTCAGTATTTGTCTCATAATAGTAGCACATGTGAAATACAAAATAGATTTTCAGAATTGACCTATTCTGAAAAAATTGTAAAAGTGCTCAAAAGAAGCCACCCCAGATGAAGATTGGTTTATAAATACAAATTGTTGCTGTAAATCAGTATTTGAGTCCTGCAGTTCAGTGGTTCCTGCACTTGCCTTGCAAGTGAGAGCTGGGTTCGATTCCCGGCCAGGACGAAATGTTGGGCAAGTTTCCTTTCTCCGCGTGCCTCTGTTTACTTAGCAGTAAGTAGGAAGCCGGTTGTTAGTCGATTGGCGGATTGCTTTTCTGGGAGTAATAATTCCTTAAAAAAAGAATAAATTGGTCACTTTAATCCACGACTGTTTGTGCGACACTTCTGTGTGCAATTAGCTGCTGCGTTTCACCCACAAAATATACAATCAATTCACTTTACAGTACATTCTGTGAAGCACTTTGAGACGCCTTGAAGACATGATAAAGAGCTATATGAAATGCAGGATTATATTGTTGACTTCCAATTTCATTGCAGTCAAAATTTATATAGCTGTTTTTACTGATGGTTTTATATCATCAGTGCCATTGTACTTACTCTTCGTTGGCGGGTACAGTTTAGTATTCAATGGCAGAGCATTGTTGGGAGGAGTCTGCGAACAATCACCTTCTGACGGTCAAGAAAAGACCTTCAGTGTTCTGCAAAAAATCCTAAAAAGAATACAATATATAAAAAAAATAAAAAATGTTCAAAACCTAGAAAATCAGAAATAAATGCTAGAATTACAAAATGAAATTAGTTGGTTCATACAAGCACGAGTTAAGTGTTTTAAAATGGATAGGATGAGGGTAAAGAACTATAGCCGCATAAAAACAACTGCTCGTAGTCAACCATTGTGAAGAAAGTACGATGCTAGTTGTCAATTTATTTTTCAGTATCTGAAAGTGGAAGAGAAAAAAAGGGCTAGGCCTTAGAGAGCTGCCAACATGTTTACAGTTCTGGGCATGAAATCTTTTCTGGTGGCTTATGTGTTGACATGTTGAGATGGTTCTACACCCTTAATTTGTATCCACGATACGGTTAAGAAAACTCAACGGTATTTTTATTAGGGTTCGTTCAGAATCCAAAACTCCCTAACTCCTCGGAAATAGTTCTCAAGTGATTTTGACAAATAACAAATGAATTACACAACCACGAATTACACAAATAACTAATCAACTTTAACAAATATTAATTATGAGGTTAACGTATGTGCACCGAACCAACTCTTGACTCAGAGGGTTTGTTCCTCTAGTCAGTCAAAACACAAACCTTTCTGATGTGATCAAGTAAAAGCGACCAAGAGCAACCTGGTGCTCTTTTAAGAGCAATGTGATCCCATTTTAGGGTATTCAATCTGAATGCATCTGCACCAATTACTTAGTGTAATTAATGCCCTTATAGTCTAATCGGAATCCTCCCCTCAGTTGCCCAATAGGGGACAAGTACATTTTTCAATCCTTCATTTGAATATAACCCCCAAAACTGTTGCAACTGACGCCTTTGGAGCCTTGATGGCACCATCCGTGTCACAATCGTATTTAAATTCATTTCAAAATGTATTTCAATGAATATTACTCTGAAAACTGATATGCGCATTTCCGAAAGTTCGGTGTTTGTACGGGTTTACCCAAGTGCGTTCAGGTCAGACAATACCCACCTTTAAACACGTAATGCTTTAAACTACACAATAGAAACATTAAACACTTTCAACAGGTTAACATTTCCAATGCAACAGAAGATAATAATTATTAAAGACAGGTTATGTAAAAGAGGGGTGACCATGACAATGTTCATGGTACCCACTTCGGGATTGAAAACTCTTATTAGCGATTGACGGATCCCAGCAATGGTGCAGCTGTGGAAGTGGGCAATGAGAAAATCACCTTACAAAGTTACTTACTCCTGACTTCCAATATAGATGGTGAGATCTGAAGCGAGGTGAATGGTAAGGAATACACGTGCAGTTTAAAGTTAGAATGAAAGTTTATAAAAAAAACGGCAACTACAATTATCATCTGCTTGTATACCACCTCTGCTCAACCCCTCTGTTCAGCTAACACAGGACTACTGCATGTTCCCCCTTGTCACCGTCACATCTGCACCATCATCGGTGGCCAAGCCTTCAGTTACTCTGCCCTAACCTTTGGAACTCTCAAGCTCTCCACTTCACTCCCTCTCTATCTGTTTTTAAATCTCACCTCAAAATAACCTCTTCAATTGTGCCTTTGGTTTCCTCCCCCTTCTCTCTTGGTCTATATCCAACAATGCCACTGACCAGCTTTCTGGGTTCCCCAAGCCTTGGCTCTTGCGCCTAATACTTTCCGGAATTAGGTAAGCAGGATGCCTCCCTCCAGGATTTCCATGTGTAAGTGGGATGCATGGAATTATCCGCTTAGTTTGGATACTTTTAAGCACGGCGATGGGCTTCCACGTGTGTCAGACCCAAAAAAAAACATCCCAGGGGGAAGTATGCTTCTTAACATCAGGGTGTTATTCCAAATCTCACTGCTGCGAAGGATGCTGCATCACTTGCGCTGTGTCGTGTCAGTCGAGCAATATTGCACTACTGTACATGCTTCCTGCTACCAATTGTCAGACAGGATTGTGCTGAAGGTAACCAGGAATCTGCAGTTTTCCCAGATACCTATGCTGTCTAACATTCATTCTACAAGAGGTTAACCTGTTTTTTTCTTCCCATCCACCACCACCATCACCGCCATCAAAGCAAATGGCTCCAACTCGCAGGTAATAATAATAATCCTTGCATTTGATATAGCGCTTTTCACGTCAGGAGGACGTCCCGAAGCGCTTCACAGAATAGACTGTAAAGTGAGTTGACTGTATATTTGTGGGCGAACGCGGCGGCCAATTGCCCACAGCAATGTCCCACAAACAGCCGTAGATTGAAAATGACCAACTTATTATTGTTTTTGGTTTCGGAGGGATTATTATTAGGCTCTGTGCGCGGAGTAAGGAAACCTGCCCAAGGTTTCGCCCTCTGCCTGGAATTGAACTCCGGTCTCTCGCTTGCAAAGCGAGTGCTCTAACCACTGAGCCCCAGGACTCCAGCAGGTGATGGTTTAGAAAGGGTGGTTTAGAAAGTTGATAAGTGCACGTCAGCAGTGCACGATTCACTGTGAAACAACACTGACGCAAAGGCTGAACCTGCAGCCAAACCTCCTTCGTCATTGAAGCGCTGGATACCTCCTTCCAGCACAGGCTGAGCCCCAGAGGCGGCGAGTGACATGATCTCTGGGAAGTGTAGTCAATTGCAGGGCGTTTGCTTTAGTTCAGAACAGCAGCAGTGAAGGGCCCCGGGACTACAAGCCCCAGACCGCAGACTGCAGCGGATGTGTCGGTGTCAGTAATCGCCAGTGAGGGGGGATGCGATGCAGTGACTGGTCTGTGGGCATCGCCTTTTGCAAGAGTGCAATTACTTGGTAATGAGAGTGGAGTTTGTTGCGGGTTTGTGATCGCAGACTCATCTGATACAAAACAAAAGGGGCCTTTGGTTACAGTGTTAAGACAGTCACAGGGAGGGTTTGGGTGGACGCTGCAACATTGATGCAGGTTCCCTGGTACACAGCTCCTCGTCCTGTATCTTTTATGGCTCTGAAGCTCGTTGAGAGCTGAACCCACAAACTTGCATTTGTTTGTACGGTGTGTTTCTCTGGGGAGTGAGTTGTGAGCGTTTGCACAGCGGCTACTGGTTGGATGCTGAGCCAGGGACAAGGAAAATGAGGAAGTGACCATAATATAATAATAATAGTCCTCGCATTTGATATAGCGCTTTTCACGTCGGGAGGACGTCCCGAAGCGCTTCACAGAATAGACTGTAAAGTGAGTTGACTGTATATTTGTGGGCGAACGCGGCAGCCAATTGCGCACAGCAGTGTCCCACAAACAGTCGTGGATTGAAAATGACCAATTTTATTATTGTTTTTGGTTTTGGAGGGATTATTATTAGGCGTGTGGGGTAAGGAAACTTGCCCAAGGTTTCGTCCTCTGCCTGGAATTGAACTCAGGTCTCTCGCTTGCAAAGCAGGTGCATAGGAGGGGGGGGTCAAAGAGGTTTTTTTTTCCCAGATAAGTGGGACTTAAAAATAGATACAGAGAGGAATGAAGCAGGGAGTTGCAGAGTTTAGGGAAACATCCCAAAACCTATTGCCTATCTCTCATTCCCTATCTTTCATCTGTGGATTGATATGCTCTGTGTTTTCTGTTGTTATTTTAGATTGCCATTTAGTGATCATTTTTGTCCTGATCTGCTAACACATGTTAACACATTCAGTAATTCTGCCCTCTTTGTCCCACTCAACAGAATGAAACCATGTTTGTGCATTGGTTAATCGTTGGGCTGTTATTGACCACGAATGGACTGGAAGATCAAGATGATGAATGGATCGATCCTCATGATATGTTGCACTATGATGCTGCAACAGGCAGAATGATAAAACCACAGCCGGTAACAATTGCTTTTTTATTAGCATTAACAAGTAAATTTGCAGTAAAATTAATTGCAGCAGAAACACGTATGGTCAGGATGAGACCCGGAAAAAAAAGGGCAACGTACATACATTTTTTAAATTGCTTTCAAGATTAATTTTGGCATTTTGTACAACTTGTTTTGGATTTCCTTCAGCCCATTTGCGAAATTCAGGACAAAGCAGTGAGGTGAAACAGTGAGTTTACTGTTACCCTTCCAAGCCAAAACCCTAACAATTAGGATGGCCAATGCAGCAGAAATAGAGGCAACAGAAAACTTGCCAAACAGTAATCTCGTTGGCCAACTGTACAGTTTTAGCTAGTTAAACTCAACAATCAGAGACCCATGCCCAATAGCTGATGTCCACCTTCACGCTAGTTTTTTTCCCCCCCGTCTGCCTCTTTTTTGGTGCTTGATACCATTGAAGGAAATTCTAAATAAAGAGAAATGTGTGCTAATTCTTGGGTCACATGGTTTTAATAACTTGGTGGGTTTAGGTTAGCACCTTTGGGATGGGTGGCACCTGTATTTCTAGTTGTTAGTTACTAAGTGTTTGTTTTGTGTTTTAAGTATGATTGTGATTGTGCTCTTCTATGTTTCCTTGTTGAAGACCAGAAGTGAGCAAGATTCTGATACATCGACCATAACCCCTGAAGACAGTGTGGAAATAGAGGGGAGCGATGTTCCTTGTGCAGAATTTTCTTGTTGTAACAGACAACTTGAAAAATTACAAAATGAGGTTCGTATTGTTGTTCTGTGATGCTTAGGTGAACGTGATTGCCAGGAAAGTAATGTAGGAGCAATCGGTATAAGGCAAATTTTTACTAATGCAACTTGTGTTAGCTGTTGTCGAACAGTTGGCAGGTGAAAGTGCTCGAATGTTGGTACATTGGTTTTGGTTGCCATTCCTTAGCCATGTCACATAGGGGCATTTTAAAACAGGAAACTGGAAGAGAATTCCAGTAATTCTACAGTAAACTCGCCTGGACATCAGCTGATAGTTAATGCTCTATTCATGTTTACATTAGACGTCATCACAGATTCAATAGTAAACAAAACAATAATGTTACTATCAATCCCCACTGTTAAGTAGATTGTGGAGTTGCTTAGTGTTAGGAGTACTCATCTCGCAAGCGAGAGGACCTGGGTTCGATTCCTGGGTGGGATGAAATCGTAGACAAGTTCCTTACTCCACTGTTTGTGGGACACTACTGTGCGCAATTGGCTGCTGCGTTTCACCCACAAAACATACAGTCAATTAACTTTACAGTATATTCTATGAAGTGTTTTGACACTTCTCAATGATGTAATAAGGCACTATATCAAATGAAATACTATCCTTTTGTTTTTGATTTGAGCAACTGTTAAAATAAAACTGGATTCTTTTGCTACTAAAGTTGGTGGAGTTTCACTTTAAAATGTCAATTCGAACGATAGTGACTCTCAGCTAGGGGATTTACAGCCTGTTAAATGTTCCCTTTCAAGTTTGTTATTAAACCAAATGATGTCACGACATATCCACCTGACCAGGCAGACGGGACCTCAGGTTAACATCTTATCTGAAGGACAACACTTCCAACAAAGAAGCACATCCCCAGGACTGCATTGGAGTGTCAGCCGAGACTTGAGCGTTCAAAGTCCTGACGTGGGGCTTGAATCCACAACTTCTGAGGTCCCATCTGTCTAGTCGGGTGGATCTGAAAGATCCCACAGCACTATTCAAGAAGAGAAGGAAGTTTCTCCCAGTTTCCTGGCCAACAATCCCCCAAATAAAATTGATCATTCACTTCCTAGCTATTTGTAGGATATTGCTCTATGAATGGTTACTCACTCCTACAAGAAGAATCAGAAGAAAGCCAGAAAGTGGGTTTGGTGATTTTTTGAGCATGAGAACGGGATATCCCAGCAGCAGAGGGCTCCTTTCTTGTCTTTTCAAAATTAACCAAGTATCTTTTATGTTCTTTCTGAGATCAGGACATACAGAGTTAGATTCCCAAAGTAAATAGATGGGTAGTATGGAAAATTGTAGAACCCAGAACAAAGAAACGGGAGCTTTAGGATCATGTGAGAAACGGGAGGGATGGGTTTGGGGAGAGGCTCCTCACATTTTATGAGGCACACTTCACTAGAGATCACTATCCGCTTGTACTGATTCAAAGCTGACAGTGACTAATGGTTCTCGACTGATTGTGTGATCATGGTATGCGATATATCCAGAAACAGTAAATTAACCATAAACTTTCCCTTTGTACCTTAAGAAACAGACGGTTGAAGAGTTCAAAAAGAAATCCTCAGCTGACTCAATGGAAACGAGTTGCAATCCTGTTTTCAAGCGATACCTGAATAAATTACTTTTGGAAGTTGGAAAATTGAGATTAGTAAGTAATTTTTGTTTCAACTTAATATATTTTTTAGGAGTGCAAATTATGGGTTATTTTGTTGCAAATTCCTCATCCCATGGAAACCAACTGTGTTGGGTCTTCTCTTGTACCCGTCAGTATGTAGAAGTGAAGAATATTGTGCTTGTTGAGATTTCAAGAGTGACCAAATTGTAGTTCAGGATACTATGAAGGGAATTGTCAAAGTGAAAATATTTCCATATAACCAATCTGAAATAAATCTTACATTCAGGTGCTTAAGACCTATCTCTTCGATGGGACTTTTGGTCACCTTTCTCTACAATGCCTGGGCTCCCCTATCCAGTCAGCTTTCTAAAGTCCTTTCAGATCCTCTGAACGTGAAAGGGCACGATATAAATGTAAATTGTTGTGGAACATTATGCATTGAATGTTGGACTTGTTCCTGCTCTAACCACACCTAATATAAGAAAAGTAATAATTCTTTGTTTTTTTTTCTACAGCCCGATGATTACAACAATGAACTCCATTACGATGCAGACGTTTTCATTACAAAGCAGGATGTGGCTGAAATTAAAAAGTTTCTGAGCAATGAAAATTGGAAAGCCGGTGCAATGGATGATGCACTTAGTAAAATTCTAATTAACTTTAAGAATCACGATCCCGACATTTGGAAATGGCGGTTTGAAGACACATTTGGGGTGGATTCCATGACAGTATTTTTGGTAAGATTGAAATTGTTACTGTTTATTGCTTTAGCTCTGCTGCGTAGAGGACAGATGGGTAAATAGCCCATTCCCAGATCATACAGCTGTTACAACCCGGTTGTTTGCAGGTCCATAAAATATGTGAGTTCTAAATATCTGATCTATGAGTCCTAAATATGTCAATGCAGAAACCATGTTAATATTTAGCGTTTCCAATTAGAAAAATGTTTTAAAGTCAGATAAACAAACATTCATCATATTATAAGATGATGTTTTGCTGGTGCATATCAAAATGCTTCCCACCACAAGAGATGTATGTAAGCCTCCTTTCACCCGTAAAATATCAAGTCAATGCACTTTATAATATATCCTGTGAAGCACTTTGAGATGTCTTAAGGACCTGATAAAGGCACTCTTATCAAATGCAAGAATTATTAATATTATTATTTCAGTGTGAACATAATTTTTGGTGTTGTGAGCTTTGATCATCAGTGTTGTGCTTTTTTCGTGATGTATGTTGTAAACCTTTCTTTTCAGTTATCTGCCAGCTTTGCCTGTGTCGCTCTAATTATCACGACTGAATTATGGACTATTATCTCACCTCTTACACAGCTAGTTCGTTTCTTTGTCCTCTGCTTTTTCGTCAGTGTTGTCTGGAATTGGGTCTACTTGTACAAGGTACGTACCGGAATCTGCCTCAGATGAATGGGTGTATTTTTTAAAATCTATTTGGTTTCAAGATCTTGTGACAATGTTAATAATCTGTGTATAAATACAAAGAGCAATAAGGTATGATGCTTTTTATTGTTGTTCAAACATTCTAAGCGTTTAGGATTATTTGTTACAATTTGCTTCATTGAATTTTGGAACGTGGTGTCATGATTGATTAACTCTACAAGACTTTGAATGTCTTGATGGATTCCCTTCGGGCCCAAGCACCTCCCTATCTCTCTGATCTCCTCTGCTCACCCATTCTGCTCAGTTAATACATGCACCTACCAACCTCCCCACTTTGTGCCACCATCAGTGACTGAGCCTTCAATAATATTATGTTCCCAGCATCTGGAGCTCCCTGCTCCTCAACCACCCCACCCCACTCTCTATCTATCTTTAATGTCTCACCTTATAAACTACCCCTTCGACCAGGCCCAGGTTTATGAAGATTGCTGAAGTTGCATCACCTAACTTTTGCAAAAATTATTTGCAGATTGCTTTTGCTCAGCGACATGCTGATATTGTCAAGCTCGAAGATGATAAATCTCTATGTACAGGGTTACAGAGGATGGATTGGAAGGGAAGCCTTTCTCGTAAGTATTTTTTGGGGTTGAGAAAATCCTTCTTTGTAGACAAATAAGTGTCTGCACATTATGGTAATTTCAAGACGCATTTCTACCAGTTATACTGCACATTTGGTGCTATTTCAATGTGATTGTGACTTTGTTATACTTGCAGTTTGGAATTTCCATTCCTGATTTAAAGGCACACTGATTTAGTGTAGCACTAAGCTTTTTACACACCAGGAGTTTGCAGGTTGCCCTTGCTTACAGTCCATGCTGACTTCATCCAGAGCAGCAGTAAGAATGCTACAGTTTGCCTCAATGGGTTAGGGAGAGAGGAAAATAGCCAGGTTTTCTGCTCCTAATGGCTATCCAGATTCTCCTGGTGGAGGTGAATGTTAAGGTGAGGATTTGTCTGCCGTGTGCCCCTACAACAACAACAACAATGTGCATTTATATAGCACACTTCACTCGGTTTAGTGTCCCGGAGTGCTTGGCAGTGGCGGAGTCTGACACCGAGTCAGGGGGGAGAGGGAAGGGGAAGGTGACTGTAAGCACGATCAAAACTAAAAGTGTGATCTGAAGGTGGGGAGGGAGGTGCAAGGTGTCGGGATTGAGGGAGAGAGTTCCAGAGTTTCGGGACGAAGTGGCTGAAAGCATAGCCACCGATGGTGGAGCAGAGGGAACGAGGGACAAAGAAGAGGCTGATTGGTCAAAAACCCTGCTAACAGTCGCTCTCAATAATCATATGTGAAAAATGGTCACTCAGATGAGGATATTAGAACTGTATCCCAGTTTGGAGAGAAAAACACGGGAGAAATTGTGGAGAAGGAAAAAGAAAATGTACACTTCTGGTGAGCTACTAAGTGTGGCAACTTTCGTTTGAGGGGTAGATGCATTGACCATCGAGATTTGGTACTAGTCAACCAGTTTGGTGTTGGCTTTCATTTTAGAAACATTTTGCTCCTTACATTTTTTATTTTTGAAATGTATTTATTTAGAATATTTGGATTTCATTGGTGTACCTTTTAACATCCGGTTACTCTGATCTGAACAGAATGGTTTTTGAGAATATGGACTATACATGAAGATCCCTGTGAAAAATACTATGAAGTTCTGTTAGTGAACCCTATTTTTGAAGTCCCTCCAACGAAGGTAACATGAATAGCATTGAGCTGCAAATTGTAAAATGTTTCATTCTGTTTGCACTGGCCACAGGCATGAATTGATTGTTTCTGTTCTAGGCACTGGCACTTACTTTAACATCATTTTTCATCGAGCCATTCAATCACATTGGGGAACCAATTAGCCGTTTTTTGCGAGACATTCTTAAAGACCTACCATGGATGTTACAAATTATGGTGTGCCTGGTATTAATCGTGTCTATTGCTGTAAGTATTATATCTTTAATGACAAAAGTATAGATGATACTTGATATAGAGATTTTATAGGATGATTATTTTTGGGGTTCAGTGTTTTTAATGGGCAAGTATGAAAGAATGAAATGATGCAGATTTTACCATTTACCTCTCCTCAGACTCCCAAAATCAGGTGAGCTATATTGCTATAGGGAAGCAACAATAACATTGAGCCTCAATACAGGGTCAGCCTAAACAGTATTGTAAGCTTGTTGTGATGTGATCATTCACCTTGTGGCTGTTTGTGTGATTATTGCAGTGTGCAAATTGGCTGCTGCCTTTACCTATAAATATTCAGCCACTACACTTCATGACAAATTCTTGAATGCTTTGAAACGTTTAGATGCGATAAGGCACTATATCAAATACAAGGATTATTATTGTGCTTAACATCAACAGAAGCAAAGCTGTTCTGCTCCCTACAGCACAGCGATTATGTAGTGAGAAGCCTGAATTATATTTCTCGCTCCGTATCAGTTGGAATCACTATCGAAGGTGATCGAGCCCCTAATTTTCATATTTATCTGGGAATTTTTTCCAAAAAAATCATTTTAAGGATGAGATCAGTTCTTAACATCAGTAAAAACTGTTGTAAATTCCTGGGTCATCTTTTAGTGTTTCCAATATCAGAAGAATTCATTACAGTTGTATAGATATAACTGTGGTTTGTTTCCTTTTGTGTTTTACAGGCATTCTGCTATTCCTCAGGCCATGCAGTTGTTCAGTACGGTTTAATGAGACAATTTCCAGGCATGGGTCATCAAGGCCAGCCTCCTGCTCCAGTCATGTACCACAATGTACCATACGGTGCTAATTATGCCTATCAGCCAGGCGGAGGATACGTGGATTACCAAGCAGGTGGCGATGCTGCGCATATGCCGATGCTCAGAAGAGGTGGCAGCCAAGTCCATGATCCAGCCACATTTCCACGTCTTAATATACCAAGGGATCTAGATCAGCAGTGGGTGGGACATGCTTATCAACACGATAGAAACGTGACGTATGAAAGAGTTGCGATGCCCGATAACGGAAAAAGCGGCGACCAATTGCGCCGAAGGAAGGTAGCAGATCGGTTTCCTCCGGAGGTTCTTGAAGAGCTTGGGCCGTCTCAGAGACGCACGGTATACCGCGCACAGCCTCCAGCACGCGCTGCACAATACTCCACAAATGACTTTTTTGATGGTAATTGTGAAGAACCTGAAGCTGGTGATTTGCAAACCAAACCTGAAGCTGGTGTGAATAATGACAATGAGGCGGTATCGGACCAGGGAAAACCAGAGCAGAAGAATACGCAGGAGCAAACTGGACAGGGTCCTGAACGCTTCAAAACCAATGATGCACCCAATGCTAAAATTTCATCCTCTCCCTCAGGGGGCAGAGCTGTAGATACACAAGCTAGTAATAAAGGGAACATGAGTGGAAGAGAGCCTGAAATTCAAGTAACAGCACTAGAAAATATTGGAATGAAAGTAAGTTTTCTTAAGAGATTTAGAAATCTTTACAATAAAAGTCAAACCTTTACTTTAATATCTACTACATAATAGCAATTTAAGTAACTTGGGACATCTTGTAAGTTACAAGAGTAGAGATGTTGGGATTGATTAGATTTTAGATGAAAATAAGACTGTTCCGGTAGGAGCCGAAACTGCATTTCCAGGGAAAGCGTTCAGGCTAAAATAGTTATTGTAAGTGAGTTTGCTTGAGTAATGCTTGTGGCAAGAGTGTTAAATAAATGCCAAAATTTGAGTTGAGTGAACTGGAGGGAAAGTAGTCGCAAAGTGTGATGGGAAGATGTCATTTTTGTCGTTTTTAAAGCATGAAAAGAGTTTGTAGCTCTGAGTTTCCGCGGGAACAGAAACAGTGCCTAGGGTTCAAGGAATGTCACGAGCAAAAAAAAAAAAAATTCCGTACAATTCTTTATCAATAAAAGACTTTGGAGAGAAACTTTTACACATTTCATTAAAACACCTATCAAATTTGATAGGTATTTTATTTTAGGTGTGAAACAACAACTTGCATTTATATAGCGCATGTCACACAGGGTAGAGATCCAGAGAGCTTGACAGTACAATACCAAAATATTGCTGGCATTCATTCCTGGATAACCCCTTGGTTTCACCTGAAGCATTTCACTTCATGCCTCCGACATTGCATTTGGTTTTATAATAATATTGATTCAATGCTCGGTATGTTTGAAAGTCAATGTCCAGTTGTTGAAGCTTAAAGTTTGAGTAATTTGAAGCAGGAAACAAACAGCGAGATTGTTTTTGAACTACAGTTCGAATACAGCTAATAAAGGTGTAGAATAGAAACTGTATATATAGCAAGGAGTTTACCCCCTCCCAAATACTTATCACTAAATAGGGAAATGAAGTGACCCAAACATCTTTGTAATTTTTAAAGTTTTTCAAAATAAATAACCAATAATATGTTTCATAGGAATCCAAAAATGCAGAATCTGGAACGAATCTAGAACATGATGTGAAGACTTCCATTCAAGAAACTGAGTCAGAAACGACTGCAACCTAGGGCAGTGTCAATCAATATTTGTTGCCAATTGCTCCCTTGGTAGTTTACTGTGGATTTGGAACCTTCACCAGAGTTCACTTATCCAAAGCTTCAAATCTTAGCACGTTCTGTACATTGTGAGTGTCCTTGTGTCCTTCTGAGCACCACCATAAAGCTATATCAGCGGGTAATTTGAGTTTAATCAAAGAATATTGTGACTGTACAGTTCCATTTCTCTTCAAAATCCAATTCCACGTTACAATCGTTTTTAGAGGCAAAAATAGCACTGTGCGCTTTTTTTTATAGAAAACATACATTTTGAAAGTTCTTGCCGCCTTTAATGAAGCAGATGTTCTTCGTTAAAATTGAAAAGGCAAGGAAATTCTATGTAATTCTGATCGCAATATGCTTCTTAAATTATTTTTTTTTCCCGGTCTGATATTGGTTATATTGAGAATGGTATCATCGCTACCATTTACAATATCTGCAATTAAGCTCAATTCTTGTCACGTGGTTAATCATGCTGTAAAAGAACAGATGCCTGATCTTTTACTTGAACGTGTTTAAAAGCGATGTGATGGGCAGAATAAACCTATCTTCCCACTCCACATTGGTATACTGCTAAGTGCTTTAATTTTTTTATAATCAATGATTTTATGCATATGAATTAGAACTTCATTCCACTGAGATGTTGTAAAGCTTTGTTAGTATTCTTTGGCAATGCACATCGTTCTCTTGGTGCCATGATGGTATTAACTTTGATTGCATACCCTACTAAGATGTGCTAACAATGTTAACAGATCTACAATCTCGAAAAACACGCTTTGGAGGAAAATTTGTGTTGTGAACCTTTCAGTTTGTTCATGAAGATAAACATATGTGAATAATTTCATGCTGGTATCATTTTGCAATTTTTCTGACAGAAGGCTTTAGTGGTGTTACAAATCCACCAAACATGAATCTTTTCTGTGTGTGCATTTGTGAGTGTGGTGGGAATGAGATGGATGTTGGGTAAATGTTTCATTTGTTTAATAATATTGGTGTAATAATTTTTTTAAGATTGCAGCTGTTGTGATTTTATTACACAGAGCATAATCTGCAGCAATGATATCTGCGTTTTCTTGAGCCACAGAAGACTGTCTGGTTTTGTGTTGTGTACAATAAAGACATTTTTCAAAATAAAACATTGCAATAGAAATAGTTTAGCTGGAGTCAGACGTTCAAAACCTACATGTTTGTGGTAAATGACAGTATACTATTGTACAGTACATTAATAAATGCAGAACATTTAATTTTATACCCAATTCAGTCTAGTCTGCAAATCTTGTTTTTTGTTTCCCCAAGCAAGGTGGTCAGGTAAAGGAAGACTAACTACAATTGATCCTATTCTATCCATTGGCACCAGATTATTAATTGAGGTGGCTGGATTCAACGTTAAATATTGTAGGAGCTGAAACAGCAGTTGATGAAGGTAAATTAAGAAATTGTAATGTTCTGCTTCTAGATCTCAGTCATTAATTTAATGTCTGTTGGTGGGATATTTCTGTGTCCAAATTGGCTGCTGCCTTTGCCCACAAAATTGTCATCACACATTTCAATAAGTAAATCCTCCAAAACTTAAAAAGGTGCTGTAGTAAATATAAAGATAATGAATTCTAATTTAGCTTTCATAAAACAGATCAGCATAATGGAAATGTGTCCATAGTTTGAGGTCAATCCTTACATAATGTTCTTTTGAAAGATGAAAACATTTTATTAAAATTTCCACACCAAAATATTAATAAAGCATAATCTAGGATTTAAAAACATCCAGTGTCTGCACAATGAAAACCGGGTTAAGAAGCAACCCAGTTTTTCAGTGAAAATGTAGATATGGTTCTAATTATGTTCTTCCAAAGTAGGTCGGTGAGTTAATTGAATTAAGATCTGAAACATACATGAGAAATTGTGCAATATAAAACCAGCACTTTTTAGAGCTCTTTGGAGTAGCTGGAACTGAACACTCGACCATTGCAAGCAGTTTCTAAACTCCCCAGACTCTTGATGGATTTTAGACAGTGTTTGAAACACTCCATATTTTAAAATGCTGGGCAAAAAAAGCTTTATTTGATATATCAATAGAATGGTGACATAAAATATTCAGTTCTTCATAGAATGCTGCCTATTTAGAAAAAAACTCACCTTGGTTTAAGTGCTTTTATTACAGAAATAAAAGATTGATATAATGATTTTCCAACTCATGAGTGTTCCATTCTAAAAAGCACATAAGTGTCCTCTGGTGGTTGCATAACAGTAATGGAATATTTTTCAAAAAGACTTAGATCAAATTGAAATCTGAGTGCAAATGCTGCAGTTGTTCAATTAATCAATGTTGTGAACAATCAGATACTTTGTAACTTATATATCTGGGACCAATTTTTGAATAGTTTTGTGTGTATCACTATTTTCTTTGAAGTTTCCTCCTTCCCCATCACATATTTCAGAGATGGAACACAATACTGTAAATATTGACACCTGAAAGCTATTGTTGGATTTGTGTACGGTACTCATAGTTTTCCATTTAGGGAACAGGACTTCTCTTCCCTCCTGCCTGCCATCGAGATCAACATGGATAATGCCGTCTGGGACACACACAACAAATTGAGTTTACCAATTAGATGCCTGATCAGACCTTATTAACTTAAAATATATTATAATTCTTTGCTTTTACAGAATATTAAAATACTCGTGCCAAAAATATGGCAATTATGATGGTCCCTGTGACTGAAAACAGGTATGGAACAAATGAATTTAAAAATATACATGTTGAGCTTTAATCATCAAAATTTTGTGAATTCACAAAAGTACTTTAAAGCATAAAAACAATTACATCTAGCAAAAAAACATGTACAACAAAATGTACAGTAGTACTCAATGGGTCTTCAATTCAACTAAAAGCATTTCTTACAGCAGAAGTTACAAAAACAAATAAAAAAAGAGACAAAAAACAGTTACAAAAGTCCCTTCAATAAACTTCAGGTAAACCAAACAGATTGGCAGTAGATTGAGGTCAAAAAAGTAAAATATTTTTGTACGACAGAAAATATTCTTTCTATTATTGTTTACAAATGCCTTGTAGGAATTAAATTCATTAATGTAACAACCACACTTTCACTTAAAAAAANTCTAATGGGCAGCATTATTCTGCTAAGTCAGCTTTTTAAAAAAAAACTGAAATAAAGGCATGAGCAATTTTGTTAACATAATTCTGTAAACATCTACAAATTTAATCAGTGTGGCAGTCATGTCTTGCTAATCTTCTGAAAATATGTAAAACCAATGGTCTTCTCACCTTCTGTGACAACTACCGAGAGTTGTAATAATTGTGATTATTCAACAAAACAGTGGTGGAGGATTAAAAAACATTTTAAACAAAAAAAAAATTTTGTGGAAAAGAGTAGGAACAAAAATAAGATATTGATCTAGTTTTACCATTTGCAGTCATTGGTAGTTTCATGTAAACCTTGAAAATTCATTTTTTTTAAAAAAAAGCCAGTTTATCCCTGCTCGTGGCATACACAGACTTCAGAAGACAGTGATTTCAATATTTACAATACATAACGTGCATTTTTCAGACATTGTGTTTCTTTTGAATAATTAGTATTTTAAGTATCTGAGAACTCATTCATTCAATTGGAATTGAGCTTTTTTTTTCTTTCACATTTGAAGGAAATGTGAAGCGCTGTTCATCCATACGTTTAGCTTGAGATCGCAGGATCAGGCTGAAGAAGTCTTCATCAGGAACAGTAGGGCCTTTATGCAATATTGGTGGTGCACATCGCTGGTCATCCAGTCTAGAGCCCTATTACAATTACAAACCAATTCATTAAAAATGTTTATCTCTAACCTGCATTGTAACAGTGAAACGTTTAACAATATTTCAGACAATTGGAAATTAAGTTAACTGTTTGACTTGCATAAATGTAACTACACTAAAATTTGGTGGAGTAAATGCTTGTTTGATTACCTGGCATTTTACTAGCATGTCGAAGAACTTGTCATCTGGCTCCTTGCTATCGCCATTGTTCATTAGGTGATTGAGAACAGAATGGTTATTGTGCTGATTAAGTCGAAGGCCTGGAAGATTGCTGAAACTTGCACGCTGGTCATCTAATCGGCGGCTCTGAGAACTTGCCAGCAGATCCAAAAACTCATCAGTTTGGGGAGAGACAACAGAAGCAGAATGGGCTGCAAGAATTTTGAAGAAAGACTTGAAATTAGCTTGTGGGCATATTAAACTTAAAATGCATTAATATTGTCATTGACAAATAGAAGCTGAATAAGAGATAGCTTTGGTGACTAAAGTCTTTAAGGATTTATCAGAATTTGTACTGAAACTCCTGAAACCGTTAAAATAGTTATGTTATTTATTTAAGAACAGTGAAAGCGGGGAGGTTTATATCCACGCAGGTTTTCCCAAGGTTACATTTGGAGTTTGGGATTTCACTTGGTTACCTATGGGATCAAGGAGCCAAACTGCAAAGATCCAGTATCAAAAATGGATTGTATGTGAACTGTGGAGAATATGGTCATTATATGTATATGAACTGAACTCTGCATGGTTACTGTCCAATATTTGCTTTGTGTTTTAATTGTTTATATCCAGTCTGTTTTTCTAACAAACCTCATGACTTACTGTCAGAAGAGAAAAAATAATGTTTAGAATTTTGCTTTTCTGATCATTCTCAAGGTTTGATAAAATCCCCCCATATCGAATTAAGTTATTTCCCAATGTTTTTAACTGAACACATTTCAAGTCACTGACTTTTACAAATCCAAGTTTTGTTGCAATATTGTGATATATTCTTCACTATAGATTGTGACGTGACCTAGAGATTTAAAAGATAACTATAAGCATAGAAAATTATGGTATTGGTACATAGAAATATTACAGGGTTGGTTTGGACACAATGGAAAGAGTGCTCACATTTCACCATGGTTTGTGGAGGAGTTGAAGAGACAGCTGCATTTGTAAATGTGTACCGCTGATCATCCATTCGATTGCTCTGGAACCGACTTAACAGGTCGAAGAACCTTCATCCCCAATCATATCCGGGCTTAGCCTCTGAAATTAGAATGTTTGCTTAGTTGAATCATTAATTGCAAAACCCGTGTTTTTCCTAACTCTTGCACTTGTATTGGGATCTGAAAAGACACTAATTTTTAACAGGATTAAAACAAAAAAAAGGAAGTAGAACATACTCACTGACTAAACTCTGCCCCCAAAACAATCAGATTTCGGAGCAGAGTTCTTGTAGATTGGTATTATGTACTTCCGATTACTCGAGTTAAGTTACCAGAAAAATGATGCACCTTATATAATTTACTAAAGCATAAACTGAAAGGGAAACCAGCCTCGCAGGAATCTTGATTTCTTACATGCTGCATATTAAACCTTTTTTTTGGAAACAATGAAGTTGCAGAGATTTGGAATTCAGTGTAAATTATGTGGAGTTAAACCAGTGCTTATTACGTCTAATAAATATTAGGGTTCCTACTTTATATTTGAAATCCTGATTGCTGTATAATTTAATCTTGAAATTGAATATTTCCTAGTTTTTATAAAAAGTTTGTGTAATAAAGCATAAACTGAGGAAACCAGGCTTGCAGCACAACTTACCTTTTGGGGAGCGTGTGTTCTGATATCATTTGTGAGCACAGAATTACTTGTGTCTTTAAGTACTTTTGAAGCTGAACTGTTGCTTTTGAACTTTTTACCTTTGAATCGGTTTACAAACAGCAACTTAGCTGATGGCTTAGAAAGCGCAGGTTTCTGTTTGGCAAGGATTTCACTGTTCCAGTTTTGGAACTTTAGAAGGGGTGGGGGTAGGGGGGGAAAAAAGGAGGAGAGTGAAAACAGCATTAAACATCAATATTAAAATCTCATCAGTGTAAATATTCATTTCCACCCAGCATGCAATGATTCTCTGAAACATTTTCTATATGTTTAAACCTAATTACCTTTTCTGGTGTTAACCTCATAAGTTCCATTTTTTCCATGCTCTGTCGACGCCCTAATCGCGGTCGAGCACCTGGAAGAAGAATGCAATAAGTATTTACAAGGACTAACTGTGGTCTTCATTCATATCTTTCAACTCTGAAATACTAGCAGTTGGTACCCTCCCAGAAATATAACCTTCTCTTCATCCCACAACAAAAGAAACAGGATGTGAATGCTGTCTGTGCATGTGCCAGAGAGACAGACAATTTTGAGATTTGTTCATTATCTTACATTCTCTGTCTGAATTAGCAAAAATGATGGGTGTCTAGTCAATAATTTAATAAGGGCATGAGATTTGGTTAAACATGTACTTTAAAATCAGAGTCTAGAGAGATGGAGTCCTGTAGCTCAGTGGTTAGAGCACTCGCCTCGCAAGCGAGAGACCTGGATTCAATTCCCGGCGGGGTGAAACCTTGGGCAAGTTTCCTTACTACACACACCTGATGATAATCTCTCAAGAAATAAAAAAAACCAATAAAATTGGTCATTTCAATCAACGACTGTTTGTCGGACAGTCACAACTATGCGCAATTGGCTGCCGCGTTATGCCCACAAATATACAGTTAATTCACTTTACAGTATATTCTGTGAAGCGCTTTATCAAATGCAAGGATTATTATATTAAACATGAATCAGATTGATTACTGTCTGAGCAAGATTATTTCAAGTCTTTTTTATTTTGAAAAAAATTGCTCTTAATAAAGCAACTGTTGAGTAAAATTAATACGAAGGAACGCGTATTGTGGCATAAGTCAAGAGGTCTAAATCACTTTGCATCACCTTCCTTCACCAAACTTGCATCTGCCCATCATTTCTTTTTTTTCCTGTTCAGGATGCTTGTTTTGAAACATTTGATCAATTATTGTGCTCATGAAACATTTGGCAATTCAAACAAATGAAATTGGGATTTTGTTTTCAGCAAATCACTTTCTGAATAAACCCAGGAAGAGGATATATTTCACTACCTCCAAACAAGAAAGCAAGTGAAATAACCTTTCCAGCAATACAAATAATTGTATTATGCAGGGTTTTATTTCTGTAGTTTAGGGTTAGCATTTGAACAACAATTTACGTTTATCTTTCAAGTCGGATGGATGTAGGTTAATTGTAGGAATAAACTTACTACTATAAGTAGAGAAATTAAGGTAAAACTTAGTTAAAATCAAGTATCTACAGTAGTAAAGTTGAAATTTTCTTTTCACAATGGACCTACCTTGAGAGTTATAATCCAATTCCTGGCTCACTGACAAAATGGAGCTATTTGTACTATAACTCAGGCCCAACACCATCTGAAGATCTGAGAGATTCATTCGCGCTGTGAGTTCACCACTTCTATCACCAACCTATAACAACAAGCACACAATATGTTAAAAGTTTTAAGCATACAGCAGAGTATTATGAAATGGAGGAAATCATATAGATTCAATAGTAAGACAATAAACGTTATGGGATATAGTCTCAGTAATTTTTTTTGGTAACCAGTAAGGATCACATTGGAATAAGAACACAATTCATCCGTCCCATATCAGATCACAACTACAAAATTAAACTTCCCTTTCCGAAACACTTGCTATGACTTTGGTAAAATGTACTTGGCAGCAATTCTTGCCAACTTTCACAGGAAATCTAGTAGAAATGTATCTACACCATTTTTTAAGCTAAAATATTGTTTTACCTCTTTGGAAATTTCAAGATGTTTCTCTGCAAAATGCACAGCTTGTTCATGATTTCCTAGTGCTGTGTATGCATTTCCCAAGCTCCAGCATGCTCTCCCTTCACCAATCCTAAAATTCAAATAGATCAGAGAAATTACTATAGAGAAATCTGAATAATGTAAAAGAGACAAATCAAATCTGCGTCTTAAAGGTTTAAAATATTTTTAACTTGTTTCATTTTTCTGATATGAACTGTTCCATACACTATCAGATATAGAATGAACAAATACAGCATGGAATATAGAAAAGCCAGTTTGTACTTGTGCCTTGCCCAAATGATTATTCACATGTACAAAAATGTTCATCGACATAGTTAACCATTCTACATTTTTATCTGGGACCTAATATTTAACAATCTTGTTCAAGGTCCGCCTCAAGATCTTCCTCTTTGACCCTGCTTTTGGCCATCTTTCTCTCAACCCCAGTTTGAGTGCAAACTCTAGTCTGTCCAAGCACATTGGGACATTCCCCAACATATTTTACAAATGACAATATAAATTTATATTTTCATTTGTAAAACAGTCATACTTATAAAGGTAAGAGGTTGACTAAAGCTTTTATTTTAAATTACTGATTTATTGCTTATGGCTTTGCAACCAGTACACAATTTAACAATTACCTGACCTAATAATCAGAAAGTGTGATTCTTAAGGAAAATTAGGGAACAAGTGAGTTTGATTTACTGAAAGCATACCTCCAAAACAATGTATCTTCTGTCTTGTTCAAAACACATAAAAATATTTTAGCTATTGGTTTCCCCACCCCTCCCATGCAATTATTAATCAACTGAAAACTGTTTCTGGAGAACAAAATATTGACATCCTTCGCGCACATTTCAGGAATATAAACCAGGGAATCTTGAATTAATCTGAATGCTTATACACAATGGATACAACAATGACTTGTATTTCAAGTCTTAATTTTTTTTAATCAAGGAGCTAATTGTTCCTAACTTTGAGACATCCTCTAATGTAATAATGTGCTATATAAAATGCAAGATCATTATTATAATATTATTATTTTAATGGCTAGGTCTTGATTCATACTACTGCAAAGACACCTTTATGTCAGTCCAGTTTTCTCCTTATATAAAATTTCTAAATGCATTATATTAGTAACCTATGGTTATTTTCTATATACAGTATTTTGATCCCCAAATTTTATATCGTTGCTTAAATTGAAATTTAATTGCAGGTTATATCCTGTCCTTCACTCAAATCCAATGTTAAGATTTTTAAATATGCAGCACACTCCGCAAACCACCCACATTGGACTATTTGCAGCAATAATCTACAAGTCTCAGGGTAAGGGCTTGAATTTGTGCCATCAACAAAGCTCCATTCATATTGTGTCACCTAACGTACAATAATATTAGTCACCGAGGTGATGATTGCAGTAAAGCACTCGTTGCTGCATTTCTTACATTTTTGTATTCAGAGATGTGAACAAAAACTGGTATTAAACAAAAAATGCTACCATATATGCAATCTGAAATGAACCTTCAATTTTACCTGTCAGTAAGCTCTTGTGCAATCAGAAGATGTTTCAGATGATATTCTATGGCCTTTTCATAGTCCTGAAGTAAAGTATAAGTGTTTCCAAGGCTGTAACAAGCTTGTGCTTCCACTGCCCTATCCCTCAGCTGCCGAGCCAGGTAAAGTGTCCTCCTAAATGAAGGAAATGTGATCAGTTTGAAGTATTGATCGAATATTATTATTCTAAAGTAACTACACTTCACTCCCAATTTTCCACCAGAGTATGACTTATAAATCCTGAATCAGTAGTCACAAAGCAGCAGTTACATTGCAGAAAGTTTCCAATAGGAAATGGCTTCCTATTTGAAGTGTTGTTGAGTCTTTTGTCTTTTAGCTGGCTGGCTTCCTCACGCTGACCAGCTAAAAGACAAAGACACAACAAACACTTCAAAAGATGAAAGAAATATTATGGATCACATCATTTGAAGATTTGGGAGGTAACAGCAAAAGCTTCTCACAAATACTTACTTGTAATGATCGGCAGCCACAGCAAATTCACCAAGAAACACAGAAGCATTTCCCAGATTACTGTATGCCCTCCTTTCAGCTGATTTATCTCCAAACTCTCTTGCAATTTGTAAGCGCTGAAAATAATGTAATGAATTGATCAGAGTATTGAATATTTAACCCTGTAATTTTGTGGGCATTTACATAGGAATGACAGAGAGTGGGGGTGAGATGGATAGGAAACATTCTGGACTGAAATGAGAATATTAGCACTCTAAATGTACTATTCAGTACCCAGCACTGCCCCGACATCTACTTTTCATTAGATATTTTACAAGATAGAAAAATCAAACACAATAATTGAAATGTCACACCACACAGAGCAAGTCAAATTTACAAATTCTGGTTTGATCAATTTCAAACACTCTTCAATACATTTAGCCCCATCATCTGCCTATAAATTCTCCATCTGCACAAATTCCTTCACAACCCATTATGTAATAAGATACTTTTTGGAGTCAAATAAAGGGAAGAGTTTCCATGGAGCTTGAGCACAGTATAAAAATAGGGTTTAGAATTATTTTTAAATAAGCGAACAGAAAAAAAACTCTGAAGCCTAGAGGTAAAAACAATTCTGGCAACTTTTCACCCAAAGAAAAACTGTAACATGTAACAGATGGCAATAGAATAAAAAAAAAGTGAGAGCTGTCATAATGTACAGCAAAAAAACAAGATTTCAAATCCGAGTCGAGCAGAATCTGGTACAAAACCCCCGCCTTTAGCTGCACATAATTACATGGGTCATTTGGAGCAGCAAATTAGGATGAAAATGTTATGCAAAAGGAACACTCCTATCCACTCTCTCAACAAATCCAATTTTCACTTACAAAGCGCCTTTTACATAGAAAAACACCATTACATTTTACAAAGTCTGAGTGGGAGCTCGGGGTGGGTGCGAGATAGGGGGACGGTGGCCAAAGGAGCAGTTGAAGATAGTTTTTCTGTGGGTGTTGAAAGCATAGAGGGAATAAAGGGAAGGCATTTTGGAAAAGAGTTCCAGGGTGTAGGGGTAGAGTGCCTAAAAGATCACCTAGCAAATGGTGGGGTGGAGTGAGAGGAGGCCATGAAGGAAACCAGAGTAGTCAAAGTTGAGTGAGATGGATCGTAAAAGAGCACAGAGGTAGGGTGAGGTAAAGCTATGAATGTATTTGAAGTTGAAACCTCATGCAAAAATGGTGCATTGTATTTGCATGTTGGCATTTTAAAAGAAGAAACATATTATTTTTCCACACTTACCTCTTGGTGTGATCTCACTGCCTTTCTGAAGTTCCCCAAAAGATAATGTGTATTCCCTAGATTTCCATAAGCACGTCCTTGAGCTGCTCGATCTCTAAGTTCCTTAACAATAACCAAATTTTCCCTATATATAAAATGAGAAAAAGTAAAACGAATGGCTAGTGGTGATTACTATAAATAATAATGATCCTTGCAATTGATATAGTGCCTTATCACATTTTTGAGACGTCTCAAAGTGCTAATGAGTACAGTTAAATCATTAGTATAAATTCAGTTTTACCAAGCAAATTCAAGGCAAACAAAATTCTGGAAATACAATGGGATACTTGAAAATAGTCAATTTTCATCAAAGAAATAGTAAAAGTTCATTCTTTACTTTAACACCTGAGTTTTTATGTGATGTGCCTAGTGACATCACAACAACAAAATTATACTTGTATAGTGCCCTTTACGTCGGAAAAACGTCACAACTTGGAATGCTGACTGACTGTTATAAGGTGAGGGGACTGGAATTTTATGGACCCAACTACCGTGATATAACAGCACTTTGCTGTACATACAGTGCATATTAAAGGCAAAAGATACTCACTCATAGTATTCTGCAGCCTTTTGTAAAGCTGAAATCACTTCCTCGGGAAAATCACCTGGATCCTGAGTTCCTGCACAAGCAAGATTTTTGCCCTTAGCATGATGTACATTGCCAAGGTTGTAAAGTGCTCTTGCTTCGCCTATCTGTTTAAAAACAAAAACAATTCTAGAAATTAGAAATGAAAAGTATTACATAATAGTATTGAGAAATGTAAATAAAAACACAAATCTGTCCACCATTTTTTATTCAAAGACATACCGAGAACTAACATATTTCAGAACTAAGAGGCAGGAATAGTTGAAAGCTGGTGACATGCCCTAAAGGTAATTTACCCAGCAATTTTAATCTGACAACATTCTATTCAAAATTATTCAATTTTATTCCTTAACACCCACATCACATTCAAGTCAATTTTAGTTTGCCTCAGCGGAGATTAGCAAACTCAGCAAAACAAGAATTGAATCAGGAACTAATTAATTTTACATGAGGGCCATATTTATGACTTGAGGCATTAATAGTTAAATGGCAAAGTCATACCCTTAATTTATTCAATAAAAAGGCATATAAAAATGCGTCAGTTAAAAAGCAATTGATTCACTTTTTTTGCAGTATCACTACCTTATCACAATGTTCTGTAGAAATGTCGAGATGTCTTTGACAGCAAACTATAGCTTCATCAAAGCGTCCCAAAACCTTGAGTGTATTGCCAAGGTTCCCGCTGGCTTTAGCTTCACCCAACTGGTCACCAATTGTTCTGAAAATCAGCAGATAACAAAGCAGTGAGAAACTTCAAATGCTCTTTCAGAACTCTATAGAACTTTCACAGTATCATAAAATTCCACAGTATAAAAGGAAGCCATTCGGCCCATCGCCTGTGTTGGCTCTTTGAAAGAGCTGTCCACTTTAGCTTCACTCCAATTTTGGTCTGAAATATTAACGATTCTCTGTTTCTCTTAACAGCTACTAGCTTATGAGTATCGCATAGAAATACTTAATTTACTTAACCAAGAATAATTCAGGGATATTAACAAGAAAATTCTGTAACAGAATACAGTTTTTAAAATTAGTTTTCTAGGTGCTCCATAGACTTGCTGAGTTTTGAACTAAGGTACAATGGATTATGCAGACTTCTCAGGTACAATGGATTAATCAAAATGCTTAATAGTTAAAGCGTACGTTGAATGGGGAACTGCTCAAAGTATAACCATTGAATCTCAATCTGTATTTGCTCACATTCAATTTTCTCACAGGTATGAAGTTAATAACTGTATTTCACCCAAGTCAAAACTTAATCAAAGTAATGTAATTGAAGATAAAAATCATAAAACAGCGAACAGGCAGTGAAATATAAATAACGACAAGAACACTGATAAAGAAAGTTTCCCCAAAAGCTGCATGCAAAAAAATATCATGGGAGCAATGGCATTTGCAAAGCTTGCTTTAAGTAGGAGAAAATATTCAGAACATATTTACCTTGCAAGAGTTAAGTCATGATGGTGGTATTCCAGTGCTTTGGAATATTCATGTAAATAGAAATAGGCATTTCCAAGCTGACTGTAGATAGCACTCAGTGTTTTTAGGTCCTCTGTTCCAACCTGAACTGCAGCTTCAAAGAACGATACCCCAGCTTGACAATCTCCTGCTTTGCAGAGTCGTTCACCTTCCAGAGCCAGCTCCAGGCAGGAAGCCTCCATTCTGTAAGTAACAGTATTGAAGTCATTGATAATGCAGACAAACGGCAGATAATTACTGTTGTCCAACAAATATTTGTATTCCAAATCTTGAGCCTAAATTAAATCTACTGAAAAAGATTATTTCTTTATGGTCATGGTTTTCCAGAATGTCCCCAAATTTCTTCCAAAATAATTATTTCCCCACTCAAAAAAAATCTTATCAAAGAAATTAATAAACCACATCACTTGGAGTACCTGTTAAACTTTGCAAACCCACATGGTAGACACATCGATATGACTGACATTCTTTTGGTCCTTCTAGTTGAACTATCTCCAAAAACGGTGGAAGTATTGTATTCTATTCCAACATGAGACGACATTGCACACAATTCCACAGACATGCATCCAGTTGTAATGTAGATCGTACTTGCACAATTAAGAGTAATTTGTAACGATCTTGAAAAATAATTTCTTGCCAACCCCGTATACTGAAAACTTTTCAGGCAGATTATAGAATTTTAAGATGGGGAAAGAATGAAGATAAAAACACGGTAGTGCAAATCGTTGAATTCCAACCAGTTGTACTTCTGATTGAAATGTCAATCAATAGAACAGTTTAAAAAAACAGCAGGGTCTATCTAGGCTCCAATATGCATAATCTGAACTAACGGCTTTAGAGAGCTGACATTTTGTAAGCACCTTATGTCACATGCCACTTCTTATTAACAAGATATACTATCAATATCCTTGTGAACCAACAATTAATTCATAAATACAATCTTATTAAATGTTGTATCAAATAAAATCTAAAAAAAAATCTGAGTTCAAATAAAATAGTTATATCAAATACATTTGTTATGTTATATCAAATAAAAATGACCAAACCATGTTGTGGTAAACAGGAAGTCATGAAATATAGTTAGATGGAATTTTTATGGCCATTATACAAAAGAATGTTTCTCCAACATAGGATGAGATTTGTCCTTTCAGATATGTGACGTTTAGATAACTGATTGTACATAAAGTACCAAATTACTTGTTAGCACTATGTTAACAGCCTATATTACTGAAGTCAAAACAGTAATGTATGAAGTATGCACACTAAGGGTAGGATACAACAAAAATTATATTTGTATTGTGCCTCTCATGTCGGGAAGACATCCCAAGTCGCTAGACAGTCAGAGATTTGGACCCAAGCAGGGGGTTGGGATCAGGAGGGGTGGAGGGCAGGGGTAGAAGGATGGCCAAAGGCCCGGTCGAAGAGGAGGGTTTTGAGACGTGCCTTGAAGGAGGCAAGGGAGGAAGCAAAGCGAAGGGACTGTGAGACTGGGGGTAGAGAGGCTGATGGCCTGACAGCCTTCAGCCTCTCTGGGGTGGTCTGGAGGGAGCGGACAGATTGATGTGGGAGAGGATATGAGCTACAGTTCTGGATGATCTGCAGCTTGTGGAGGGAAGAATTGGGAAGGCTGAAAAGCAGGGATTTGGCCTAGTTGAGCCTAGATGTAATAAATGAGGGTTTCGGCGGCCTGAGAGACGAGACACCGGCAGAGCCTGGTGATGTTGTGGAGGTGGGGGAAAGCAACGCACGTCATGGCACGGATGTGGGGTAGAAAGGAAAGTTGAGGGTTAAACAGAACGCCAAGGTTCTGGATTGAGCCTCACTGATACAACATTGAAGTGAAATTCACTGGTTATCAAAGATGGTTTAGCCGTGATTCCATGCCCTGGAAAAGTAATACAAATAGAGGCCCAGGTACCTTTTAATTTTATATTGAGGCAAGTATAAGGCAAATAAATATATAATAGAAACTTAATACTTTCCAAGCACATAGAATACTTTTAGGTGAAGGCACTGAACAAGTGCAATATGATCCGTCATTTTTTTTTAACAAAAGCTAAGGGAAATGTTAAGTATGTTGTATGTCTCAGTAGTGGATGATGTAATGTGGTCCAAGCTCTATATCAATCATTGTCAGAAACAAAAGAATTTTGTGACAGTGAAATTGACTAGGACATCAATATTACCTGGTATCCATGATCATTACTATTCATATTCATCCATTCAGCAATTTTATTCCCCTTACATATCTAGAGGTGGATTGTGCATTATATGAATTATACAATTTTTCAGGGCATAATCAGAACTCAGGTTCCATAAGAAATAAAGGTTTATCTTATAATTTTTGGTGTGATACCTTGATTCACACCATTCTAAGCTGTACAGCATTAATTTTCATACCCCCTTCTTTCAGTACTTTTATGCACAGAAACCATCTTAGGGTATGAAACAGAAGTATTAATTGGTGAGGCAAATATATAAAAATAGATCTCATCAGCTGAAAGTCTGCTTCTGGATACAGAGATGAATTATCAAAAATAGTATTAAGATTGCTTCAGTAGTTCCTAAAATAATAATAATAAAAATCTATGAGAGCAGATCAGCATTTCCTGTGTGCTCTATTCCAGCATGCAACTTGTTAGGGAGAGCTACAAAATACACACCAATGAAGACTGACACACTAGTGACTGCCCAATGACCAGCAGAGTAATTAGGGTTGAATTCACATTTGCGCACATCAGAATTGTCATGCATTTCTTATTAAACAGAATTCCATTTATTCATTTGTTTTGGGCTGGTTTGCTTTGAGAGATCCATTTCATTAGAAATGTAGAGATTTGGTTCTTTCTTTATATTTCGGAAAGTTCAAACAATTTTCTTAAGGGTTAACAGCTTTTGAATCACAGGTAGGACATTTCCCCACATCAAAATGAGGTATCCTGAGAATTTTTGTTAAAAATATCTTAACATGTGGTGAAAGTTTACAATTCTTCTCTTAAGATCATTAGTGTTGATGTTTGTGAACATCAACTATTTCAGTGATACCTTTAACATTTCAACATTTTCTTGTATTGCATCTCACAATTTCTTACGTCAAAGAACATTCCCAACTCTATATTTCAGTGAGCTTCAGTTGATTTGCCATTCAAATGTCTGATAATTGCTGTATGTTATTTTTCTGCAGGAAGTTTATTCCTTGCACGTGCTTAAATTTCGACTGTTTCTAATAAGCTCATATAGGGTTTGCTGCACAGTTGAGCAATTTAGTTGACCGATCACCTCGGATAACTGTTGCTTAAATAAATGATGCCTCACTGTATTTGAATTCATCTTAAGAATTAAAAATATTTGAAACTGTAGCCAATTTTGATAACATTAGTTAATCAAGCATCACAATGATGAAAAAAATCAAACTTTAGATTGGAAAGAAAAAGTAATAATAATAATCCTTGCCTCATCATATATTTGAGATGTCTCAAAGCATTTCACAAAATATACTGTGAAGTGAATTGACTATGTTTTGGGGCGAAACACAGCAGCAGTGTCCCACAAACAGTCATGGATTGAGTGATCAATTTCTTCTTAGAATTTTTTTTGAAGGAATTATTACCCCTGGAAAAGTGATCCGCCAATACACTAACAACCAGGTTCCTACTTATTGCTAGATAAACAGAGGGGTATAGAGGAGGGAAATGTTGCGCCCTGCCGGGAATTCAACCCAGGTCTCTCGCTTGCGAGGAGAGTGCTCTAACCACAGGTAGAGAATTAGTTGGAAATTTGGTCGCAAGTTTACAATCAGTTTAGACTGGTTCTTATCGATATTAGCACAAAATGCTCCTGAAGGTGGCTCCCATTTTCACTCGCGCCATTTTGGAATTCAAGATGAATGTAATATTCAACACAAAACATATAGAGTCTATGAGTTCACCAGATAATTTTAATTATCCATCCTAAGCACATTTATTTAAAATGTGTATGTTTTTGTTCAAATAGAAGTTATTTAAGGTTTTTATTATAATGGTCCTTCATAAACTTGTAATATAATACTTTAACAGAACACGTCATCCCACCAAGGGTTTTACTACATTTATTCTACTTGTGCCATGACCGTAGTTTACCTACTCAAATCCAGTAAATCGCTTATCCATCTAATTCCTTAGCCCACTTGCAACTTGTTAATCCACATAGCTAGTGAATGCGTAGTTCTTTCAAATATGTATAATTCCTTCAAGCCCTATCTAATTTTATAATGCACCCACATTAATTTCATTTCATGTGCAGCATGTAAAATGAACATTTAAGAATATAGCTAGAAAAGAATTCTAGTACTGAAACTATTTTTTGTAGAAAACTTCACAAGATTACTGTTAGATTAAAGTAAGTAATAAAACACATTGGTCAGTTAAAGTGAGTATCTGGCCCTGTAGCTCCCCATTTCTTGCTGACATTGTGCTAACCATTGCTTCCTCATTAAACACACTGCTTCGCAACAGAAAATAAATTGCAGTTCTTTTGGGAACTGTTTCCACCCACACTGATGTTCCAAGAACCCTCTTGATTTATCACGTGAATCAATGTGAAATAAGACTGAAGGAACATTTGGGAAATAGTTTCATGGAATATATTGTTTTTTGCATTATAATGTCTCGCTTGTTCATTGAAGAGAGCAAGAAGCAAGAGAGTGGGCATCAGAACAACAACAACAAGATTACATTGGTATAGCGCCTTTCACGTCGGGAGGACGTCCCAAGGCACTGAACAGAGTACAGCAGTTTGAATAAATGAACAATTAGTATACCTGGAAGCTAATTTCACAGGTTATGGCAAAGCTTATGGCAAAGAATACAATAATTCTGACACATGCCATAGAGTTAAATGATGGGAGATTCATCAGAGAAACTATCTGCAAATGGAGTTTCTAAATACAGTTGTGCTATTAGGAGAATCGACAAGTAGAGTCCATACAGTTGAGTGGATGACTGTGGAAGGAAAATAATTTGATGGAGCAAGCGTTTCTTGTTCTATGCATTTTTATGAGAAAGGCAAATCACTCTGAAACCGCCCAACAGTGTTTGAGTAACAACTAGTAGATTTTAATATTTTTGTTATTTTATCATCTGCAGTCATCTACACTATGATGAACACACACACCATTTGGAGTTCAGTAAATATTTAGCTATCCCTTAGTTTTCAGCGTTATCCCACATAATAATAATAATAATAATCCTTGCATTTGATATAGCGCTTTTCACGTCGGGAGGACGTCCCAAAGCGCTTCACAGAACACACTGTAAAGTGAATTGACTGTATATTTGTGGGCGAACGTAGCAGCCAATTGCGCACAGCAATGTCCCACAAACAGTCGTAGATTGAAAATGACCAATTTAATTATTGTTTTTGTTTTTTTGGAGGGATTATTATTAGGCGTGTGGAGTAAGGAAACTTGCCCAAGGTTTCGCCCTGCCTGGAATTGAACTCAGGTCTCTCACTTGCAAAGCGAGTGCTCTAACCACTGAGCTACAGGACTCCCTGTAGCACATATTACACAAAAACAGATTGAGCTGAATAAAATGGCAGTACGATGTATTGTTAAAGGAAAAAAAGTTTGAGAAATCTCATTCAAAAAGTGAACTTAAACTAATTTTCCTAATAAGGTCAGTTTAATAACTTATGACTAAAATTAACAGCTATAACAATTTAATTTGCATTACTTTAAATAAATAAGTGTTCTGGGACACTACCTTGCAGAGGGGCGCTATATAAATGCAAGTTGTTGTTAAATACAGTCCATTACACTTTTCACTTTTCATTGTCAGTTTACAGGATTCCAAATTCCTGTACAAACTCGTGATTTTTACAAAAGGGGCAACAAGTAAAGAACAAGTCAATCTGATAAATTTAAATTACTCACACCTACTAAGCTAATTCACTTTTAAATACTGTTTTGGTTGTGCACGAGAAATTAGTTTTAAAGGATTTAATTGTCATCCAAGGATTTGGCTGGACAGTTTTACGCATTTCTAACCATACCAAAGAAAAAGGTAAAAATTAATCAATTAACTAAACCATGAGATCTCAGATCTCATCCAGCACTGGGAAGTTCGACAACATACATTTTTAATGAATTCATTAAATATTGACAAAGCAGCAATTTAATAGTATTACATTCTGCTCCAACCTAATTCAACTACTGGGTTGCATTACTGCATATTGTATTACAAGCAGATACACAATGAAAGCCATAGAAGAAGATAGTGTAAGCAGTGAGACAATACAAAAAGTGAGCAAAATTTATTTTTCTTTGGAATTTAATTGAAAAATTTAAGGCTAGTTCTCATATTTCACGCATATACACAAGTGTAAATGTTGGCTCTTATTCAGTTTTTCCACATTAAAAACAATTAAATCAGATAACTTTAAACCTGTGGGTCTCGAGTTTAATTTGCAGTTTGTGCATTGTAATTTAAACTTATCAGCTTGACTTGTTCTTTACTTGTTTCCTTACCCCACATACTTCTCTTTACCTATCAGTAAGTAGAAACCTGGTTGTTTGTCGATTAGCGGATCTCTTTTCCAGGGGTAATAATCCCTTCAAAAAACAATAATTTGGTCACTTAATCCGCGATTATTTGTGGGTCACTGCTTTGCACAATTGGCTGCCATGTTCTGCCCACAAGCTATACAGTCAATTCATTTTACAGTATATTCTGTGAAGCGCTTTGAGACAACTCGAAGGCTCCATATCAATTGCAAGGATTATTATTGTGCAATATATAACTTGCATTTAAGAAATCTCAGAACAAAGCAGAATAAACTGCATACCAATATTATTATAATAGTGTCGGATTAACAAGAGCATAACCACTCATTCCAGTAAATTACAGTAGTTGCAAATGAAAATCTTGAAATTTGCTTGCCTTTCAGATAGGAAATGCAATGTGGATAATTTTAGAATGTACCCCACACCCATAAAATAAACTGCCTGAAAACTGGTGCTGTAAGTCTAGGCAGATTAATTTAGCTGCTTTATATCCTTCCTTTACAGTAGCACACAGAGCTACATTAACTGTCACTATAAATGTTTATTTTGTTGGATACCTTTTGGGTAGGTTTCCTGAATTCTAAAGCACAAATGGAACACCCTGTTCACTTTCCCCAACCACAAAATGAAAGTAACAACAGCCAAGTACACAGCCTGATTGACTGGTCTTCCTGCTTCCTGTTAGTGAAGGGGTTTTGCTGCATTCACTCAGCTTTATAATTTTTCTGCCTCCAACCTAGACTTCAGGACCACTGCTGTCCTGCCATGTTGTCAGACGTCAGTGACAACTTTCTACAGCTGAGCGATGACAAGACAGAGGCCCTCCTGTTTGGCCCGTGTCAGTGTCGCCTCACCTCAGGCAATGACAGCATGACTGTTCACAGATGCACTTTCTACCTCAATGTCCTTTTCGACCCTCAACTATGATTCAAACCCCACATCTGTGCCATGACCTGTTCCGCCTTCCCCTACCTCTGCAACGTTGCCCACCACCGCCACTCCCTGGCAGGCTCCGAGACCCTCATTCGTCATGTCCAGGCTCCACTATGCAAAATCCCTGCTCGCCGGACTCTTCACTCTTCACTCTGAAAGCTGCAGATTATGGATAACTCTTCCGCTTGCCTCCTCTCCCATACCAAGTTCTGTGAACCGATCGCTACCATCTTCGCCTGGCATCACTGGCTCTCCATGCCTCAGAGGATCGAGTTTAAAATCCTCGTCCTCACATTTAAAGTCCTCAACGGTCATGCTCCTCCCTACCTCCGCAACCTCTTAACACCAACAAACCTGTCTGCTCCCTCTGTTCGTCAGGCACTGCCCGGTTCTGTGTCCCCTGCTCTATTCACCTCATCATTGGTGGAGAAGCCTTCAGCTTTTCTGTTCCTACCCTGGAAAAGCTTTCAGCTTTTCTACACTCCTACCTCACTACCCTCCAGCCCTCTTGATTCCAAGCCCCAGCTTAGGTGGAAACCCTTATCTGTCCTTATCCAGTGCCTTTGGACGTCCTTCTGATGTAAAACACCATATACAAATGTAATTTGTATTTGTGGTTGATGTTGTTATAATTCTTTCAACACTAGGATCACTCGAATGAAAATGGCAGAATATTGACAGAGTGATTTGCCATTTTTATCATCTTGATAATTGAATTGTTTTACGAGCATAAGAAACACCAGATTTACAGAACTACTTTTACATAATCAATATTAAAAATATTGCAATACAATACAGTGCAATATTCCAAGAAAACTGACTGGTTGGGAACTCTTTTTTAAACTTTGAATTGAAACAGTACTGATTTTCAGCAAAACATTTTAAAAGCTGTAAAAAGGTATGAAAATGTTAAGCATACAAGTAATGAGGTACCCTCAGTTATAACCCACACAGGTCAGTTACGGGATCCATTTTCTGAAGCTAGGCTGAAACTCTGCATCTGCTCTTACATCAGATAAATTAAGGTTTCTCATTATCTGTATTTGCTTCACAAACATGCCCAAACAAGAGAACTTTCCCAAAAGGTTAAACCAAATTTAAATTGCATCACAATTTCTTTACTCAATATTACAATCATTATAATGATGATCTACAGTGGCAGTTTATACAGATTTAGCTGGCTTAACTCCAATAGTACCCCATTACTCGCCCTGACATCCCCAAACTTCACCTCTTGCCATCCTACAGCTAAATTCTCTACAGGATTAGGTAAGCAGGATGTGAACCTCTTCCATTTCTGGGGAGATTGTATCACTCCATAAGAAACTGAATTTGTGGATCTCTCAGTAGTTTGATTTGGAAATTCTTAAACATATTGATGGGTCTCAGGGGCATCAGATTCCTACACGTTTTTTGTTTATTAGCATCATACCAACATTTAATCCAACCTGAGTCAAAGCAAGTATGGTTAAACCCACTTCAATATTCATCTGAAAATCTTCACTCTGCTTCCAATTAATTGCTAACAGTCTTTATCCCCCACCCATATTGGATGTTTTGCTAAACAAGACATTTAGAGCATATACAGATTTATTCTGACCACCATTTGAAATATAGCTTTAAAGAATTGAAATATTTGCAAGCAACAAGGTTCATTTTTTTTAAACCAACCTACTGAATCACAACTTTATCATACATCATAAACTTTATTATAAAAAAGCTATCTTATAAAATTTACTACTCTTATCCCAAAGAATGAAAAGTAATTCCTACCTGTATCGAATATGATAGGAATGCTCATGCAAGCTAACCAAAATGTCACTTGCATCCATTTAACTGCATTATATGGTGACACTTAACACGTCCAATGTAGGCTTCAGGAAGAGCACATGTTCCCTCCTTTTCTTTTCAGGAAATAAAAACAAGTTTTTAAATTCGGCCTTGCACATGTATGAGGGTAATTTTGGATTACTGACTATATCCTAAACTGTTGCTTCATTGTTCTTCCTCAGCACTACCTAATATCGAAGTCAACAACAGATGCAGCTCACACATTCAGAAATCTGTCCTGATTTCTTGCATTGGTGGCCATTCACTTCCATTCAACTGCAATCTGCAAAGGGAACATAAAATGCCTTGCATAAAGCCTCATTTGAAATAAGAAGTCCCATAGCAACCCCCCCAGCTGACGTGCATAAGCATTGCCTGTCCTGATGACTGCAAGCAGATAAAGCCATCAATCACTACATTGAAGGCAGGAGAAAGTACTTCACACGTAACCACGGCGATTCTGCCAAGCTATGAAGGCACAGCCAAAGCACATTATCTGAAAAATTATAATGGCAAAGACACTGCATTTTATATTTTGCTTATAGTAAGTTAATCACCATTCTCCTAAAGGTGATTGTAGATCATAAATTGTCTACGTAGCTAAATTATCCACATATTATTTATATTAAAGTATCAGTTACTGCAACAATTTTAACACCAAGTCAATCAGTGAGTGCTGTAATTGTTATGTTTTTCTTTAAATTCACATGGCAGTTCTGTGGAAAGGCATATTGTAGATGTCTTTACTTCATTTAATCCATATTTAATCCATGCTTTAAATTGCAAGGATAGCTCAAGGTGAATTTCATCAAAGCACATTTTACATTTTTTTAATTAGAAGATGCATGTATGTATTTTAGGATTTCTATTTCTATTTCTGAATGTATTTTAGGATATATTTACCATTAGTCCTGAAGGTATTTACTTGACATGGCATTGGTGAAAGTTAGAATTCTTCAGATTATATTATACTCCCTTCATTCAAAGGAATTGTTGCTATGCATTGCTAAAGAATTGATAATGTAATACGTCATTTAATTTAGACTGGGCACAGAACTACACAATAAAGGTTCACAATTTGCAAGTCATGTTGATTAGCACCTCCCTACCTGTGAATGACCATTGTATCAGGTTAAGATTAGGATTGAGGTTAAAGTCATGGAAAACTACAGAATGATGATCAAATACGGTATGACATGGGAATGTCCATGAGCTGCTCTCACTATGAAAAGGTAAAATGGATAAGGTACAAGGAAAGATAAACATTATGAATTTGACTTGAATTGTTTTTGGTCTGAGAGAAACTTGCAGAACGTTTCCTCAGGATCAAATTGTATGTAGACATAAGAGCTGATTAGACCTGATATGCTCTGGAAAAGGGGCTTGCTGGCGAAATGGCTTTTCTTGTACCACAGTGTGTTCTGGTTCATCAGGTACAAAGGAAGAAATTCTAAAGCATGGTTAATAATTATGAGGGACAAAGGGATCAAATTACAACAGATATACTGGCATCTCTGTTCAGGAGATAAAAACAGGTGACACATGTTTTGTGTCAGCATTTTTACAGAATACAAATCAGCTTTGCATATAATCACTGTTTACAGTTGACAGCTGTCAAACAGCTAGATTAAAGTAGGATTATATTTGGTAGAACCATTTTGGTGGGGGGAAGGTAAAGACCTCTCTCAAATGATAGTTAAGGGCAATAGAAATGGTTTTCTGATAAATGAAAAAAAAATTCCTAATGAGAAACCAAATGTACAGCATTGTTTGTACTGTCATCAATTATTCACTAAATTCTATACATGTAGCTTTTTTCCAAAAAGTTGCTAAAATTAGTCAATAGCCAGATACATTAACCGAGTCTGAAATGTATTAAGGTCTTGTTTAATTAACAAATCCCAGAAAATATGAAATTCCTCAAATCCTGTGAAATACTATTTTTCAAGATCATTTTTATTTTCTGATGTTTCGAATTTTGATCTAAGACAAGCCACAATGTTTTATGGAAAACAACCTCCCAACTATTTTGCTCAAATTATTTATGTACAATTGACACTGTGGTGTTGTTAGCATTCCTCGATGTAATGGTTCACTGGGTACATGGTTAGTGAATCAGTATCATTTGTTCTGAATGTCAAATAGGCAATAAACTACCAAACACTTTTCAAATACTGTTTTATTAGTGCAATGACTTCAACAGTAAAATGCAATCAACAAATGGAAGACCAAAAAAGGAAGATATTTTGAACTTATGTCAGTTTCCAAAAGGAACACTCCATGCTAACATTGAAACACTGTTCTCCACTTGCAACATTGCCGTGAATCATACAAGGCAATGGACCATCCAAAAAAGTATCTCCTTTTTTGTTCACTTTCTCGATGAAAGGTAGTAAAACTAGTTTTAATGTTGCAAACGTGTTCCTACAAATATCAAATGGCTTGTGTAGGTTACCATGGATAATACATCACACTGATGGAAAGAGAGCGCTCTTCTGGAATTCGGGGTGGAGCCAAGAGAGCTTTAGTATGCATGTCGTGCTTACTGCCAGCAATGATTTCCCAAACTAGGTAAGGATTCCCAATGCGATCACCCTCGATTAACACAAAATTCACAAGCTAAACAGTTCCATTAGTTCATGTTTCTGTAGATCCTGACAAAAGCCTGCTATTTTCTTGAAAATTTGAACATCTATGAATTAGATAGGGCCGCTTTATTCGAGGATATATTCATTGCAATAAAGCTACCAGAGTTTAATGCTATGTTAGAAAAAACAAGAAACAACATTATGTAAAAATAGTGAATTTGATAAATCAGCAATTGAAATGACAACTTCTGGATTATAATAGGCTTTTTTCAAAACTTCAATTTAATTACTATTGTATTTTAAAGTGCATAAATAGTGTACTATTAAACAATAAAGCTTGTTACCGACACATTTATAAGCGATTAATTAATTAGGTTGAATTTAGTTCATAACCCCTTATGTAACTTTTGACACCTAAATGGTCCTAAATCCTTGGATTGGTTTTAAACTGAAATAGGGAAAGCACTATAGCCCAACACGTTGCCTTAATTTATATTTGTAACTAAACGTCTTAAACAAGACATCTTAAACTAAACATCAGCTCGACTAGTACAGTACTACCGGTTAGCTCAAGTTGGAAAAAGTGCTGCTTTGTTCCAAGATGGCATGAAATGTCATGGAAAATCCCTTCTCTTTTTATTTTGTATTACAATTAATTAAGTTATACTATAATAATAATGCTCCTTTGCATTTGATATAGCGCTTTTCACGTCTTCTAGATTTCTCAAAGTGCTTCACAGAATATACTGTAAAGTGAATTGACTGTATATTTGTGGGCGAAATGTGGCAGCCAAATGAGCACAGCAGTATTCCACAAACAGTCGTGGTTTGAAGTGACCAATTTATTATTGTTTTATTTTCTTGAAGGATTATTATCAGGCGTGTGGGGTAAGGAAACTTGCCCAAGGTTTCACCCTGCCGGGAATCGAACTCTTACATGTAAGAGGAAGAATATTAGATCTTCCTCATTCTTCTATTATAATACACAAAGCTAGTTCTATATATAGAACTTCCTTTATATATATATAGAGCTTCCTTTTCTGCATTTTAATTTCTGTTACCAGTCCGAAACACTGACTGTCCAGCGCCTTGGGACATCCTCCTGACGTGAAAGGCGCTATACAAATGTAATTTTGTTGTTGTTGTTGATCTGTGCTGCTGTTCCCTGAAATAAATCTTAAAATAACAGATGTGCTTCCATTTTGAGACCTACACGTACAGTCGGATAGAGAAGGCCACGGGTGTATCATAGGTTCCTGTGGGCCACCAAACTTTTAAGGGGCAGCATCTATTTTTGTGGTCTGTTAATTCTTATGTCCATTGAAAGAGATTCAAAGAATGAGGAATACCATACTTATGTTATGGAATATATTACTCTCAGTTGACTGCTTGACAGAAGTTATATTTAGAAAAAAAACTACCCTAGCACAGAATATTGTACATACTGTATTGCTGATATATTCCTTTGTTAAGGAACTGGCCTCAGATTGTCAGAACTACAGAAAAACTAGTTAATTTCTGCTGAAATAGACAATCAATAAATGAAAATATTAATTTCTGATAGCAAATTGTGAATTTAAAGTTTAAAAAGTTATTAAAACCTATTTTACAGGGTATCTTTCCACATTCTTTAAATGAGATATTAAATATTCAGAAACCATTCTAAACTCCTCTAATGGTGTAAATGTATGATTACAATTATCGTGTTAAAACAAAGGTTGCTAAAGTATGTGATTTTGTGTTTTGCAAACTATTTCAAAGTAATCATGCACCGTGCTATTGGGAAGTCATCCTGACACGAAAGGCGCTATGCGAATGTCATTTTGTTGTTATTCAACAATACAGGAAGCTTGGAGCCATGACAAGAGATAATGTTGCAAACTAGGAAACCAAATTATGCAGTAGATTGGAATATTAGGCTATGGATTCACATCTAAAATAATCCATCCAAATAGCAAGTTAGCGTTTTGACTGGATTATTTGGGCAGACTTCCAAATAGATAGTCATTTACCCCTAGGAATATTAGCACCCTGTTCAGTTGCCCAAGAGATACCCTGCCCAAAATGTAGTACTTAACTTATACGAAGCAGAATACCTGTCTGTTACACAGATTTAAAACATACCAAAAGAAGGTATAAGGCTTCCTCTGTGGAAAAGTGTTTGATTTAGTATGTCTATCCAAAATATTTTGTTCACATTCTACAGTGATTAATTCTGTTGAAAAACAAATGCCAAATATGCTCTCAATTGACAGTACGCCCTTGTAAATGTGTGCTTCGTTTTGTGCAGTAAATGTTCCCCCCACCCCCAACATACATACATACATACATGTACAATTCAAACAATAGTTGGTTGACTGCTGCGCTCGATCAATACAACGAAAATAAACTCAAATAAATGTGAGACATAAAGATATTTTAAGTGCAATAAAGCAATCCGAAAGCGCATGCTGCTGCAAGCCCACACAAGCCGAAGCCATACAGGAGGAGAGAATGCACAGGTCACTCACCTCTATGCTGCGATTCTACTCCTCGTGGAGTAACACAAAGAGCCGAGCAAGTCCCAGATCTGCACAGCAATCGAACGTACACTGCAAAAAAGATCATTATTAGAAACGATTAATCTCAAAACACACGGACGCGAAAAAAAAAACTTCACGAACGGCTGAGTTCTGTTCTCTCGCTTTAAAATGTCACATAAAACGTGAACCCGGTCATGTTCTCTTACAATAATTATCTTCTCAAATGCCTCCCCGCACTCAGCTGGGGTGCGGCGGGGGGCGGGGGAGGTGGACACTCTCTCTTAAATCTACGGGTGACAATATAAAACGATTCCGATCGTTTGCTCTACGAACTCCCGAGATGATCATTATATTAACGATAATAACAATCGTCCTTGCATTTGATAGAGCGCCTCACCCCGTCTTCGAGGGGGCCTCGAAAAGCGCTTCACAGAAAAATACTGTAAAGTGAATGGACTGCATATTTTTTGGGGTGGGGGGGGGGGTGGGGGGGAAAGGATGAGATTTGTTGTAGAAAATAACTTTCGGTGGTGTTGGTTGATGGGGGGGGGGTTGAAAGAGAAAAAAAAACTACAACCACATGTTGGTGGTCACAGATGTGTGTGTGTGTGTGTGTGACCTGTTACTTACTACACACACGAGCCGGGATTTACAGGGCTTAAAAAGTGCCTGGATCTCAAACCACAGTCACTGGCAGGACTCCCTCTGTCCAGGGGTGGGGGGGGGGGGGGGGGGGAAAGGCCTTTTCTTCTCCACCACTCACCCCGGAATCGACACGATTCCCCAACGGCGGCACAACAACTCTCCCCCCCACCCCCCCATCACACACACACACACACCCCCACCCCTACCACCACCACCCGCCCCTCTCTCACTATCTCTCTGTAGTTTTTTCCAGCAACTCCCGCACGGAGCAAAACTTTGCGACAACAGCAGCAACAACAACAACGACGACGACGACGACCCCTCACCCCCTCTCCTCCCCTTCCCTTCCCCACCCCCCGCGCCGCGCGCCCGGTCGGGTCGGTTGTTTTTTTTTAACCCCCCGTTAACACTAACACTCGGACGAGTAAAGGAAGGGACAAGTTGGCGGCGGCGGCGGCGCTCCTCCTCCTCCTCCTCCCTCCCGAGTTTAGCTGTCAAACCCCGCGCGGAGACTCGGCATCGCAACCGCTTACCTTTAAACTGCTCTGTGGCCGTCAACCCCGACCCGTCCCCGCGCCCACTCTCCCCCGTCCTGTGGACACTCAGTGTGTCGTTCCCCCCCCCCACCTCACCTCAACTCTATCCTTCCCCCCTACGCTCCCCACCGGCCTGTGGCAGTTACTTTGTCCTGGACCCAGTTTCAGCCATTTTCTCTCTCTCTCTCTCTCTCTCTCACTGTCTGTCTGTCTCTCTCTCTCTCTCTTTCTTTCTCTGAATTAAATTTTGTTTCTCTCAAACTTTCCTGATTCGAGCAGTTCTGCCCCGGAGCAGCCAATGAGATGGCAAGAAGCCGCTTAAAAAAGGGAAGCGACCAAATACCGGGGATGGAGAGGGTAAGAAGCCCCTCACCATTGCTGATCAGGTCCTCCCCCCCCCCCCCCCCCCACCACCCTCTCACACACACCCCCCCCCCACCCTCTCACACCCCCCCCCATGTTACTACTGTACTGTACTTGTAGAGTTAGTACAAGTCAACCCTGACACCCACACAGCCCAACCCAGATCCATAATTTTCACCATTTATTTACATCTACGTTTATTATTTACCATTATTCACACAAGCCAAATGATTAAGAAAATGCGAAAACAGTTTAGATACCCAACGATATAAGCGCATTTCTGAGCCCAAAACTTTTTTTTGTGGGGGGGGTGAAAAAAATATCTAAAATATCTAAAATATCTAAACTCTATATGCGCGAAGTATTGACCGAACACGTTCGCGAAAGATTCACAATGAGGAGGAAAGTTTAGACCGCCTGGGTGTTTTCTAATAAACCTGCAAACTTGATCAACGTATTATTGTTGCGTATTGAAGGTGCTCCCAACGGGGTCGCGTAACGTATGGGTTAGAGCGCTCGCCTCGCAAGCAAAAGCCCGGCCCGGTTCTATTCCCGAGTGGGGCGAAACCTTAGGCAAGTTCTCTTGCGACACACGACTCTGTTTATCAAGCAGTAATTGGGAACACGGTTTGTCGGCCGGTCGTTTTCTGGGTGTAATATCTCCTCCCAAATTTAAAAGAAAATAATAGTTCGGTCGCTCAATCCACGACAGGAAAACTGAGCGTAAGCAAACAATTACCAGCAACATTCCACACAGCTTTCTCATCATGTCTAACTGAACATTCACAGTGAGTACATTATTTGAGCAGTGGTTGGCCAAAGCTAGTCCAATCCCGCACGTGTTGAACGCATTCATTTTGAGCACACGTTGAACGGATTCATCATTTTGACTGAAGTCTCAGAAGATTACAATTCAGGGTGCAATAGCCGTTTGACTGCATGACGTTTTGTATAATTTGGTATTCAAAATAAATTGGCTCAATAGTTTCCCTCAATGTAACGCATACCAAACACAGGTAAGTGTTTACCTAATTTCTTACTCATTGAAGATATGCTGGAGTAGATTTAGGCATTGCCATAACAGAACTGAATAGAGCTGTCAAGGATTGTCGTAATTTATTTGTTAATACTACTACTACTAACAATCCTTACATTTGATATAGCGCTTTTTTGCGACTTCTAGATGTCTCAAAGCGCTTCACAGAGTATACTGTCAAGTGAGTTGACTGTATATTTGTGGGTGAAACTCGGCAGCCAATTGCGCACAGCAGTGTCCCACAAACAGTCATGGATTGAAGTGAACGATGTTATTGCTTTTTTTTTTCTTGAGGGATTATTATTAGGCGCGCGATATCAATATAATATAATATGAAATTTGAGTCGGTTATACACTACAACTAAAATGACAAGCTTGAATCATGGAAAATCCTGTCAAAAGGGAGTAACTGAAATGTACAAACAGTATTTTCATTCTACATTTAAAGAGGTATCCAATCAAAGTCAGACTTTGGTGTTAACGTCTCATCCGAAAGGATGGCACCTGCAACAATGCAACGCATCTCCAGCACTTTACTGGAGATGTCATTTCCCAGATTAAGTGAATTCAAAGTACTGTGGGGCTTGAGTCAAGTACTCAAGTGAAAAGGCGAGGACTCAATGCCATACTGGCAGCATGAAAGTGTCAGGAAGTACAAACTTGTGAACCATATGATGATATTATTCTGCAGGGATGTCAATATAGTTACTGTCGTAACCTTCATTCTGAAATCAGCGTGACAGGTTACCCAAGCCTGACAGACGGCTGACAGACGGGTCGGACTGGGGGAACACACATTAATTAGTCAACACTGCGGAGCGTTTCTGGTCAGATACGATTACTAACAGAAAAAAAACGCCGACAGTTACCTGATCTACGCAGTTTATTTTGGTGTGTGTGTGTGTGTGTGTTAGTTGAAAGCTGGGCTGGGACATTCATTCATGTTCTATCCTGCAATCTCTCCGCCTCAAGCCGCCCACTCTTGCCTCCTTCAAGTCCCGTCTAAAGACCTTCCTCTTCGACCGTGCCTTCGGCCGTCCTCCCACCCCCTCTGCTCTGCCCTCCACCCCTCCTGACCGCCAACTCCCAGCTCCTGTCCAAAATACTCCTGGGACGTCTGTCCGACGTGAAGGGGCGCTGTACAACTTGTTGTTGGTGTTGACCCAGGTGGGGGGGGGGGGGGGGGGGCGGGGGGAGTAGGCGCACTGCCCCGCGGTGGGCGGGGGCTCGGCTCGGCTTTCTCGTCACCGTGGCAACGGTGACGTCGCCCACCCCCTCCCCCCACCCGTCGTCGAGATTCAAATTCTAACCAATCAGAGCGCGGAGCCGGCCTGATCGTCTCGCCTGCCGTTGACACGCGCAAGTGGCCGGGGCTGTTTAAATTGTTGAGCGCGTGGCGGCGCCCCAACCGTCAACCGGGACCCCAGGAGGAGGAGGAGGAGGAGGGGACGGGGTGGTGGTGGTGGGCGGGGCGGGATGGGTAAGTGTCCGGGACGAAAATATAGCACGGAAAAGTTACCTCTTTTTCTAACTCCGTCTGCGATATTGTCATATATATATATAAATATATTGTGTTGCTGACAAGGAATCAGATATGCTGTACAGTCAAGATGCCAATCAGTGGCTTATAATCGATGGCGGCGGCTCCGTTACCAGGGGGATAATTACCGGTACAAATGGCTGTTGCTCGTGGGGAGGGGGTTGTTAGGTTCACTGGCACTTGGAATCGGTCTTTTTTTTGCGTCCCTCCTTCACAGTGTTGTACAAGGGTGGGGGGGAAACAAAAACTAACCTGGCAATGAAATCGTAACTCACAAACTACACCCGGCGGAACTTGCTTCCAGGTCAAATACATCCATACATAAATAAAATTTAATAAATAAAAATAAATAGGTTCAATGCGGTTTGAAGCAGTGACAGTGTAAAATGGACATAGGATATTTCCGCTAACATTGTTTCAGTTCGGTCTTGGGATCTTATAATAATAATAATAATAATAATCCTTGCATTTGATATAGCGCTTTTCACGTCGGGAGGGACGTCCCAAAGCGCTTCACAGAACACACCTGTGAAGTGAATTGACTGTATATTTGTGGGCGAACGCGGCGGCCGATTGCGCACAGCAATGTCCCACAAACAGTCGTAGATTGAAAATGACCAATTTATTATTGGTTTTGGTTTTGGAGGGATTATTATTAGGCTCTGTGTGGAGTAAGGAAACTTGCCCAAGGTTTCGCCCTCTGCCTGGAATTGAACTCAGTTTTGGTGACTTCGGAGGCTTGACGACTTTAGCTGAAGCAGAAGCCAAAGCAGCTCCTGGCTCATGTGCCCTGTCCCCTTGTTGGCACTTTCTTCGATTAAATGGGGCAACAATTTAATCTACTTGAAGAGGCTTATTCCAGAGTTTCTAAAACAAATGCGAAGGCAGCAAATGGTCAAATCTAATAGGTTTGGTTCCCCCCAGCGGCAACATATTTTATACTGCAGTCATGGATAATGATTGGTGTTGAAATGCCAACTTGTTATAATTGTTATAAACTGGTAGTAAATATCACTGAACATCGCTAAGCATCACTGCCAACCTGATCTGAACAGTAGACAAAATGATAAATACATAGTAAACGCCTATTATCATATCCAAATTAATAGGCAAAAGAAGGCAACTTACTCATTGAACTTTATGCTTCAATGTACTTTTAGCTCCAGAGAACAAATACATATAAGCTTTATGTGAATAATTTACTCAATGTCATAAATAGTTAGAATATTTATTTGCTTCTAACAACTAGTTGCCTAGAGTTCCCATATACGTTTTTATTTCGAATCTTTATTTATTCATGAAATAGTCATTTGAAGCTATAGTGTTACAATTAGGTAATATCATTCCTTACAGCTATTACTGACAAACCTGGTCACTGTTCCGCATGTTGCTCGACTTTCGGACAGGAATGGAAACAGGTTTGCAAATATAAGACAGAAGAAACTTACAATTTAAAATAATAATAATTCTTGCATTTGACATAGCGCCTTATCACATCTTCAAGACGTCCCAGCATATACTGTAAAGTGAATTGACTGTATATTTCATGGGCGAAACGCGGCAGCCATTTGCGCACAGCAGGCAGCCAGCTGCGCACAGCAATTCGACTAATTTACTCAAGTAAGTACATATGTTGGTGTTTTTATAAACAAAAATACAAATTCTATGCTTATGGTATACTTTTTGAGTATCAAATGTTGATTTGATTGTTTTTCTGTATACTTAATAGCAAGTTCCTTACATTAAACACTTCCTACCCTGTCAGAATAGGTGCCAGTTAAGCAATATGCAGGATATTGACCAAGATTGCTACTAATATTTGCAAAGACAATATTAGATAATTTCCCCCCCAAAATTGTAAAGTTAGAATGTCATTTATGAAAATAACAGTACTCAGTTGTTCATACACAAAACATCTTGTATGATTTCCCTCTTTTCCTCCTATGTAGATTTACTCCAGCGAGACAATTTGCAATATAGAAGCAAGTAAAATGTAAAAGCATGCAAGACTGAATGGCACAAATAAATAACTGTCCAGCAACAGGAGGAATTTCCATATATAGGTGGGATTCATAGAACTCTCAGCTTGGTTTGGATACTCTTAAGCATGGTGATGGGTTTCTGCATATGTCAGACACCCGGCTGACCAAAAAAAAGCAACATGATTTCTGAGGCATACAGCATTTGATTTACAAAAATGGAATATTCTGAAGCAGATACTAATCTTAAGGCGTTAAATGAATTGAATACAGATGACAGTGAAGACTCTTTAGAAAAATTGGATGATGACCAATTCATTAGATTTCTGGAGAATAATTGCAAAGGTTTGCAAAAGTCGCACGAAGATCTCGATAATGAATGGAGTCAACAAGGACAAGAGGACTCATTACTGTGGGAGGAATCCTTTGAACACAGTATATTGCTAGAGGTTGATGATGATTTCAACTTAAATTTTACTGAAGTTCACGATTCCTATACCATTTGTGTCTCTCAGTCTTCAGCAGAAGATCCTAATATTACTACAGGTTAGTATAAGTAACTTACTTTCACAGTTTCTCTGTAAGTAGTTTTCTTATGCCATGTCTTCAAAGAAGACAACATTTAAGTCATGATTGTTGATGGTGTATTCATGGCTTTAGTTCTCCAATGTTGGATACAAATGAAGGGTTCAGAGCTTTCTCATCTTCCTAGCTTGTCATGCACCATCAGTTCCATAATATTTCATTTAGTCTTGAATGCTAAAATTAAAAATTTTCAAATCCCAAATCATTTCAAATTCAAAATGCTGATTTTCTTTTTTTTTAAAAACAAAATATACAATTTGCTACAAATAGGGCAGTTAAATAGCAATAAAGTACAACAACAGAATTTTTTAAAATTTGTATAGCGCCTTTCACATCGGGAGGACATTGCAAGGCGCTGGACAGACAGAGTTACAGATCCAAACTGAGGGTTGGGGTGGGGGAGGGTGGAGGTGGGTCTCCAGAGTTTGACATAAACCTTCACCATTAAAACTATAACAAATCCCCTTTGAACCAATAGAAGTAGATCAACTGTGGTTCGGAAAATTGTTGTCAGATTCCAGATTTTTTAAAATGGTACAGCCTTTAAATAATCTATTCAGGAGCATTGACACTGGTTAATGTATTGTACAATGCTTTATATAATACTTTCATTAATTTCATTGTATAGCTATCTATGGAGCCAAAGAAAGCAATGAGTGTTGGTTCTAACTGTTTTCTGTTCTGCAACAGATGACATCAGCAACATTGAAAGTGAATACAGTTTTGATGATGAGAAAGTTTCAAGCATTGATGAACATCAGTTTAACTATAGCCAACATATTCAGAGTCCTAGCAATTTAGACAAATATTCTGAACCAAAAGGTAGCTTAATGCAGAACTTGGAAAGTAATTTTTCAGGGAATAAAGTGCAGGATGTACCTGATAATACCACTGATGAAGAACAGGAAGAATTGCCTTATGATGGTAACTTGCAAATTACTAAAGAACATCAAACAGATACAATATATGATTTAGACAATCCCAGGGTACCATTAACTATTCTTGTAAAGAGCAGGCAAAATGATGGGCCTGATTGTGGGATGGCTGGAATCCTTGCAAAAAAAGAACAATCAAATGTGGAAACTGCATTATATCAAAAAGAAATGACTTGCACCAGAGTGAGTCCAGAGACTGAAGATTCTGGTAAATATAAAATTGAAGCGACAAACTTGACTTCAGAAGATAATGGGAATACAATGGTATCAGAACATGAAATGAAATTAGAACACAATAAAAGAGATGGTAGAAGATCAAATATTGCAGAGTCACTCCTACGTCATTTCTCTGAAGAAGACTTGGCACTTAGCTCAACTAAGTACATTGACACTGAGACTTTACCAGAGACCTCTTTTACTGAAACTATTGAAGAAACTGTAATTAAAAAACAGACATTATCAGCAGCCAGTAATAACTCACCCACAAGCATTGAAAAATGTACAGCATTACAGGCAGCCTTTTCAAAGAAAGAGAAAGTTAATGAATTTGCAAATGAAAAAAAAGTGTCAAGAGATTATTCGTATTGTGATCGATCTGCTCAGAGTCAAGCGGCAAATTTACTTCAAACCAGTAACAACAACTGTAGAGAAAATCTACACCATGAAATGCAAGAAAAGAATGAAAATTTGCAATTTAATCCTAAAATGGCTTCAGGATTTTTTGAAAATTTTAAAATGGGAAAGATAATTTCTTACAATGAGATCAAATATGGTAAAGGGAAGCCGCATTATCCTTTACCTGACTTTTCGAAAGTTGCACCTAAAATCAAAATCCCTAAGAGGAACAGTTATAACAAGTATACTCCATCAAGGATAAAAAAAGCAAAATCCTCACCTCATTTGTCATATACCCTCACCAGTCATACATCAACCGTAGATGTAGTACAAGAAGTTCTGGATAGCATACAACCTCCAGCAATTTCAACAAGTACAACATTTAACAAACAAGAATTTGTGAAGGATAATCATTCCCCTGAACTTTTCCAACAATTACAGGTAAATAGATTAGATCATTTATTCTAATTTATGTGAGCTTTCTGTAGAATGCCAAAGAGACCAAATAGATTTGTATTTGTATTCCCTTTATAATACGGATTAAAATTCTACATATCGATATTGCTCTTTATAAATTAGCAAATAAACAATTGCATTAAACATTGCATGTCAAAGCATGATGTGAAAGATTAGTCTGTTGTCAAATCATGTAATTTATTAATTGCAACCAACCTTCGCTATCTGACACCTCTGGTGGCATTAGGAAAATTGGGTTTGGTAAACAATAATTAACTGCATAGTTTTTTTATCATAAAGACGTGAGTTTCTCTTGCATTTTATCACATCACCTCATCTTGAATACATTTTTGCTTTGAAGCAATGTGCTATCCTACGCATTATAATGCAATAAATTTATACGGGGTAGACAAATTATAGGGAAACAGACTTTTTAAAAAAAGATTAACTAAATATCTTTTTCTACAAATGTTAAGAAACTTCCTCGATCTGTAATTTTGTTCTACCATTCTGTTCCTAGGAGGAATTTGACAAGTTATTAATAAAGTATGCAGAAGCTGAGAATACCATTGATCAGTTGAGATTTGGTGCAAAGGTGGGTAGTACAGTACATTGTAATTTAATCTCATATACTATTTGCAACAGATAGATGCATTTGTTTTTTCAATAAGTTATCAAACTTTTATATAGAATTACGCAGAAAGTTACATATTCAATCCCTAGAACTACCTTTAGGTAGTACAGTACTTTGAAAGTATTTTACACTAGTACATATTTTCATCACTGTGACTCAATGGTGCTGGCAGTATACATATTTCATAGTAATCATCAAGAAGAAATTGAAGTGGAGAGTGTGTCTCGATAGCAGTTTGTGAGAAGGCCACAAACAGAGCTAATAACACAAAGGTATGGTCTTATTGATGCTGTAGTTAAATGTCCAATGAAGTCATAACTTTCCAGCAAGTGTTTTATTGTCTGTTTTGGAATGCTAGATAACATTATCATGTTCATGTGTAAAATGTTATCAATTAGGAAGAAAGAATCTCAAGGTGCTTTTACTTTGCAAACATAAAACAATTATTGATTTTAACTTCTCTCCTACCAGGTGTCCATATTCACTGACTCCACCAAACCTAATCAAATCATCCAGTCTGGAATATCGCCATCACCTAGTCAAATAACCACACTGGCAAAACAAGGTCAGGTGGAATTGTCGTCTGACTCAGTTTTCTTAGGTTAACAAAGACATTTAAAATCGAGACTTGTATTTATTTTAGTACATGTTTATACACAAATGAATGAAAAGCGTACGTTTTAGTGCAAACAAGTAACAGATTTTTTTAGACAATTATTTTATGGTTTGAAAATCTTACACAATATAATTTTACATGTTGCACCATATTTGTGCACTTACATTGCAGATCCCTTGCATTTTGTTGGAAACAGTATTTAATGCACCTTATTCATATAAGCTGGGTAAGGGTAATAAAGGCAAATTTTTACATTTCATGCTTGGTTATCGATCTTAGTTTTCAGAAGGCAGAGAATTCTTCGAGATTCTTTGTTCACAAAGACTCTTGAATTTATAATTTGAATTTATATTGCAGAAAATATAACCGGAAATATTCTGACTTCTGATATGCTTTGATTGCATTCAAGTAGTAATACTGTACCGGGATTGCCAGAATCAGAAAGAGATTAAGATTTTTTAAAAAATCTAACAAGATTTGTTTTCCCAAGTTTAGAGATTGTATTAGTTGTAATGATCTTTTTACATTATTTTGTGTGTCAATATAAACATTATGTTTCGTTAAGATTTGGGAACACATATATTTGCATTACAGGGGGGAAACATTTTTAATTGTTACAATTGTAATATACGTGGAAATATATGGGTGCAAGTCTATGTCTTTGGATGACATGGTACTACATCACCAGACTAAATTGTATTTACATTATTTTAATATTAACTGGAATCAACTATTTTTTCTTTTTTGCAGTATGTAACAACAGTCCCACACCACTATCCATTAATTATGGTGTAACCACATCAGCTTCTCGCTCTCCCAATACTGAGATGAATGAGACAACAGAAGCAGAACAAATGGCTCAGAAACTTAATAAACATGTTGATTTTTTTAAGCATCAGGTAACTGAACAATAAAATCATAAAGCAAATAACCTGAATTGACTGGTGTAAGATACAAAGTAGAATGGCTTATAGTCAAGATAGTCTAAATTTTCTTGAAACAAATTACATCTGTTTTTTCTGCAATTTTTACTCGGACATCACAGATTTCCAAACTATTCAAACCTGTTTTTATGATTTGTTTTTATTTCTATCCTAACCTAATATATAAGAGTTCAATTTAAATTTACAAAGCCTTTGCATAAATTTCTGTCAAGCAACTTACACCAACTGAGGTAATGTTCCCTGCATTTGTAGACAGAATACTACATGTGTGATTCTCCAGTAATACACTTGGTACAGAATTAAGAATGGATTGTGTTTTTCTATATGCCCACTAGATGGTGGCAAAATAAAGGTGGAATGATTGTACTTGCATAAAGGAAAATATGTTTTTTTATTTACACAGCAGTACAAATAGTGTACAATGGTGTTTGTCACTGGTATTGGAGCAAAGCGATATCTTGTAAAAAAAAAAGTTATTTGAACATGATGACCTTTGGATTCATTTCTGAAAGCTACTCTAAGCTGATATTCAAGCAATTGGTCATTTGCTCCAAAATGGCACTGTGTACGAGTGCAGTACTTAGTTTTATCTAGCATTTGTGCCAAAAGCATTTATGCCAATTGGTTTAAATAATTCTTTGTTGATTATAAGGTGTACATTTGTTGTGATGTTTTTCTTTTATGTTACATTGTGTCTAAACCACTTTGCAAAAAAAACCTTGATTGAAATGTTTTGTTCATTATAGTAAATGGCTTTTGAATATTTTGATGATTTTTATGGCTTTTTATAGCAATGGTTGGAAAAATAATTGATGCTCCTGGGATTCTCTTTAATAACAAAAAAAAACTTTTTAAATAATTTGTGGCAAGTGTATTGGATTAAATCACATTTCTCAATTGGATTTATATATTTCTGGTCTATTTTGTTTTAATTGAATTCATTTAATGACTTATGGAACAATAATGCCAATAGACAAGAATACTTGTGTATTTTCCCAGAACAATAGTGATCTAAGGTTACACACTTATTGAATGAGCTAGATCTGGAGGTGTATTATTTTACATGAGTCGTACAGAAATAATTGACTTTGTCCAAGAAAACACTGACTGTTGTGGGATACAGTGACATTTGTCAGGTGTGAAAAACTGCTTTGATCTCTTTGGAATTGTTTTGCTGGTATAACATTACACGTTCAATGTGTAGACCAGATTCATTTGAGTTAACAAAATACACTGCATAGGTACACTAGAGCTAACGATGAAATTTACTGGCAAGTTTGTGTATGAAAATCACACAACTGTAAAATTGTGCTGTAAGTGTTTGTTCTTAAGGAAAGTGAACAGAGCAACTAAAACAAGACTAAATTGCTTATAAAAATGGGTCTTGTTCGCCAAGGAAATTACTGTAACTTTCTTTTTGGGAATTAAATAATTTTTCACTTTTGATATTCTTTGTTATCACCTATTGAATGGGCTAGATTCAGGCATATTTGACCTGCAGAGTAAAGCTCATTTGCAGTTTGCCTCAATAATGTACATTCGTCACAAAAACATGAACAAGTTTACAAGTATGAATTTTCCATTTCCCACAACAGCCATAAATGCACAAAGTAGGCTAACTAAAATTAAACACAGGTGGCAGATTCTATACCAAAACAACTGAAGAGAATCTTAAATTAACGTTTGTAGATTCGCAGGGGATGATTGAAATTTCAGTATAATTAGCAATATTTTATGTTGATGTTGTGGTCTGACCCACAATTGTTGTATAATCCCTAGAACTGAACATTCCTGGGAATTAGGTGGCTCTCGTTCAGCTACTGAGATGGACTTAACGTCTCAATACACTAAACACAATTGGGCATTGTAGCTTTAACGCAGACTAGCGCTGGAGAAAATAGGTTTCCAGGTGTAATGTTAAAGTGTGGATTTCTTGCTGTAGGGAAAATATTGCTTTATAACTTATTTTTCTGTTATTTGTAGTGGGAGTACTTTGAACAAAAAGTATTAGCTCTGGATTTTAGTTCTTGTATAAATATTACTTTTACTTCATATATTTAGTATTACTTTAAATATTATGACAGACATGCAGACAAAATAATGGAAAAAGCAGTTTACAGACATAAGGAATATGAAAATGCCAAATATTTGGTATTAAGGTTGTTATTCTAATCCTTCTGATTCCCTACTACGTACAAATTATGGTTCTTTGTTGACCTAATGTTCAATTTAGCGATTATGATAAAATATGTCTTTTGTAGGTTAAAGAATTTGAGGAAAAGCTTAACTCTAATACAATTTCTGTGGGAGATCAACAGAAGGTAGTGTATTTGGCAGTTAAGTTTGAATACATTTCCAATAACAATGTTTAACATTTATTTTACTAATTGCTACAAAATACATATGCTTGTTAGAACAAATAAACTTAATGCTTAACATTATTTGGTTTTTATTTTGTGTAAGAGTAGGAATTATATTTTCATAAATTACAGCGTTAAGTGTATATCATGTGTTTACTATAGCATTAAACAATTATATTGATAAAGGAAATATAATTCAGTTACAGATATAATAATAATAATAATCCTTGCATTTGATATAGTGCTTTTCACGTCAGGAGGACGTCCCAAAGCGCTTCACAGACCACACTGTAAAGTGAATTGACTGTATATTTGTGGGCAAACGCGGCAGCCAATTGCGCACAGCAATGTCCCACAAACAGTCATAGATTGAAAATGACCAATTTATTATTGTTTTTAGTTTTGGAGGGATTATTATTAGGCGTGTGGAGTAAGGAAACTTGCCCAAGGTTTCGCCCTGCCTGGAATTGAACTCAGGTCTCTCGCTTGCAAAGCGAGTGCTCTAACCACTGAGCTACAGGACTCCACATAAACATGTTGATTTGAATAACAATATACAATTTTTGTTTAAACTGCATTTTTATCAAAGGACACAGACAAAGTAATGGAAACAGTAGGTTTGTTTCAATAGAAGTTAATTGGGAAGTATTGCTTTCATGTGAATTAAATTTTTAAGAACAAAATTTGGCTGTTTTTTTGTTTTTTGTGGAGCTCTGGAGCTCAGTGGTTAGAGTACTCGCTTTGCAAGCGAGAGGCCTGGGTTTGAATCCCAGCAGGGTGAAACCTTGGGCAAGCTTCCTTACTCCACACACCTGATAATAATCCCTCAAGAAAATAAAACAATAATAAATTGGTCACTTCAAAACCACAACTGTTTGTGGGACACTACTGTGCGCAATTGGCTGCTGAATTTCGTCCACAAATGTACAGTGAATTCACTTTACAGTCTATTCTGTGAAGTGCTTTGAGACGTCTGGAAGACGTGAAAAGCACTATATCAAACGCAAGGATTATTATTATGTGATTGTGCACATAAATTGACAGAAACAGCTTTTGTACACATTTCCAGAACATAGGAATGAATGTGCACATTGCAGCCAGCCCAGTTTTGTGCAAAATATTCAGATTTTTATCAAATTTACCTGTTTTACCATTCCCCCCTAATTTTCCCCAAAAGAATCAGAAAATACCCCTTTTTTTTGTAAATAAAAACAAAATTTAATGGTACTTATTTGTAGTCCACGATGCATTCAAAAGTTATGTTACAATACAATTTATTTTGATTGATTAATAGGTGATAGAAAAGAGAATATTGCTTACTGTTCCAATAACATATTCTAAAGCTGTTAAAAAATAACCATTTAAACAGTAATGAGGAATGAAGTCTGTATTATATTTGCGTTTTCTTTTAATCACGAGTGACCTTTTTACAGGTATTTAAGCAAATGAGGGATGATCAGGACAAACTTGAAAGGAGGTATATAACCGCAAAAGAGGAGCATCGCAGTCTAGAGCAACGCCACTACATAGAGAAAAACACCGCTGTTGGGGAATTTGATCCTGATAGGTTAGATTTAATAAACTGGATTTTTAGTCATAATCACATTTTATGTTCCACAGTAGTTTAAGCCTGAATTTGACTACCTAAATGCCAATTAGAAAGATCATATCATAAGCAACAACAACAAAATTACATTTATAGAGCGCCTTTCACGTCGGGAGGACATCCCAAAGCGCTGATATTATACACACGATTAAGCATTTTTTCAGTGACATGAAACTCTGTTTCATGCCAATTTCTGCTGCTTAATTTAAGTAATTGCTATTTTGAACTTTTAGGGTCTTTTCAGATTGATGATTTTTTCCCCCTGTATTTGCAATAAATTTGAACTTGTAGTGTAATATTAGAATTTTATTTCTCCAAAATCTCTGTTTTTTTTCTTCAGAAAGATTGAAGGAGAAATTTTTAAATTAGGAATGCATCTCGAATGTATCAAAGAGAAAATTGATGATAACGTTTGCAATCAACCATCCCCACACAATTCTTTCTTGACTTCAACTCCACTCCCGCCAACTGAGATTTTGTCTGCCGGATGTGCAATTTATTCTAAGGTAAACAGTGCATTAAAAAAAAACTTGAGTTCTTTAGTGGGAATTAGGATGTCTTCAGCAAATACTGACACTCACAATAGGTTGAATGGTTTCCAACTGTGTTGTATATTATGTGGTTCTATCGATTCTTTGCATCGTATTTAATCTCCTGAGGAAAGAGTCAGTAAAAATTCTCCCTATTCTCCAAAACAAATTGAGAAAAGTCTAGAAAATCTACCTAACCTTCTGACCTATATTTATCCTTGAATGGTTGCCTTCCATGGTATGACAATTCTTGATTAGAGCCGTTGTGTGACCGAGAAAGCAAGACCACTTGTCAAAGTTACACTTGGAGTGTAAAGAAATGTTAAATAATTAGTTTTGAGTGATCACTGTAAAAGTTAGAATTTTGAATTTTAGAGCTTTTAAATAATGACGAAAAAAAGTTAACATTCTAATTTCATTAAGATATCCCAATATGCTTTGTAGATTTTCTCATAATAAATGAGTCCAAAATATTAATCTGGAATTAAAATCATATACATATATAAATTATCAACTCGTGTTCCCATTTTCTTCCATCAGAGTCCCATGGCTGCAATAAATCAGGAGGGTGTGATGCTGACTTTTGAGACCAGCTCAGTGAGTGCAGAAATACCAGACAGTATTGAGTTGAAGATGATCCCTGAGATGGATAGTCAACCATCCTTGCTGGAAGACAGCTATGATCACATTCCCCAGCAGTAAGAATAATTTGGTTTTCTTATTACACAAAACTTCATCAATAGATTAGGTGAATTAGCTTTAAAAATGGATTAGTGCGGAATAATGAAAACTACTGTACTTATACAACTGAATAAATAAACCATTAATCAATGATTAAATAAATAATAACTATCGTAGTCATGTTAAACAGTCAAGTAAGGTAAAGACGTCATTTTAAAATAATTATTGGGATTGTTAGTCTGCTGCCTCTCCTTTAAGTTATTCAGCTTTTTTTCCCTCTTTATTTGCAATTCACATGTTATATATTTACCTGGTAGAGATCTGTATAAACACCCAAACACCCTGGCACATGCGTTAGATTTATCTGTGTTTGAAAATAAGATTAAACGATCCATGCTAGATGCACACAAAAAAAGGTGAAGATTGCAGAACAATCTCAGGACCAGCAGTCAATATCAATGAAAAACAAACTGAGCAGGATGCAGAGCTGTAAGTGACATGTATGATCTTCAATTTGCATTTATAGAATACAGCTTTCAGAAGTATTTTGTTTAATTTTCTTTGGAAATCAGAGAATATTCTGCTGACTGGTACCCTATCCACAATAGAATAGATTTGCATCATCTATGGAAAGATGGACTGAAAAGACCAAATGACTTTTTTTTCCATTTTTTCTTATACACTTCTTCCTATAGTAGAAATTTCTTAGTAGAAACATATGTGGGTCTCTTGTGAAATTGCTGCAGACAATTTCCAGAAGCAATTCCTGTAGTTAGTCAAACTAAAGTTATAAATGTTTTAACATCTTAACCATTTCTTTTCATGTTTTTTTCTTTATAGGGTGCCCCACATAGAACATTCCAAGACAGTATCAACATTGACTGAGGGTTATTTTCATTCATCTGAGTTTTTTCCTGTTTTATCTATGAACCAAACGCTACCATTACCTAGCACTTCATCTCAGGCACAGGATGTGTTGACTGAACGTAAGGTATGCATACATGGAATGCCATTTAAACATTATTTAAATCCTCCAATGATGTACTCAGCAAACATTAGGTACTGTAATTAATTTTATGTGTTGACAATTACAGCCATATTCATTTGAGAGTGATGTTGGGAGAAACTCTGATAAAATTGATCACAGCGATCTGTAAATTCTCAGCTATGCAATATAGTTTATAATGATAGCGTTTCCAAAAAATAAGCAAGGCCTTTACTTCAGGCATGTCTACACTACTGTGTACTTTTCCCAACTACAACATGTATTTGTATAGTGCAGGAGAGTGTCTTGGACTGCTGAGTATGAGGATATTCACATTATTGTACTCCCCAATTTTTCTAAGATCAAAAACTTACCCTATGGCCATGTATGGTAGAGCACACTGGTGCATCCAAATTGCAGTGCCTGTACTTTTGAAATTTACAGCAATGTATACGTTTTAATCCATAATCTGACCTCAGACCCCTAATTGTAGAGTCTGTTCCAAACAAGTCAGTTGTCATAATCAACTTAGTCATAAATGCCACAAGACTTCAGCTCCAAACTCCAGTCGCCAACTCCTACAGTTGACTGCTCATTAACACTTGTTCATTCAGGTCTTCCCACAGTTACCATCTTAGTTTTGGCACAAACCATCGTAAAACAATATGTTCCTAATGCTACCTGCGGTGCCCTTTAAAGTAATTTTCCATCTTTTAACTGAAATACGTTTTTGTGCATTGCATCTATAGCAGCAGATACTTTCACCAGACAGTGGCTTTGTTGGATCAGAGAGCAGCAGACCCCCAACATCTAAACAAATACTAGATTCTGAACAACCAGAAACAGAAAGGTATTGATAAGTTTTCATAAAATAAACAGCATTTTTCTCGGACACTGTTATAGGCAAAAGGTAAATTTCAGGTGAATGTGATCATTTTGCTAAGCTACAGTTTCATCTTATGTTACAGATGGAAGCTATGATATGTTAATGACAATATTAAACAATGTGGTGATAAGATGCAGTCTCATGCATAAGATGCTGTTTTGATGGGATTACTTTCAACCATTCTGACAGTTTCTCTTCAACCTTTGCACAAGTCTTTGTTGCTTCACATATCTGTTAACAGCCTGGTCATCTTTCTAGTTAATACAAAGCAACTTTCAAAACTTTATAATCATATTTCAGCCTGAATATGACTAATTACATCTATCTATATTTATCCTTTCTCTTGCTAACTCAGGTGGGCATTCATTTAACCCCATTATTATTATCAACTTTCTAAACCTAACGTAAGAGACAGCCTGAAAAGTGTTAGCTGATCCTGTAGCAACCAGTGCTGAATATGAAAGATACATTCTTTCTCCTGTGTAGGAATTTTAAATCTTTCAATCTAGCTTTTTATTGCTTTAAATGATTAAAAGAAAGTCAAAGCAGTTTAAAACAAATTACTGTATGCTATGTATGGAATACACTTTTTAGATTTTGTTCAAATGGAAGATGCAGAACAATGTTGTTTTTGTACAATGATACTCATCTTAAAGATTTGTATCAAAAAGAAGGTCTTAAGTTAATATGAGCTGTGAACATTTTAACTAGTGCACTATTAATTACATATGGATGCTAACACATTTGCAATTTTTAAAATTACTTTATTTTTTCAAAAAATGATCAGATCCCCAAGAGTTTGTGAAGGAACACCCTCCATTGAAAGACAAAAGTCCTCATCCTCCCACAGAAGTGAAACTATGATTGTATTAGGTGAAGACAAAGCAAGCTGCTTACTCCATCTAGCAAACGCATCCAGCTGTAGTATTCCATTCAATTGGAGTGAAAGTGTTATTGGTATAACTGACATTCCTGCACAGCAAGGTGAGTTTCACAAAAATGATGCAAAAAGAGGAAGTCTTCATATTTGTAGGGTAAGATTTCTTGGATTTCTTCCAGCAAACTTGGATTAAGGTGAAAAAATCAATTTTTTGAAATATTGTGAAATATTCTGAATATTCTTGTTATACAGTGCATAGATGCAATCAGTCAAATTAATCTGCACATACACCAGTCTTCTCTTTGACATTCATTTTTGCAAAAATTCTTGAACTACAAAAGCATTTTAACATACAACTCCAATAATGTCTCACAGACTTCATAGAAAGATATATTTGAATTTAAATAATACAATAAACCGTGTCAGCATGCAGAATATTTTAGCTTTAGAATGCGTCATTGCATTAACAAAAATGTACTCACTTACAAAAACATGTTTTGTATGCAAATGAAGTGATAGCACAAAGAATATTGGTAGGAACCACATGCTAAACGTTTTTGCACACATTCATTTTACAATACCGCATTATTAAGGTAGTAATTCAGGAACAGGACCCTCCACATTAATGGTCTGATTATTCATATTATTGCTTAACTAGGTTTTATACAGTACATTTTATTATAGGAAATTCTGTACTGGATGTGGACCTTCATCATGAGAGTTCAGAGGACCTCATGCCACTTCCAACTCTTCAACAATGCATACCCAAAATATCTCTATGGAAGAGTGCCAGTAGCACTGAAGAGAGCCAAGATTTGTCTCAAAAATGGGCTGTAGCAAAGTAAGTAAAAAATATTTTTTGAAATACATGAAAGCAAACTAAAGCAGAGCCAGCCTATTAAAGTATTAATATGCAGACATTTTGTAACAGGAGTCACTCAGTTGCAAATTGCGATTTCTGCCAGTAACTAGAGGTGCATTATTCTGACATTTAGCATTTCAAGCAACCAGCAATAAATCAGGATCAGAGTTCGCACAAGTCAGTGTGATTACCGGCAGGAGCAGCTTTAACAATTTATTTTATGAACCACCACATATCAGATACCTTTGTAGTATTATCTTTAGTGGAGTGGCAGATTTAGATGTTGTACATTTATTTATTTGGACTTAATTAGTGGATCACTTGTTCTAATTCTTCACCTTCAGTGATAAAATCTTGATATTGCAAAATGAAGTCTTAAAGCTCAAGCAAAAACTAGAAGAAAGTCTTTCAAAATTGTCTAAGGAATCTACGAGGAAAAAGTGTCCTAAGACTGCACTACAGGAACAAAGATATCAAAACAAACCTCATCTCAATAATAAATGTTCATCTACAAGGTAAACAAACTTTAAATGTTTTATGAAAGGTGTATGCCAAATATTCCCTTCCCACCCTCCTTTACAGTTAATGTGCTTTTAGTTTGGGGTATAAACTGCAAACAAAATAATTACAGCTACTTATACTTAATTACAAAATCTATGCAGATTCTGTTGAATAAAACTGATTTCTCAAAGCAGGAGTAATGTTGGGATATTGGTGAATGCAGATGAATGTTTTGACGTGCAATTTGTTTTCCTACAGCATGGTAACTATTACTTTTATATATTAAAAATGTTTTTGTCTAACAATACAAGCAGGGAAGATGATAGATTACCCAGCACTAATTCAAAGGATCACAGAAGGAGATTTTGGCAAAGAACGGATGATGATGTTTCTGATTTTGAACTAAGTAAGTGATACAAAAATGTGTGGGAGTAATTTTGTGATTGTAGATTGTCTAAATCAGAATCTCCAATTGTAAATTTAATAATATTAGTTTAAATTATCAAAATATTCAAATCATGGTATTTTAGTAGATTGCATTAATTTCATAAAGCATCTTTTTCTATATTTTTACTATGTTGTTAATGTATCAATGGGTACTAAATCCACTGGAGATTCTAACACCACCATTTCAATTTTAAATTGAACACTGAATGTATTAGGGATTCTGTGCCAAACTGCATATTGTCTTTTATAATGTATAATGTATGAACATGAAAGCTCTTGGAATTGGAATTTTCAAAGCCATTCAGAGCACCTAGTTATTCCCTCAAGTCATACTTGTCTCTCTACCCCTATTCAAGCATAAGTTATTTGTGCACCATAATATGTTACTATAACCATAACATAAGGCAGACTATGGACAAATAAAAGGTTACTTTCTTTTGATTGTACAGGCAATGGCAATGAGGATTTTTCACAGAGAGAGACACAAATACCCGTGCACACAAAACATTGTTTAAAGGTTCCCAGAACAGCTCATCACAGACGGAGTTATTCTGAAAACCATGACTCAAATAAGACGTGGCTAAAAGACCTATATAAAGGTAAAACTGTAATTACTTACCTACAGTAAATGTTTAACTGTAATCAACAACCAGACTCACAGTGAAAATCAAAAATTCCTGAAACATTACGTAGAACAAAATTTGGATTGTAGATGACGAAATGCCATTATTTCTTAGATAAAGGGAAAGTTAAAGGAAAACTAAGCAATCCCAGTTATGGAATCTTAAATGTCTACATACTACTTCATAAAATAATTTGAAGAGGTTGTAAAACAGATAACACCTTACGGCTAAAGCTAATAAAGCATCAATCTCAAATATTACTTCAGGACCCCAGCACATAAATGTTTTATCTTTAAAGCTGCCTTTTAATGGAGTCACTGAAATAATTGATTACAGCACGAGCAGATTGCAACTCGTTATTATTGTTGCAACCACAAGGTGTCCGGCAATTCTGAAGTTAAACTTTTAATTATTTATAATTACTAAAATATATTAGAAACGGTCCAGATTTTTTACTAAACTTTAGACATGCAATGCTAATAATGTTGTGGGTAAATTACAGGGAGTGGAGAAAGGGCAGGTAAAATGAGACTGAAAGGATTGCTCTTAAAAGAACACAGGCACAATGGACTTGAAATCTCTATGGTTCTATGGGGAAAGGCAATGCCCCGTTCAGACAACAGGGTTATGAGTTCAGTGCTATCTGTAACAGTGAGTTTGCTAATTGCAGCTAGAGAGCAGCTGTGTATTACATTTGGCTGAAACATCATTCTGAATCGCTATCCTTGGCTGGAAAAAATAAATTTGTGGCCATTAAGTGATCACAGAATGGTGCTGGACTGTTATATTGCATTGGTAAAATTCATTGGTAATATTCACAGTTGAGACTCAAAAATGATGAATGGTTATTTGGTACAGGAAGGCTTCCAGTGTGTTACGCTACACCCCAGCAAGTCAGGGCTGAGATGCAGGGCAGAGAATTGACAAAACCAAATACAAACTGATGATGACATTTGAAACACAGGCATTAGTTTCTATTGAAAATGAGACATTGGAATAGCGCTTCAGATATTTACTTCTGGTTACTTCTAGGTACATGTCATCACAATGTGACTTTGAGCAAGGCTCAATCACAGTTTGTGGGTCATGATGAATATATTCGGCCTTGTATTGAAAGAAAAATCCATTTACCATGTAAGTAAAAAGGAATTACATTGAATTATATTTGAAACTATACTGTAAATAAACATTTTATAAAACTGCAAAAACTTGGTGAAGTTGAAATTATACTGTGGCAATTTACATTGTATATTGAACAGGTTATACAACAAATTGAATATATATATGTGTTTGATGCATTTTTAAAATCATAGAAATAATCATAACTGGTTTCTATTATCATTAGCCTTCTCACCAAATGGGCGCAAATTATTTAGGACAAGAATTAATCCTTCTCTGCCGTGCAAGAAGAATGTACATTGTAGTGAGTATGAAATTCAAAACCTAGTTAAAGCTGGGTAATTTAACTATGGAATTTCAATGCAATTTGTTAAAACTTCATTCAGCAGTTGCAGGGAGTATTACCTTGTTGGCTGGAGAAGCCAATAGATTTGTTACATTGCTAAACCAAATGATTTAGGGTCGAGTAAACAAGCCGAAACCTGGTAGTATGAACAATTTCTTACCCAAATGATTTTTCTTACATGATTTAGATTACGTAGACTGCTCAACAATGACATGATGTTATCACTACAAGATCCTGATGCAACTTGCTTTGCTTAAAATGTAATTTTCAACACCATGCACGATAGCAAACTGTCATACCAGACTAAATTGTGTAAAGCAAAAGGAAAATATTTTAAGATAAGTTCATACTGTGTCAACAATCTATAGTGAAGAAAAATGTTAATACAGGAAATAACTTCATCACTACTATTCACTAAGTGTTAATATACATTGGGGAAAATTCAATTTATGGTCATTGCACTAGTTTGAACTGATTTTGAACTAGTTTGTTGATATGTAATTAAGACTATTAATAAGAGTAAATTGCAGATATAATTTACTTAAAATTGTTCTTTTACACAGAACTTTCCTCTGAAAGATCTTCACAACATAGCAAAGACGGACTCTCTTCTAGTGTTAGAATTTTATCTCCAGGAGCAAACAAATACACTGAACTGCCAGCATACATTTTACCGATAAAGTAAGTGTTATTCGATGATGCATTAAGAAAACGATTTTCCATAAAGCATTTTGCATTCAATAGGATATTTGAGAGGGAAACAAGTTGAAAATATAGGATCAGGAAATGCAAAAATTTCACAATGTTTGAAAGTTTTTCAAAAGTAGATTTACTCCATGAACAAATCACATTACCATACTTTTGTAAACAAAGCAGTGGACATTTTCTGTTTCTTTTAGGTATGATTCCACTAAGCGTCCACCAAACACAAGGGCTTCCAGGACGTATAATTCACCTTCATGTAAGATGGTCAAAAAACAATCCGAACAAATCGATAGGACCAAATCCTTGTTAAGTGACACTGATAAAAACATTGAAAATTCACAGGTAAGCTTCATGCCAAATTAGAATGTGAGCCAGTGCCCTTGGGTAATGAATTGCTTTGGATGCAACTCACGTGATAGTTTTTTTTTCCTGTATCTTAACACTTTCTAAGCCTACAAAAATGTTCCCACAGGTTTCAAATCTAAACGAAACTTTGGACAAAGCAATAGAGACAGCAAAAAGCATGAAGAAGACCACCAAAAGGATGGTTAAAGTTTTATCTGCTGACCTGGCTACAGCTGAATATTACAAATACTTGTATGACTTCTAATCATATTTCCTACTTTGCAGAGTCGACAGCAGTATGGGGGAAACTTAAGCTTCTTAAAGGAGTTAAAATTTCACTGGTCAGTTACCAACTTTTGTCAGTGCTGCCCTTGTAATGACATCTCAGTTATAAAGTTAAGATGTGTGAATTCACCGATCAGTGACATCTCATCACTTAGCATTAACAAACCCTTGGTTTTTAATTGAAGCACAAACTCTGATTGTCAATGTCTGGGCTAGATTCTGAAATATGTTTTGCAATATGTTGTACAACTGCTTTCATAATTTATTATGATGACAACCTTTCAGTGTTTGGACACAGATAATGAATAGATCCATATAAAGTCAAAAATAGCAACAGCTAGTTTAATATAGTGAGAAGACATTATAAAATAATTAAATACCACTGATTATTCCAGGGCACCTGTTCAGATATTTAGCCCGATATATAAAGAATATACATAATATATAAACAAATTACATATATAGCTATATATTTTATATATATACACACATATACACACACAAAATATGGCTATGCTGAAAATAAATAATTGGTTAGAAATGAGTGAAATCTGTGCAGATGACTATATTAACTTTAGTCATCCAGAATTCACTTAATGTTGAAAGCTCTATATTGTATATAATGTATTGTTTGTTTAGTGTTCAGTAAGGTAAAGATATTTGGCCATACAAGGCAAAACTCCACCTAGACCTACATTTGCTCTTTTTAAACGCAGCGCTGTCCAGCCAGTGGCTACATATGGCCAATTCGCTTTCCAAATATGGCCTCTTCCACATTGATGAATCAACTTGTATTTCAAATTGCAGTATTGAAATGGATCTTCTGTCTCCTTATCACCTCAAAATATCTCAAACGCTGGTATAGACATGGCCAGTAGCCACTGGGTTGGCCACCGCTGTTTTGATGCAGCATTTCCGAATTTGGTAAATTCTTTAATTGAAGAATCCTTAATTTTGAAGCTAGTTTTTTGTCAATTCTTTTAGGAACTGCAGAAAAAAAGGCTTCAAAGACTGAATTTAACAAATTAGCCAAAGTCTGGACTTTCGGCAATGCTACATTAATAAGAGTCAATTCAAACCCAAGCTGACTTTTACCCCAGTGGTCTGTAAATATTATGGTTAAACCTACAGATTTATGCATCCAACGTTTTTCCTGTTTGAAGTTGCAGACCAGTTCATATGTCAATATATCAATCTATTGTGTATGCATCCTTTATGGGTTTGAGAATTTGATACTAATCCAATTTTAAAAATTAAACAGTATCTAATTTATTTCCTGTGACAAGATAGTTCCATATTTTGTGTTTCGGTGTGTTTTTAAGATTCTATATCTTATCAAGGTTTCAGGGAATAACAATAGAAAGTTATTATGCCTTGAAAGTGCTTACAACTGAAGAGATATCATTACCACAAGTTTTAAGAAGACATTTGAAATATATATGCTGCGGAGCACCCAGCAAGTCCAACAACATGCTACCAGTGTTTTTATAAAACTGGAGGCTTCTTGCCTTGGCGCTATTTACTGTAATCTCTTTTCCCTATGGAATACAAGTAAACAAATCAAAATTTAAAACTTTGAAAGTTTAAAAAATGAATGTAATGACAGCTTGTAGATAGTGAATATATGTAATATGAACCAAACTAATTAGACTATTTACAAAAATTGAATGGTGGATGGTGCAATAGTCTGAAATAATAGTCATTCAGTAGTTTACTATAATATTTTATTTGTATTCCAAGTGCACCAGAAATAATTCATAAAAACTTAAATACTGTACTTTTTAAACATGGACTGAAACATATTTTGGCAGTTATTTAGAGGTTATAGAAAGATTAAGAAATGTTAAGAAAAAAGACTGGAAGACATTGCTTTAACTAAAAGGAAACCCATTGCTTAATACAAGAGGATCAGAATTCAGATGTATTAAGTTACTGATCAAGTCATTCCACCCAACGAGCCCCCAGGAAATCTCTAACTTTCAACAATAGTTTTCAGTGATGCAAAGAAATCATCTGTAATTACATGACATTTAAAGTATTGTTTTCAGTCCAATCAAGATGATATATTTTCTACTCTTGTATGTCCCAATACAATAGTTTCCACCACAGTTATCACAAAATCACTACATTTATTGTGAGGCTGTTCTATTAATATATTGCATACTGCACTGTCCCACCTGCACATTCTATTTTTGTCAATGAGGCGAGGAGAATATTACTCTAAATACTCACATGCAAAGCTCAGCATTACATCTTTAAGGCACTGAAAATTATTTTTTATATATACCATATATTCAGGTGTACTAACCTGTTCTAGAATAAAGGGATTATTTGTTATGCATATACAGTAACCACATTTACTGATAATAACCACTATTACTTGTGCATAAAAGGGATTTAATGACAGAAAATAGCAATTTTCAATGTAATGGTCTTTCAAGTATATCGTTAAATACACAAAGGATAAAAATGAAAATTCCATATAATGAAATATTTTCAAATTTGTTATTTTATTGTTAAATGTTTTTAATTGAACAAAATTTGTCAGTACTGAAAGTAACAACAAAGCAAAACAACTTAAAGGTTTAATATCCTTATAAATATCATTTTAAGAAGATATTTCTGGTAAGTTTTATTCCAAATTTATTTTATGAACCACATAAAGTATATTCTGCAGCACAAAAGTGCATATAGCTTTCATCTTTAGAGTGAAACATCTTAAACAATCACTTCAAAACTAAAAAAACTGGACTCAAATTATAAACAATGAAATAAATTGTAAGCACTGATAAAGTAAAATACAAAATCAGTAAATGTTAATAGTATGTATGCAATTTGATGTTAAAGATCCAAAATGAATACACAACTCTAAATTTGCACTCCATTCTGTCATTTTAAATTCCTGAAATCATTGGATATACTGTAATCTGGATAACAAGAAATTCACTTACAATGCAAATGCATACTTACTAATGGTTGTTGGAACAGAAAAGTCCACTGAGGTATAAACCTATACACATCAGCCTTCAAAGAAATAATTGGAAACTAAACTTTTCATGTCTGCCATGTTTTCTGATATTTGTCCCAACATTAGAAAAGGGATACAGATAAACACAATATTATTAATGTTCCTGTTTCAAACCATAGTATAGAGATACTGTGAATAGGCCAGGAATGGATGGAAATCCTTTGACTTGTTGATTCTATGCACTTTTAAATAATTTAAAGTATTGCTTATTTTTTNCTCCATCATTCTCATGTTCATAGAAGACCAGATCCAACAGAAGCCTAATTTCATCAGATTACTAGAAGGATGTGCAAAATATAGGAGCTGCCAGTAACTGAACAATTTTGTACCCTTTGCCACCATAAGTCTTTGACTGTGCGTTAAAAAATGAGTCATGTTGGATAGACACAGTGCACAAAACAGTATCCTGGAATTATCCAAAACGTAAATGCAGGTCTTACTAAAATGTTATTTTACAAATTTGTACTAAATTGTGTTTTACAATAACTCAATGTTTTCCTTTGTTTTAGTTACATAAATGGAATTTATCACTTTCAAAAACAAAAAATTAGATTCAACCATTTCAAATATTAACCGAATGACTTTCTCGTGCCATACTAAGTGAAAGCAGTTGGACGTGTATTGTGTATCAAGCACAGACAATACAGTTCAGGCATATATTATAGCTTTGATAGCAGTACATTCAGTTAACAGATTTGTTTAAACAAGTTACCAGTTATCTAACATTACCAAAACCGTATCAAGCATATTTTTTGTAGACTAATAATAGTTAGTGACAGCTTGGCAGAGCTGTTACTCACTGTGGCAATATTATACAGATTTTCTTGTGCAACAGCACAAGTAATAGTGGTTGAGGAAAAACGACAAGTCATATTTCTCACTTTTTCCAGGGTGAAGATTAAGAAATCAGGAAAGTTTAAATGCTTTATCTTCATTGTTATAATAATGCTCGAGTTTGATATGATGGCATATCATGTTGTCAAAATAGCTCAAAGACATTGGCCAACAGTCAAAACCCTAATCCAAAATAAAATTGGTTAATCACTCTATTATTTGTAGGACATTGTTAAGCGCTTATTGGCTTCTACATTTACCCACCAAGTACACACAGTTAGTTCACTTTGAGATTTCTTGACAGCATGGTAAGGCACTATATGAAATGCAAGCATTATTGTCAGTAAAGAGCTTCACAGGTTTTTTACTGTGAAGAGTAGTGACTGCAATTTGAAATAAGCACTTTTTAATAGAACAACTAAACATGTCATTGTGAGTAGCAACAGATTTAACAACAAAATATTGATATGAACATATGTCTTCACCCCATCTATATATAACAATATTTTGTTGTTACAAACAACTAGATTGTGTTGATAAAGTACAGATCTAATCAATCACACAAATGCCTGGCCATGCACTAAGATAACTGACAAGCAAACTGCTCCATGACAATTTCCATTGCTGCTCTTAGTATAGCAGCCATGTTGAGCCAGTTAGTGGTGACATGCCTTCAAAATCCCCATTGTGAAGATGATGCTTCACAACCACTTGGCAAAACCCTCCAGCAAAAGCTAAGAATGGGTCTCACTGTGTGAGGGAACTCAGGCCATGTTACACCGCTTCCTGGAACAGTGTACTGGTTCCAGAACATAAATAGGCCACTCCAGGATTAACATTTTTAGTCAACAGTAATGTGCCTTCTCTATACATCTCATTACCACCAAATTAGGTCACAGAACAATGCTGTATAAATTTTATCATTCAGGTTTCACAGAAGATTGTTCAGGTCAGTATAAAGCCCAGCTACATATTTAGTCTATTAGGTAGTTGAGATGTTAGATTTCAACTCAAACTGAGCATTAAACAAGGTATTTCATACTGAACTATATGATCAAAAGTTTGCACAGTAATATGTTAAACTTGGACCGATGAGTTCCTGCTGACATTTCATGTATTTTATTCTGAGGAGTTGATATAGCCTTATCCAAATAGACTCGACAGCTAGAGAAAGAACTCGTACCTCCTTAATTCTATATTCACACTAGGCAACTCAGTTAAGGAAGACAACATTCTCTGGGCAGCACATAAATGCATTATAGCATACTGGATGAAATTCATATATTGTCAAATACTGAATATCTGCACACACACACACACACACACCCTGATTGCAAAGGTTCCATCTAATATTGTAGACTAATTTTTTTTGCATTCTGCTGTAAAAAGGTCTACAATAGAGGCATTCTACACTGAAGTCGTTTGGAGGGGGTAAATAACTGGGTGCATAGTTAAAAGCATTTTTATTCTGATTTACCTCAAATAAGGTCTCAGTGTCGACAAGGCTTTTGTGAAACATTTAGCAACACATTGCAACATAGAACTTGCGTTTTTTTAATAACTGCAAACATAAATTTCCACAATTAAGACAGCTTTTAGATTAAAAAATATATTTTGGATAATAGATTCAAAACATCTTTTATAAATGTACAAGGACTACAATCAGAACTGTTCTTGGAAAAGATTCCCATACAATTACTTTAAAAATAGACATGTATACTAGTGTTACCCATAAGAGTGCAGGAGGACTTGGACTTTGTACCCACGTCATGGACCCCTCCAAGCCCTTAATTCGCAGTATGAATGCTCCAATTACAATATTACATTAGAAGCCATGCTCTGTCCAATATAATGCCGTGTGCTCCCATTCATCCAAAATTAGACAAATTAGATCAATCTACACACTCTTAATGTGCTAAATTGTAAGATTTCACATTAATTGAAATTGTAGATTTGTAGTAGCTCAGACAATATGAGAAAGTGGTTGGTTTTTCTTTTCATTCTGCAGTGACATTTCAGATTTTGTCTGTTTGTTCAGTTTCTTCAGATCATCCAGTAGTCTTGTGGGTGTAAGAATATGAGTTGACCCTTAAGGATAAATATATCAGTCAGGATTGGTAACAATCCACTGTGCTCTCAATCGATTAGTCCACTCTTACACAATAGCCACTATACATTTTATGCTTGAAATTAAATCATAACTGGCCCAAGGGATCAAACACACATAAAAAACGAAATATACTATACCTATCATACAATCTGCATGATGGTAGAATTTAAAGTTCCCGTTGACTACATTTTTTTTAAGAGATACTTACCAATAATGACTTCACACAACTTATTTGCCTCAGTAACTTCATATGCACAGCGTATTTCAGAGTAAGTTACTCCTCCTATTATGAATACAATCAGTTTTAATCCATTTCTGCGGTCATCTTGGAGACTACTCTTGTTCCCCTGACGTGCACTAAGCAAAAAAGAGAGTGAACATCAATGATGCGAGATATTATAATGAAGTTTTCAAGCTAGGCTGATCGGCAAATAGCTTTGTTAAAGAAAAACACGTACCTAACAGCACCTGAGCCATTCCAAGCAGCACAACACTTTGAGGAATATGACCAGTCGCTGGAATTGAGCTTGTTGGCAATGGAATCCTGAACAAAAAGGCACCCAAAACACATTAAATGCAGTTCCAATCTAATTGCTGAAATGGTGTTCTATTCACCGCTGTTCAACATATTTTATAATTACAACTATTCAGTAAACATTAGATCCTGATCCTAAAACTCCAAAACAGTGTTGGAGGCAGTTTTCAATTGTCAAGAGGTGTGGTTTTTTGAATGAGAGGTTAAATGTCTTCTTGTTCAGGTGGACGTTAAAGATACCGTGGCATTATTAAAGAAAAAGTGAATTTCTTCCGGTCTACTGGCCAACAATTCTCCAGATAAAATAGCCATTAACTTCATGGCTGTTTGTGGGTCATTGCTGTGAGAAAATTGGCTGCTGCATTCACCTACACAGAAGACGCACTTTATAATAAATCCTGTGAAGCACTTTGAGGTGTCTCAACAATGTGACAAGGTACTATATCAAATGCAAGGATTATTATCACACAAATTTAATTCATATTAAAGATTGGTAATATTAAATATATATTGGTAAGATTGAAACTTGTATTTGAAGTGCAACAAATCTGGCAATATGCTTCAATACTCCCATCACAACATCAGCGCTACTTTTTTAGGTTGGCAAAAAGGTCAGAGGCACAGCCTTAAGGATTCAGCGCCACAATATTTTGTTTGTGTAAATGTCACAAGAATCAGTGTGGTGATTGCAATGCTCCAAATAACTCCTTTACAGGGGCTCCCCAAGGCCAAGTGATAAATCAAAAGATAATATTGCTAGATATTTGATTAAACCACTTTAGTTTAAAGGGGCTTTCAACACTAAGAAGCCAGAAGAGCAATCTACTGTCAAGCACATAAAATTTTATTTCCTGTAAATATTGTCCCCAAATTGCATCACTGATTAAATCGACAGAACAGGCAGATTGAGGTTTTGATGAAAATCATTTCAATAAGATGCATTCTTAATAATGGTGCTGTATCACTGAAAGTCATACCGATATCCACTACTCTTCCATTTGATTGCTTTCTGAAGTTAAAACAAAACCAATTTGGAAGGATTTAAAGATTGGTACATAATTAATACACAAACTATGAATTATTAAAATTGCTTTTAGTAATGTTCATGGTTTAAAAGTTTCGGAGAATGGTATTTTCTATTTTTTGGAGGAAACCTTATCCTGCCCCAAAGGAGGGCGATAAGAGGCAACAATCTGGTAAGCTTTGTTGTGTTAAAAGGTCATCTAACTGCCTCTCAAAGAGCCCTTCTGCCCACCTTGCATTCTCTTTGGAGATGAACCTTAAAGTAGGGGGAGTAGAAATACAGATATTTAAAAAATATATTTTCAAAAGCAAAGAACACTGGACCAAATGATTTGGGAAAAAAACTTTCAGAGAGATGGAGGACTATTTGTCATTGTATGTAAATCCACCTAAATTGATACAAGTATGATGTAGAAATGTGATAGCGACATTAAGCTAGAGCCTTGGGATGTCCTTCCGATTTGAAAGACGCTACACAAATGTAATTTTGTTGTTGACGTAAGCAACTAGTTTCAACATGAATTCTGTCACAACCTTGATGGTGTTTGTAACTGGAATGAAGAAGTTTGTCAAATAATAGAAGCCACTGGAAAACAAATGCAAACCACTAAAGGAAACAAATGCATCTTATGTTATTACCTCCATGATGTCTTTAATGAAGGGTGTCCACCTGGAAAGCTGGTAGGTCTCCTCATGGGCTCGATCTTTCCTGTCTGGCTTATTCTGCTGACCACTTTTCTGAAAAGACGCCATGTTAAATTTACAATACATTACTCGTCACCAGTTTCCCCAAGATAAAGTGCAGCAAAATAAAAGTGCCAAGATAAAACTTGCATTGTGAACAGATATGTTTTTTTTAAAAAAATCTGTTGTATTAAATGTCCATTTCAAAAATTATATTTTTACCCGGGCAACATAGGAATTGAAAGTCACAAGTCTGTGTCAGTGAAATATTCCCTTTCAAATTAATATTGGTCAGCTACACAATGTAGTTAATTCTCTACATTAAGTCATCGACTTTGAATGAAGATAATTTAATAATAATCCTTACATTTAATATAGCTCCTTTCATATTGGGAGCATGTCACAAAACACTTCACAGGATATACTGCAAATATACTGTATATGTCATGGGCAGGTGTGGGGAATACAATTTGTACACATCATTTGTATCATTGACATGTTTGAGATCTAATCTGAAGTTCATTTGAAAACAAAATTAAAGTCATTTAATGTCAACCTAACTTACAGAGATGATGGACACTCCGAGACTGTTCCAGTTTTTAATGATGTCACAGTCTTCAATCTTCCCATGTTGGATGAGCTTGCTAAGGTTTTCCTCTGTAGTTCCTAACAGAATCAAGATAAAATGAGATCAGAAAACGCACCTGCTTCTCAATGTACCACCAATGCACATATAATTTAAATGTGTGGGACAAGCTACAAGAGACTTGAGAGGACTGTGATTTCCATCACATTTGTCTCCCAGGGATTACACATTTTCTTCAGAAAAATATGAAGTTTAAAAAGCGACTGAAGACACTTCTTGTATTAACTTAAATGGTACTTAAATGGTACTTAAGATCATGAAATATTAACTTAAATTATTAAATTAAATTATAAATTATTAAATTAAATTATAAAGTATTAACTTAAATGGCTTAAGATCATGAAATACAGGCTTAGTTTATCACAATATTTTAGCATCCCACTCTCTTGCTTCAAGCAAGAGTAATCCAGAAGCAAAATACGTGCACACAGTCAATTTGTGCAAGCAAATAATTCCAGACTTCAGTAATCTAATTGTATCTCACTAAATTGGGTAAAAGGAGAACACAGTTGTATGTTTACCTGTTCCAGAAACACATACTTTTTTTGCCATAATGCAATATGAAGATGTTATGATCGTGTGGTTATTATCTCATTATTATTATCTCATCTCACATCCTTAGGTCAAATTATTTTTTATTTTTATGAAGTACCTAATATTAACAACAGAGATAAACAACTAGCTTGGCAAAAATGTGCAAATCAATCATTAATCATCAGTACCTAGTTTCATTTTGTTTGGCTGTAAACCGAAAGGAACATTATTTTAAACGTTTAAATTTCCACTTGTGATTCAATGAACAAAATGATCCTTCTCAATTGGGCTGTTACTATTTGGCACCAAGTCTACAGGATACCTGTACAATTAGATGAAAGCTAGAACTTTGTCTAGAATCATAGGACAAAGGACTAAACAAAGTGACCGGGACATTGAGATATCATGATTCAGAGCCTGACGTTTGTGATTTTAAACCTGCTATAAATCTTGAAACTTGCAATTTTATTTTACCTTAGTTAAGCCTAGGAACAAATACGGAGCACCAGCTGCAGTGAGCAAAGCACGGAGTTCTCCACAGCACCAGATCATCACACATGACTATTGTGTTGCTGTACAAAGTTTGGCACCGTCGTGAACAACAACAATAAGATTACATTTGTATAGCGCCTTTCACGTCGGGAGGACGTCCCAAGGCGCTGGACAATGCACAGAATTTCAGACCCGAGCTGGGGTCAGGGAGGGAGAAGGGAAGGGGGTGGCCGATGGCATGGTCGAAGAGGAGGGTTTTGAGGTGGGACTTGAAGGAGGATATGGAGGAGGCAAGGCGGAGTGATTGAGGGATGGAATTCCAGAGGTTGGGGGCTGAAGGCTCTCCCGCCAATGATGGGACGGGTGGGGTGGGGGACGTGGAGCAGGCCGGAGCCGGCTGAACGGATTGGTAGGGGGTTAGGAGGTCGCAGAGGTTGAGTGGGGCGAGGCCACGGAGGGCTTTGCAGGTGAGGACCAGGATCTTGAACTGGGTCCTCTGAAGGATAGGGAGCCAATGGAGTCGGGCGAGAATGGGGGAGATGGGGGTCACAGAGTTTGGTGAGGGAGAGGACACGGGCTGCAGAGTGAAATATGACATTGTCAGTCTTTAAAAATGACAAGCCCTCAATGTGAACATAGGATACGTAAAATGATTCAGCTAATGTTTCAGCCAAACAAACAAACACTTACAGTGACAATGCAATGAAAATGTGGGTAAAAATTGTTTTTTTCAATCTTAAACTGTGTGTGCATGTTCAGAATGAGGAAATATATTAAAATAGTTACTTATTCAGCGCTTTAGATTTACTATACCATTTAAGTTGAAAATGTACAGCAAGATGATCCTTAATTTGTCATAACTTTTGATATTCTTATCCAGTAGAATGGGCAGAACAGTTCTCATGGGGTCTTTAATCTTCTGTCCCTGTGCATCAACTCCCATTGCCAGGTCCTTAAAAGAAAAGGCATTCATACCGATGTTATTTGAAATCAAAATCTGACACTTTCTTGGGCTGATATGAGATATGTTTACAGCAAAAAAAATTAAACCTCCTGAATTGTTATATTTTTAATAATACAACAGTGACTATGGAAAGCAAATAATAATTTAAAATATCAGACTTATGATGTTCCAACCTCAATTTTATAATGCAATTTTCTAATTATTGCAACAGATTTGCAATAAATTCAGGCAAGATACATTACTTCTAAATCCAGATATCCTGCTCCTTCTCTTCTATATTCTGTGGATGAGAATTTATATCACTGTAGTCAAGAATTTACCCCAGCAGATTTTAGGTAGAGTAGTCTGCAACTTTTAAACTCATGTCTCACTCCTTTTTCCACTAATAGAATAACCTTGCTGCTATTGAGTGCTTAGGTTAATAGAACTTTAAAATCAACTTCACTTATAAATCTTGAATTTATAATATTAATTTAACAAGTTACACTTACAATTAAAAAAAATCTTCCCTGCACTAATACAAAAAATCCATTAACAGAGCAGTATGAAATATGAGATTAATCCATTTCACCCACTCAGATTACCCTTTCAGTATCTGGCTATTTAATACAACTGATGTGCAAGTGGCAAATGTGCCGTGTCACACGTACCTGTTCAGCCTTGCATAATTTTTCTACTGAATCATGGAAAGGCTTCATGCAGTCTTCAGCTAAAGATAAATGCACGGTTTGCTGTAGTGGGGAAGAGGGAGAAGGAATGGGAAGAGACACAAAATAGTCTACAATTTAGTATTCTATTGTTAAAGGCATACAGCTTGGGAACTTAAATCAGGTTTTAACAAAAGCCAGTCTGGTAGACAAAAGCAGCTGGTGCCCCATTTATAACATGACCCTTTGGTCGGAAACAACTCATTGTGATTTTGGCTTCAAACTATTCCATTACTCACAACTCAAGATAGCTGCAGTCACATTAATGATCGCCAAGCACAAACTGCATCTCAATTCCACAGTAATTGTAAAAACTGGTAGGACTGTTCACATGAGTAATGTTGAGTTTGTGGTATTATACCATTGTGGTCTCAACACTTGGATTAGTGATATTTAGTCTTTCCTGCATTTACTAGGGCGTCAATTAAAATAGTACCTTCCCAGAACAGAATATTTTATTTTTTCAAAAGGAGCATTGCTCCCTAATCTCTAATGATCACAGCACCAATGTGAAACAATGCCTGTAATATAATTATTAAGGTTTTTTAAAAAAATACCATAACCTGTATCTGAAGTGCTGGTTTAATGTCCGCAAGTTAAAAATTTAAACCTATTGCAGGTTGTCTTTAAGTTCACCCAACAACTTCTCAAATTCGAGAAACGCAATTTGACAAAACATAGTTTTAGAGTTTTAATTATTTATGGTGTAAACAAAAAAAATTCCAGAGGCGATTAATCTCAGATCACAATTTTATGGTTTGATTGAAATGCAATGCATCCCGTTTCACATGTTGCGATTATAATATTGCACTGTACAACAACAACAACAACAACAACAAGATTCCATTTATAGAGCGCCTTTCACGTCAGGAGGACGTCCCAAGGCGCTGCACAGTTGGGTCATGACCCGAGCAGGGGGGAAATGGTCAGGGTGAGGGGAGGGAAGGGAGGGAGAGAGGAGGGGGAAATGGTCAGGGTGAGGGGAGGGAAGGGAGGGAGCGAGGAGGAGGAAGAGAGTCGAGAGGGGAGCTGAAGGCACGGTCAAAGAGAACATACTGTACTTCTGTACCTTGGTCATTTGCTTCCGAAAGTGAGGCATCTTCTTCATCATTTGAGCTAAAGAACTTATTGTAACCTGGAAGAAGAGTAAAAAAAACATCATTTGATGAGCTGTTCTTTCAAATATGGCAAAGTATAGCAGGCACCCTGAGGTTGGGACAACTCCATACATAATTAAACAAATAAATAAACAATTGGATATAGTGCCTTATTGTGGCTTTGAAATATCTTAAAATGCAATTGCTGTACTGTATTTTATAGGGAAACACTGCAGTCAATTTGCACAATTTGCAAGGTCCCAAGAGACAATCATGATGTGAATGACAAATTTTATCTGGGGGATTGTTGGCCAGGAAACTAGAAGAAACTGCATTCTCAATCGAATATTTCCATAAGATCTTCAATGCATTTAATCTTTAACGAATTCGGCAGATGGGACCTCGGATTATTGTCTTCTGAAAGATGGTTCCTCTGACAATTTGTCGATGGGATAATGTATTGTTGGTGTTGCAACATGCTTTTCACTCTCAAGGGCTTCAGAAGCAGCAACTGCTAAGTAAATACTCACTTTCCCTTCTGTTGCCTTATTGCTTGTAGAAAGTTCCTTTACCAACTTGGGTATTTTTCTGTTAAAAGAGATATATTACAGTGCTTAGTGATTCTACATCTGCCCCTACTGTAAGCAAGCAGATGGAAACAAATTTGGTTCATTATACCATTGTCAAAATTACAGAAAAGTTTTGGAGTTACTTAAAAAAAATCTCAATTGAGCAATTGAAAAAAGGAGCAATACTCCCAGGAGGAAAATAGTCCGTCAAATTGCTTTCTATTTGTGAACATATAACACAAGTTAATAGAAAATAGCATACATTGCTAGTATGTGAAAATTATGCATTGTTCTTTCTCCCAAGGCAAAAAAAAAGATTTGTCAAGCAATAGAATGAATATTCACCCTTTAGATCTTTTACAAACTAAAACAACTTTTGTTGTCTAAGGTTTATTGTATTTCACCTAATTGATCACTACCCTGAAGTGAAACATTAGAGCATTATTTTTAATCTACACAAATCCTTTCCTCAGATTGCTCTGCAACACAACCTTTCAGCCCAATGCTCATTTATAGTATAATTTAAGCCAGGTGAATATGAATACCAACATTGCAGCAACATTAGGTGTTTTCATTTGCTACTCTATTAGTTGCCTTTAGATACAGATTCTTTGCAGGAAAGGTCAACAGAATCTCCAACGAGATTCCATCTCTTAAAGTCAGTTAATCTAATCAATTTCTAATCTAATCAATTGGTTAATCTACTGGCCAACAGGCCTGGATAGCCTTGATTTCAAAGAAGTTTGTGATTTACACCTTACTACCATATCAGTTACTAAGTGCATCTACACCTTTGCTGCACCTTTTCCTATTTTTGTGAGGACGTACATCAGTCTCTCTCTACAATCCCACTATCTCTGTGCAGGAGACAGATATGCATCGCTGCATTGACTACTACGCAGCCCACAAGCCAGCCCTGGAAAACTCTCCAATCTTGCTCTCCTACTCCATGGAGAAACAATTTGTCATATCCACAATAGTACGTCTGAGAACAGAAACTAGCAAAGTGAGGAGAAGCAGAAAAGATAATCAAATATTCCCTCTTGCAATAAATTTGATGCTCTAGAACGACATTTTAGAACAATTTTTATTTCTGCACACTCGTGCAATTTAGTTGCCATTTGGATAATTTAACCATTTTCACCCTTTTGAATCCAAAATCATGTTTTCTATCTACGATGCACTTTGTTAAAGCTTTTCTTCACAACACACAAATGCAATAATATAGCGATCACCTTAAACATAGTGTTTTGTGGCATCCACCTTCAAAGATCTATCAGTGCTACCACATTTCATTCATTCATGAAAAAAGATATTGTCAATGTTTAAATATTTCAGTTCACAGTTAAAAAGATACTTAGACATACTCAGCAACTTCTGCAATGTGTAAATGCCGCAGTTTTACCCAGAGTTCATCATCCTCATTCAATGTAGCCTCTTTAAATTCAGTCTCTCCCTTTTTTTGATACCTAAAAAAACAGAATCCATAATTAACAAGTTTTTTTCCTCCACCACAGAAAACAAGTAATTGCATTTCAAAATTAGTAGCTGGCTTTCCTGGCAAAAGCAAAGATTTGTATTTCAACAGTTCTGTATTAAAACAGACTTCAGAATGCTTACTTATAAATGTCTTTCTCAATTGGAACCAGATCATGTGCCATAGCTTGGAAGGTCAATTCATGCAGAAGGGTCGACACTGCATCAAAGCCACGATCGATGATTAAAAGCTGGGACTGTGTTTTTCCCTGAAATGTTGGGACATTAGGACAGCTGTTAATATATACTGAATATCGTAACCAAAACAACTCTTTTCCTCCTCCCCACTGAAAAATGAATGGTGGAGAGAAGTTCAGAAAACTGGTCCCTGCCAGGACTGATCTGGCTCAAAGATACAGGTCCACAAGTCAGTAATCCAGGAATGCATTTTTAACCCGGCTAACCTCTAGTCTGTTGTCCTGATCAGATCACACCCTTTGTCCTACACTATACCTGCTCCGTAAGACGTTTCTTCAACAACAAAAACAAGATAGATAATTATGAATAAATGCTTTATGCTGATGCTACAATTCCAGTCTTATTCCTTCCTGGGACAGAGCAGATTAAGGGAAGAATCAAAGAGGTTTGAATGTTTTTTAAAGAACAAAAAAAGACTATTTTAACTGATTAGCAAGTCAGTAACAATTTACAATCAAAGACCAGGAATTTAGTAGCAAGTGAAATCAGACTGGACTTCACTTTGTGGTGCCACATATCAAATCTTCGAACAAGCTGCCCTGCATCCTTATATCAGTCTCCAATGAACAGAAAATCCAACATCCATCAGTTTTTCATACCTTCAAATGCAGGACACATGAAAAATGCTTCCCTAAATTTCCCAGCACTGCAAGCCACAAGTGTCAGGCATTACCTTTTTATTGCATTGCTGATCTAGATCGTAATACTCTCCCAGCTTTTTCTCCACCAGATCGGCAAGATCTTTGCCATTCTTTCCAGGATCCCTGGAAGTAATGCAAAAAAACCATTAGGATGGGAAGGGAAGTATTTCTTGCAGAAATCATTAATTGGAAGACATCAAAGAGGCTTGCAAACATCACAGGAAAATAACTGCCGTACTATTGCTCATCTTTTATTTCTTCACTCATACTAGACAAATTACCATTTTTGCCACAGAATTATTTTCTGATCGATTCCCGAAAAGATTTCCATAATACTACAATAGACCAAGGCAGAACATTCGAGTCCAGAATCAAACAAGAGGAATCTGTTTCAGCCAACAGTCAATGGAAGAAATGAAGGTGCCAGAACCCATTATTTAAAAAAAAATAACCACTACTATCTATCTTGTAGTCAAATAGACATTCTATCGTAATGATAGATTACAAAGACTATTCTAAAAAAATCTGTAATAAAAAGGATAACAAGAAGGCTAGTTCAAGCTTCTATTTTGGCAGTACTCTTCAATATGCAGAGAATGAAGCTACACAGCTTGTTGGTGTATGTATAATGTTTGCAACAATGTTCAAATTAACAACCAAAACACTTTCCTATCAAAGCTCGGCAGACAGCAGGCCATTACGAAGACTAACAGTAGGCAAAAATGGACAAGAACTTTCAGTAAAACGCACACACCATTCAAAAAAACATTTTTAATGCAAAAAATCATTTGTTTACAGGAACTTTAGTAGGAGACACCCTTGTTTTTTAAGGAATACTTCCCCGAGCTTTTCTTTCTCTTTTAATAAACAGGCCACAAAGATAGTAAAGCTAATGGTAAGCAAAAACTTGCAGAATAATAGACAAGTTCTACCACTTAATAAAATGATTCATCAATAGCTCTTCACCCAAAGAAGATAAAGTATAATTACGTTCTGTATGTCACTCCAGGATTTTCATCCAGTGTCGCACAAAGAGTCACAATTCCGTCAGCCAGCATCTCCATTGTGGCGTTTTTATCTCCTTTTCTCTGAGGACTATAAATGCATTGGAAAGCATCGGGTGCATCTAAAGTGAACACCTGGGTTAGAGGAGAAACGAAGAGAAAAATATAAATATAAAAAGAAAATATATTTTAGAAAGGAAAATTGCACACAAGCCAAAACGTGAATTATAAATTACAATTTTTGCCAATAGAAAGCCAATTCTATCAGTTCAGAATGTGGTTACATTTTAGGCGTTATTATGAAAAGGTTAAATTGCCAACAATTGATTCATGGAGCAACAAAAAAACAGCACCTTGTTTAACATTTACCCCAAGCAAAAAAAGCACTTTCTAGAAGATAACAAGTGGTGAAATGACCACTTTATCTTTGCGTGAGGTTTGGACCAAACTTTACTCTGTATTTTAGAAAGGGAAAAAGTAACCATTCTCCAGTACATTATGAAAGCTTTATTCTTTAATAGAAATCTCCAATGCAGCATGTAGGAGAAATCCAAGGCATTGCCCAAGCAAGTTTCTTCCACACTTCCTGATTTCTACTTGAAAAAATTACTATCTTAATTTAATGTGGAAATCTGCTATTCCAATTAAAAAACAGAATCCAACAAGTGCCAATGGTTAAATAGCCTGAAATGAATATCATTCAGTTTAAGAATCAGACCTCCCAATTGGGAAATTTGGCAAAGGAACGTCATGGTTTGCTGTTTGTATCCAGAAGTGGAGTAAAATGAACAAAATTCAGCAAGATTCCTTATGTTTTCAAACGCCCATTTAAGTTTTGAACGTTCTATCTAAATAAGAGTTTACAGCTTTTCCTACTTCAAAGATGACAATAAATTAATGAGACAACAGCTTCATTTAGCTTTTTCTTGAATTCATTCAAAACATCTGGCAATATTCATGAAGCAGTTTTCCCAAGGTATTGATAGATCTATTAAATTTCAAAAAGGTATGACACGCGATATAAGTTTACAAGATAGGACTTCTAGAATTGCAAGCAAATGATAGTAAAACATTGCTAGCAGCAACTATCAAGTGATTGCAAATCAGTGAGCTAACAGATGCCAGCCTTGGGCAAATTGCATAATCTCTTCTCAGCACCAGCATTTTCACATACATCATTAAAACCAAAAGCTTTCTTGCTTTTCATACTCTTTTATGGCGTATACGATAGCCACAATAGCTTTTAAATACAATACCAGTACAAAGCAGACAAAGCGATCATACAACTGAAAACAACCACAAAAGAAATTGAGGACAAGACAGCTATTTCAAAAGATTTTCAGTTTTTTAAAAAAAATACAACTTCCCTTTCACCACATATCAAATTACCTCTTGGAAATCAATTAAAACAGCTTCAGCCATAAAAGTCATTATTTGATATCTGTAATTCATTGCAATTATCTTTTAGAAATCAAACATTACTGCAACGTGTTGCACGTTAGCAAGTGCCAACTGTGCAGATGTTTGTAACAATTTATGTACAGAGCCAATTGTATAGTCCAGATGGCATTTCCAAAGTAGGCTCATTGTAACACGGTCCACGTTCAATTTTGTTCAGGAAAAACACTCAGAATGTTCCATTCAAATCTGTTGCAGCTGCATTCAATCAAAATAATATTTCCAATTTTTTTTTAGGACGCCTTTTTAAATTGTGATTCTCATCCAGCACTCCTCCTTGTGGCCATATGAAGAGCATCACCACTAGAGACTTAGAACGGCTCAGTTGACGACCTTCTCAGGGAATTGGTGTGTGGTAGAGAAAGAAAACATTTCAACACATTTTAAAGTTGTTGAATCAAGTGAGGATTGACAGATTGTCAGCATTGATGGATTTTTAGCATTGCAAGACATGTTTTTTCTCTTCCCTCTCATCCATATTAAGAATGAAAGAATATTCTAACCCATTATTGTAACTGAGATCCCAGTGCAATGTGAGAATAACTCTCACCAAACACACTTTCATTCATTCAATACTCAATTTAGGATACAAATTAATTTACAGTCTGAAGAAATCATGCAAGCAGGGACAATTGACAATGATTAAGGTAGCCTTATACCACATACTATAATCCTAATAATATTGTGCTATTCAATTCAATCATTTAAAAGGAGCTAATAGCAAGACTTTAGAAACATTCACAAAATACCTTAACAGGCAAACAATATTTTCCACCATTACCTATGCTTAATAACATTTTCAAGAAATTACAAGGACACTGAGAAGATTAGACTGTTAGGATTTGCATGGAAATTACATCAGGTTTTGTAATCTTACCTCTGAAGACAATAAGAGTCGCCGATATTAAATACTGATTCTGGGATAAAACTGGACAATAGGTTTTGCTTCAAGCTCATGGATGTAAAATACACCCTGTAATACAATGCTTTTATTCCCTCACAAACACTTGTTTCCGCTCTACTTTGCAAGGCTGTCAATCCCTTTCGTCACGTAGAAATGTAAATCATCATGGACAGTTCTGAACACTGTGCTTTCAGCTAAACAATGATTCATGTTTGAATACCAGGTTTAGGTACATTAGGTTTACTACTTTCTGCCAGGGAAGGAAGGGAAAACTGGTTGGAGCAGAGGAATTCCTATCAACACTCAAGAGATCCACAACTGTTTTGTTGGCCATTCAGACAGCAAGATTGATCGGATCCTAACCGCTCTCCAAACTAAGTCGTTTACACAGTAGACGTCTTTGTAGAATTACAAAGAAGCTATGAGAATAATCAGTAAAATGGCAGATTACAATTCAAGATACACGATCCTCAATGCTAAACAACTTAACGAAAGTCAGGGATTCAAAAAGGTTCTTTAAGGAGCTAACTTTTATAGCCATATGATGGGGACTCCATACCATGTGTAAACCAAACTGAAGCAGGTAAAAACAATGTAAAACAGCATTGTAAATCCATCCATCTATTTGAAGTATGGATAAATTAAGCAAAGGCAATGTTAACATGAAGTCTGGGGGGTATACAGATTTACTTCAGCCACTGTTGCACAAATGTAAAGGGCTTGCTGCTGTCTTTAGATTCTATGTATGTATCTGTTCACTCCTCCAACCTGAAGACCCAAACCACCATAATGGAGCTACAATAAATAAACATCATGTTTGCACAATCGAAACAATTAAAACTTAAAGTACCTGAGATTCATATGGAAGAAAGGAAATATTAATTTCTTTGCACGTTTTTATCACTCTCGAGCAGGAGGCTTTTATCTCACTGAAGAGTTGGTCGGAGCAATCTAAAAACATGTAGAAAACACATGTAAATTCTGAACTTTAAATGTGAAAACTAATAATAATCCTTGCATTTGGTATGTCAGCTTATCACTTGAAATGTCTCAAAGCACTTCCCAATGCACGTCTTCCTTAAGATGGAGTGAGCTCGGAGACTCAAAAGAGCAGCAATCACTCAGACAACAGTGCGCAAGTTCAGGGCAGATCATCCTGATCAGGGTTCATCCTGTGAAGTAAATAAGGAAAACAGACAACTCCATTCCTTTCAGTACCTGTCCTGTCAACAAATTTAATTTGCACATAGCAATGTCCCACAAACAGCGGTGAAGTGAATGAACAATTTTATCTTGGGGATTGTTGGCAATGACATTAGATAAAACTCCTTTCTCTTTTTGAATAGTTCCAAGGGATCTTTACGTCTTCACAGGCAGACCGGACCTCAGTTGAACATCTCTTCTAAAGAACAGCAGCTTCAACAATGTACAGCACTGCATTGGAGTGCTATCTATCTGTGTATCTATGTAAAGGTTGGATGTGATTTTTGAACCCACAACTTACTAGAGTGGACGAGAGGGACTAGAGTGCGACGAACTGAACCAAGCTAACACCTAGCTCAAAACTAATGACATACTCACAGTCATTGAAGTAAACATATGCTGCTTTATACATTTTGGTTTGTTTACCACTGAAGTCCTTTATTAATGCATGGACAGACTGAAAAACAAAGATACAATAAATATTACACTATATTAAATGCACAATTAGTTGTATATCTTATAACAATAAATAATAATAATCCTAGAATTTAATAACACCCTATTCATGTCGGGAGGACGTAAAGCAATTCATGAGATTTACAGCAAAGTAAACAGCAGCAGAGGCTGCCCAGATTGCAGTGTGAGCTCACTGCTCACAGCGAGGTGCATAACCCTACTATGGTGCAGCCCACTTCTTCAATTTATATATATATTTATATATATATGCAAAACATCTGTGGAACATACCAGTCTGAACTGTGATAAACACTAAAATGCACTTCCTGCACAACTAAGCTTCTACTGTCTATTCTTCCAAGCTCTCAATCTCAAGAAGCCCAAGGATGCTACCTTTTCTGATGGTGTGATAAAGTAGACGGCTTTCATGTCTGGAACTGGCTCACGGTTCTTATATAGATCTTCAACGACTGTGAAGAGAAGAAGTACAGATTAGAGTATTGGGAAAAAGATTGTTATATGGGCTAGTTCACAATTATGTGTCAATGCTTGTATAAATTGCAACAAATGTAATGCTGCAAATTATGCCAGATTTTTTCCACTTCAAATTGTTTACCACTGCACAGTTTAGGAGCAGCACTAATTGGTGAGAATAAATAATGCCACTTTAAGAATAGATGTGACAAACAAATAAAAAAGGTTATAAGTATTCTTTGATGCAACTTTCATGCTCATCTGTTCTTATAACATAAGATCCCAGGTCAATATGAAGAACCTCTCTCAGCTGGACAGCAATAGGGACACAACAACTGGCCTCAATATTTTCTGAATTAGTGAAACCAATTCACACTATCCCTGCTGGATTTCTTTCCCCAGTCACTATACAGCCATGGTTATATGTGCAGGATGTGCATGGGTGGCTGTCACACAAGCAAAAGCCACACAAGCAAAAGCAAAATTGTGTTTAGAGCCTCAAATACAGCGGTTCAAATAAAGTCTGAGTGCGGAAAGAATTTCTATGGATTAAATCTTTTCCCCACATTTGTGATTAGAAAGATCCACAGATAGGATTTCTTATTTGCACAATCATTCAGTTTTGACTTCAGTTCCTCCACTTGTCAGGCAAACCAACAAGTCTGGAGAACAAGCCGCATTTAATATACATTTTATTCTACTTGTGAACTATTTCATTGCAACTTAAGACTTCTAATTTCATTCAAACCTATATTGTTAGCCTCAAGAGTAGTTTGGGTAATAGTAAGGAAACATTTCAACATACAATTATGGTTTGTCAACAGGAAAAGGGACAATACAATAGGATACACTGTTTATTTCACTGTATACTGTATTTCCATTCTTGGATCCAGCCTTCGCTTTGTTCTCACTCTCTCTTAATAAAATGCAGGCCATTCATATAAAGAAAACCAGGTGCTGATAATCTAAAGTCCTCCCTTTGGGCAGATTCCAATAAATATAAATAGGCCACACCCTGATCTAAACGAAAGGCCTCCTCGTTTTCTCCTTCCTCTTTTATTAAAAGAATTGCTACGTTAGAATGGCTCACAAACTGCTCCTTTTGCAAATAAACATCAAGAGTTTTAGCAAGGTCACATTTGCCTCTTGCTACTTTTACAACACAACATACATTAATACAATAATACAGTGTCTTCCTCATCAGGAGGATGTCTCAAAGCACTTTGAAGCAAAGTGCTTTTCGCACCGGTTGCATGAATTTTTCACAAGCCATCAGTTGCTAAAATGTGAGGTGTGCCTGACTGGCTAAGGAGGATGGGGAAAAATGATCAGCAACAGGAGTGAAGGATGTAGGGTACAAGTCATAGAGAAAGTGTGGTTGATTTGAGCTACAATGGCTGTACTGTATTGTCCCTTTCCTGCTGACAAAGCAGGATTGTTTATTTGGTGGAGTTAAATGCTTTCTCACTCTGCCAAGATGGAGAGACGGCCTAAAGAAGCGATTGTGGAAAAAGAGCAACCATAACCAACAGCATCAAAGAGTGTGAATGTGTTTGAATGAGAAAGAGCACAGTCTCTTTTTAGTCTCTGGGTGTTTGGGGGGGGGGGAGATGTAAACTAATATAAATTACGAAAGTATTTGTTTAGTGAACAGTACTCATGATTAGAGGGACAGCCACAGACTGAAATACACAATCACCAAGGGACACCACATTCCTGTTCCATAGTGACTGGGAAGGGGGTGCAGGGACTATCTTAATAATAACACTTGCTTTTGATGTAGCACCTCGTCATGTCGTTGAGACGTCTCAAAGCTCTTCGCAGAATATACTGTAAAGTGAATTGACTGTATATTTTTGTGGGCAAAACGCAGCAGCCAAATGCACACAGCAGTGTCCCACAAACAATTGTGGATCGAGTCTTGAGAGCAAAAGGTCAGAGCAGAACAATGGAGATGGTGGGACATTCTATAGTTTTATCAGTCAAAGCGACTAACCAACTGAAACCAGCTCCTAAGGATATTAAACGAACAGGGGGAAAATCAGTTAAGGCTCATGCTCTTCAAATTACTATTCAATAACCTTGCTAGAAGATGGCATGTTAAATGATGGCTGGATCATTGAACACAGACACATTATCCCCTCATGTTGGAGCATCCTGCTAACACTCACTATCTACACATAAACAAGGAACATTTTGAGAAACAGGGTAGTTGACACCTACAGAATTGTAAGTCAACAACCTCAGCAAAGGAGAGAGAGGATAAGAAAGAAAAAACTAAACACGTTCAACATATTGTTTTGAAAGGAGAGTGATTGATTCTCAAGTTGCTATTCACAATTCAACTTATCTTTGGCATTGGCAGGAAACGTCAGAATCACTGCAAGGAAGGAAGAGTCTTAGTAAATGGAACAGGGAGAGAATGGAGGGAAACGAAAGTGAACCAGTCAAAACAAATTATTGAAGAAAATAAATGTTCCTTTATAGTTATTTTTTCCAGAAAAAGACGATAGTCAGGATAAATGTGACTATGAAAGGGAGGGAAAGAAATAAAAGGAGCAAAAATATCTATCATGTGTCCTACCGTGTTAGTCAATGAAGCAGGCAGACTTACAAAAATAATTATTCCTGTCGAGAGGTATCAAAGCAACTATTATCATATATCATTCAATATTGGAATGAAGAAATTACTTTAGACAAGTACTTACCAGTGATGCCTTCTGTCATAATGTTAGACATCTTGCAGCAAGATGAAAGTAACTTTGTGGTATAGTTGTCCAATATAAGTATCTGCGAGGCAAATATTTGCAGTTTGGGTAGCTTACAATAATAATAAAAATCCTCACATTCTATATCAAGGCGAAACATTAGGTAAGTTTCCTTAGTCCACACGCCTCGGGTTACCTAGCAGTAAGTAGGAACCCAGTTGTTAGTCGATTGGTGAATCGCTTTTCTGGGGGTAATAATCTCTTCAAAAAAAATAATTTGGTCACTCAATCCACGAATGTTTGTGGGACACTGCTGTGCGCAATTGGCTGTCGCAATTCGCCCACAAAAATATACAGTCAATTCACTTTACAGTATATTCTGTGAAGTGCGTCTCAAAGCTGTGATAAGGCGCTGTATCAAATGCAATGATTATTATTATTATTATTTTACTATTATCCTTGCTTTTGCTGAGAGATCAGGAAGTCTATAGAAAAGTGATCCTGTAAACAATTTCACGCTTTCCATACAGGGCAGCAGAGTTTGGATATTCACAGCCAAGGGCATTAAACTGCTTAACAAGCACCAAGTTTAGCCCCAGTACCATTGGCAGATGTGCAATCTATTTTGACTAAATTAGATTCAGCAAAACAATAAACTACGAAAGGGGCCACATACCTTCCATTCTCCTTCCTTCTTGCAATCGTCTAACACAAATGTTTTAATCTCTGTGAAAAGAAATGTTTCAAAGCATTTAAAACAATAAGCCAAAAGTCAAGTAGAAAAGCAATTCATGAATTAAACTCTTGGTTATCAAAATTCCTCTTCCAGCATTCAAAACACAGAACACCCAAGAGAATTAAAGGCAACATTTCAGAGAATCACAGATATGACAAAGATTTGTTAACCCAGTTAATTGCATCCTTTGATTATCACAAACTTCCCACTCCGATAGCTAATAATTTTTAGAACACTGTAGGGCTCTGCAGCTATTTTATCCATATTTGATACAAAGTGCATAACAAATTGTACTTTACATAAATGGTTCTCAATGGGAGATGCACAAAGGGTCCAGACCCCAACAAACCATAATCCCAGAGGAAGGGAATAAAATGGAAACATCAAGGGATGAGGAAGGGGAAAAAAATTGTCAGAATAAAACAAAATGGTCTCTAAATTGCTTTCTTCGCTTTCGCATGAATATTGGAATTAAAATACATTTCGTAAATCTGTCATAGCCAGTTCACTTCACAAATAATCCAATTTACACCAAAAATGAGAAATGGGATTACTGATCCTATTGTCAATAATGAAACTTTCATTCTGTAACTTGCATTCACGTCAATTTAGTACGACAAACAGCTATCTTGCACTGAATTTTCTAAATTCAAAATTCTGATCTTTGGAAGAAATGTTATACAAAAATGTACAAAGCAACTGTAAAAAAAAATCCCATTAGCAACATAAAGAACCGAGCCTTTGACTTGTTTCTTCCTAACTGAGGTGTGAAAATCTTTCCACAATACACAAACTGATTTTAGTTTTGCCTGACGTGGGGTCACATTTTGTGACACTCAAAACATTCAAAAAANTAGTTTTTAATGAAATGCTCTGCTACGTCCTCACATTATTGCTAACAAGGTTTTATATAAGACGGTCATCAAAGTAATATCTGTTTACATTAGTTTTCTTGTTGCTAAATAACAACAATAGCAATCTTTGGGTTTGATATAGCGCCTTATCATAACATCCCAAAGCATTTCACAGAAGTTTCTGTAAATTGTAGTGGCTGTGTATTTGTCAGCAAACAGTACACGCAGTGCTGTAAAATATTTGCATTCTGTACAGAACGATTTAACATTAACAGCAAATTTTCGCATTATTCTGTTCTTTTAATCCTCTTCTTTTTGGCTACCATCTGAAACTTATTGCAACAGTTTGACAAATAGACACTCATAACAAAGGCAAAGATTTAAGGCTAGTTCACTGATTGTATTTCTATTCCACATTTGTAACACTTGTGTCAAAAAATCTTTAATCTTCATTGGTAACATTATTAGGCATTGGAGTCAGTGACCTCAATCTATTCATATCACTTCAGCACAAATTTGCTGCCGTCTTAATAAACAGCTGGTGCATTGGATCTGTCAAACAATTTACTGTATTGTTGGAATGATTATGTTTGTCACGGGACAGCTTCCATTGTATTTAAAAACAATTTAGTTCATAAAACACAAGAATTTGCATAATACATCAATAGTGTTTGGCAAACAGGAGAACATCACTTCATTGCAAAATCATTATCGTGTGAATTGGTTGAGTTGTGACACAATGAAAATGACACACCAGTTGTTCTCTACGATAACAAAAAGACTTTACAGAAAGTGCTGCAGGTGTCCCATTCCATTGACGTTTAAATGTTATTCCTAATAGACTGCTGTGAAATCACTACTAAGTGACATTTCAAAGAAAAGGTTTCAAAACTTTGTTTTAAAGTGCATGCAACTTTTATATACACATGGCACAGCCTGGCAGAAAAGTTAGAACGCGTTATTATAATAATAGTCCTTGCATTTGATGTAACATCTTATCACATCACTTAGATGTCTTAAAGTGCTTCACAAGATTTACTGTAAAATGTAGTGACTGTGTTTTTGCAAGTGAACGCAGCAGCTAATTTACACACAGCACCGTCCTACAAAAAGTTATAAAGTGAATGGCTAATTTTATCCAGCGATTGTTGTTCTGGGCACCTTTTCTAAATGTGCCCCGGACTATTTAACATCCATATGAACAGGCAGAAGGGGCCTCAGTTCAATGACTCACCCAAAGAATTAACCTGAGACATTTCCCCAAGTACTATGCTGGAGTCCAGTCTGTGAGCTCAAACACCCAACGTGGGCCTTAAACCCACAACCTTTTGACTCGAGAGGTGAGAGTGCTACTAATCAGCTCGGCTGACTCCTTGGTATTTAGCAAACACAATTTTAAAAAGTTTCCAAATTTCCTTGGATATTTATCCAAAGGGAATCCCCTCTCAACACCGTACAGCTTTGCATTTGATTTCGGTGCATTTCCAGTATTTTACACTCTCAATAAATAACAAGTAGAGTTACCTAGAACTATACTGCACAGATATGGACCATTTGGCCCAACTAGTCAGTGTCAGTGTTTATATTCCACTGGAGCCTCCACCTCCCTCTCCTAAACCCCTCGATTCTCTTCTCGCAAGAGATTCGCCCACAAAACACACAGTGAATCCACTTTTACAATATATTCCGCGAAGCGTGTTGAGATGCGATGATGAGGCGCTACACGAAATGCAAGGATTACTATCAGTAGCAGTAGTGACAGCAGTTGGGGTAGTGGTATCCTTGTGACATCCCTTTTCCCCCCTAACTTGTTGTGTTTCGACTGCGCTCGGCCAACTCTCTTGAGCTTGAAAAAGCAGGAAAGAAATCAAGCCTTGGAAGCAGGAATGGGACCAGGGAGGGGGGAGAGAGAGAGAGAGAGAGGGAGAGAGGGAGGAAGAGGGGGGGGGAGAGAGAGAGAGAGAGAGAGTTCTTTAAGGAGGGTGATTTCAGGCTCTGGAAGCTCAGTTACAATCCGACATGTTGTTTCCCCCTTTCCCCACCACCTCCTGCAAAGTTACAGCCTCCCCAGTCTGGGCACTTCCGCGTTAGTTTAGTTGGGGCCCGACCTCAGATCTGTTGGCAGCAAATAAAAGTCTTTTGCAAACTCCAAGAGAGGGAGAGGGAGAGTGTGGTGGGTGGTGGGTGGGGGAGGGTCGTTAAGGGAAAAAAAAAAAGCAAACCAATGCAATTTAAAAGCTCTCGCCCAGACTCACTGGGGTGGAAAATACTTACTTTGCCAAACTGCTCTCTTGAGCCCGTGCTCTGCAGTTGCCATGTTTTGCTCAGCTCAGCTCAGACCAGACCTCCTCTCTCTCTCTCTCTCTCTCTCTGGTGACGTGAGGCAAAGGCAGCGAATGGCAAAGTGCAGCTGCTGCAAAAAGCAAAAAAAAATTATTTTGCAATCAGCTTTCTCTTCTAGGAAGTGACATTGTGGCCACGGTCACTCTGCTGATCGTTTCCTCCCTCCACCCAAATTAATCACACGTTCAATTCACCTTTAATGAGAACCCCCCCCCCCCCCCCCCCCCTGATCTAAACCCAACTGTTTTCAATCTGGAAAGTTTTACTTAAAAGTACAAAATAATAATAATAATAATAATTATAATAAACCTTGCATTTGATACACCGCCTTATCACGGAAGATACCACGAAGCGAGTGGACTGTCGAACCTACGTCTCTCGCTTGCGAGGCGCGTGCTCTAACCACTGAGCTTCAGGGACTCCACCAATGCAAGGTTTATTATTATTCTGAATATATAATACACGCTCATATAATATAAAGCAACTCAATAAATACGTTGCACAGTTTTAATTTGCATATGAATTTTTTCAAAGAGAAGTGTTTCATGCTTTGTGTTCTGGGGCCAGATGGCCCACAAAATATGCAGTCAATCCACTTTGCAGTATATCGTGTGAAGCGCTTTGAGACGTCTGGACGATGGGATAAGGCACTACATCAATTGCAAGGATTATGATTATTATGGCACTGTCTTGGTAGCTAAAGTTATTCTGGATGATATGCTGGTCCCTGTGGAGTCCAATCCTCTGGAGGGTTCAGTGGGTGTGGTGTCCAGTGCCTCTTTTTTGGAGATGAGGGCATTTGGTTGTTGAGTTTATTGATCCCCAATCCTTATTTTAGATTCTTCAGAAATCCCAAGCATCACAGAAACCGGGCAGAAGACTTTACATTCCACAAGCTTCACTGCAGGTGTGTTTTCGTTTGCTGGTCTTAATATTGCTGTGGCAGGAAAACCCTTTGCATCTTTTGAGAAGGTGTTTATGGTTTCTGATGTTTGGCGGCTCTCTCCTACCCCTATATACAACTGTGAGATGACAAACAGCCACATAATAATAATAATAATAATAATCCTTGCATTTGATATAGCGCTTTTCACGTCGGGAGGACGTCCCAAAGCGCTTCACAGAACACACTGTAAAGTGAATTGACTGTATATTTGTGGGCGAACGCGGCAGCCAATTGCGCACAGCAATGTCCCACAAACAGTCTTAGATTGAAAATGACCAATTTATTATTGTTTTTGGTTTTTGAAGGGATTATTATTAGGCGTGTGGAGTAAGGAAACTTGCCCAAGGTTTCGCCCTCTGCCTGGAATTGAACTCAGGTCTCTCACTTGCAAAGCGAGTGCTCTAACCACTGAGCTACAGGACTCCACAAATGATTTCCCATCATATTATTACTGGGTAAAGTTAGGATCAGAAAAGTGGGATATCCATAGCTGGTTCAAATAAGAGGTAGACCCTGCTCACTGGAAACCTTACCTTTGTAACTGTCCTTTCCACAATGACTCACCTGGCACTTTACTCAAGAACTTATTCCTATACCAACTAATAACTTGTAGCGAACTAGGGAGCTGGAAGCACTGATATGGTTGGAACTAGTGACACATCACTCACAATGTTGAAATACTGGCAGGGAAAGTTAACAAATCAGGGAATAGATTGAGTTACCTTCCCATAGATTAGCAAAGTTGATTGACAGGGAACCAGGTTTCTTTGTGAGGATATAAAGAGTATTATTAATTAATGTTGGTTTCTCACATTAGAGTTTCATAACTGTTACTAAAGTAAGTCTCAATCTAATACTGTTGGATGTTTTTGTGAACAGAAATAATAACCTACACTTGGATATCTTATTCTATTGTATTGTGGAAAGGACAAGTGTTCATTCAGATAATAGGAATTAAATACAGTATCTTAAAAACAAGGAATGCTAAAGTTAGTTAGTTTGTAAACCCAGTAATCCTTCAGAAAATAGTAAAAAAATCAAGGCATGTATTCAAGGTCAAGATACATTTCAGTCTCAAAAGTCTGCACCTGATGGTGTAATTTATCTGGATTTAAAAAAAAGCTGCATTCATTCATACAATCAGACTGGGAAATCATTAATACATTAATATATTTAGAATCTGTCCCTCTCTCTCTCTCTCTCTCTCTGTCACACACACACACGTACTAAATAAATCAAGCACTATGATACAAACACAATTGTACCACAAAAGGAACGGAAATTGACGAATAAAGTGACAGAGGCTCTTCTTTCTGAATGCTGGAGCTCAATGTCATACTTTGAAAGTTGTACGAAAGGAACAGAGAGGGGAATCATTGAGAGTAAAAGTTTGCAGGTGCTCAGGAACCTCACCCTCGGCTGGTTATTGGTCAGAGTGAAATAAGGGGAGGCGGTGGGTGTCAACCCTCAGGATTTATATTGTTTCTTACTGGAAAAGGGAATTCTGGAGAAACTGACATCAGACAACTCTCTCTCTCTGTGTCTCTGTCTGTGTTTTTTTTTGTCCTCTATAACCGTCTGTAAAAATCCGACTAGTGTTTGATGGTGAAGATATCTGCAGCAGACCATGGATAACAGAGGACTAACTTACTTTCTGCTCGTTTTAACCAGCACCTGCATTGCAAACGTGAGTTTAAAGCAAATGCCTATCCCCCCCCCCACCACCACCCCACCCCCAGCAAATGATGCATAAACCTCAGAAGTTTCCTAAACCAGACGACTTTACCCTTTTTGCCAGCAATAACTTCTGATTGTTATTGCGTTTGCAACGTGCAAGTGGAGAGGTCTTGAATTTTATTCACTGGGCTGTTTGCATCCAGGCATACGACTTGAACGCCTTACATGCTTTATAGCAAATGGATTTAAGATCCCAAATGACCAAGTCATGATAACATTCGGGTGGTTTTGTGCAATTTGGGCGATCATAAAAGGGAGCTGTCCTTGCAGTGAAAAAGCACAGGCTTGCATGCTCAGTGTTAGAACACTGGCTCTTTCAAAAAGCTGTCAGCATCTCCAAATCCTTTGCTCTGAATCAATAGAGAGATTCAAAAACGGCAGAACTGCAATAGAAACGTGATCTTAGTGCCCCTTCTAACCCACCAAAGAAGATGAAAATCTGTGGAAAAAGACTGGCTGCCTGGCACTGCTGGTCTGGGCAGAGTTGTTCACAGAGCTTGTTCTGTCTATCTGCCTGGCTGGGCTGTAATATGCAGCCATGTCAATCCTTTTGTAATTTTTTATTAAACTTCAAAAAAAAACCTTTGTTTCATCCACCTTTTAATAGTTCAAATTTTACCTATTCCAATTTTTATCCATCGCTATCTACTTTATAATAATGGTCGGTAACATTCACGAGCGGTGAATAATGTTATACAATATTTAATGATATGTCATACAAATATTTTGAATATTAATGCAAAGTGTGAACGTTAAGTGTCATGTATCCAATAAGTCATGTAATTAAGTGATGAGTAATGAATCCATTGGGTTTATTCTTTCAATGTTTTCTTTTTCAGATATCTTTGGCTAGCTCAGGTGAGTATTATTTCACCAAAATGTAGATATTGTTATTGTATTATTACTTGCAAAGCAGATAGGATCAGTACGTAACAAATTATATAGGAAATGCTAGGAGCCCCAGCAACACAGCAAAACAGATCTCACTCGCTCCTTTTATAGACACAGAACAAACAAGACAATTTAACATGGAGGAGAAAATATGGTCATCAGAAATGATAGATCTGGAATTCTAACTGTTAGTTTGCTTTCTTTTTTCCTTTCAAGAGTTTACCATGTCCATTTTCACCGTGACATCCAGGAGTATTTCAGTCCGTTGGAGCAAACATATGGGTGCTCATTCTTATGAGATCACTGCAACCCCCAATTCAGCATTAGGAGAAGCAGTGTTTGTAAGCTTCAACGAGGCCATCATCCTTGGAACTGTTATTGGCTTGTTACCAGCAACCATGTACACCATCAAAGTGGAGGCCCTGGACTGGAGAGGAAGTGTACTTTCCCAAACACAAACACAACACCTAACAGGTGAGTTGTGCAAACCAACACCTCCTCCATCTATCCTCAAATTGGTTGAAACTTGTGAGCATCAAAAACAATGCCTCTACCTTCCTTGTCTTCTTGGCCCTGCGTCAAATCATACCATTGTTAAGTGCTCTGAGACACTCTGAGATGCTACTCTACGTGAAGGGTGCTATATAAATGCAAGTTGTTGCTGTTGATATTCATTGAAATCTAATCTCGAGAAGTCCCTTTAGTTTTCCACATGTATGATACTTTGGCAATAATTCATTGTTTTAGGGAAACACTCTGAGGCAACTTTTGTTTTTAAATTTCTTTTAGCTCCAGAGATCCCGTCTCAAGTTCATGCTTATTCAAAGACTAGCAGCAGCATCACTGTAGACTGGTCAGCAGTTCCCAATGCAAATAGCTACATATTGAAAGCAAAGACTGGCAATTTAATCATTGAAACAGATGTCATTGGAGAAACAGGGACTCTGACAGACCTGCAGCCTTTTACTTCATACACCATCTCTGTACAGTCTTCTAATGCTGGAGGAACAAGCCAGCCTTCAGTACATGTAAACACAAGAACAGGTATAGTAATGCAACTTGCAATAAGGTATAATGATTTTCTAGTGAGCTAACATAATACAGATTTGGGCTCAATGTTTTCTATTTAAAATAAAGTATGCAAACTGGTCCCACACATTTCTATAAAATCTAAGAGGTCTTTCCTGTAAAATAGAGATCTGCATTATTTGATTTGAAATACCTTCTACAGTATTCTCTATATTTGACTTTTTAAGCTGTATTAGTTTTTATTACAGTGAACTCAAGGAAATGTTGATGATTGTAAGATTGAAAATAATTCTAAGATTCACTTGGATAGGTAATCGATGATCAGTCTAAATATTAGAAATACAGTATTTATAAGTATCTGTTAGATTGCTTGCATTATAATTCAGAATATAGTCATCAGTTAAACACACCAAAATGTTCATTATTGATTACTATTTTACCAGTATAGATGAATAATTCCAGATTCCTGTTTGGTTTATATCACAGCACATAACTACTTATTAATTCAATTAGGTGACCACAATTTTATATTTTTGTAGTTTTGGCTGCACCTGTTATCAAAGCAATCTCGCCAGATAGCCACACTATAGAGATTCGTTGGGACCCAATCGTCAATGCAAAAGAATATTCCATTACCATCATGAGAATAGACAGTGTGGGGAGCAAAATAAAAAAGAACACATCCTCTACTCAGCTGATCTTCATGAACCTGGATGCAGGTGTTACATACAATATAATAGCTTATGCTTTGGATGCCAACGGTGTGCCTGGAGATGACAGCATGATCAACCAATTAACAAGTAAGATTTAGATGTTTAGCAGAATGTATAGAGCAGGAAATTCTGAATGGTAAATGCAAATTAAATTGAATATTTTGTTGTTGTTATAGCCTAATCTTGAACATATTTTAATATTTTGGAGGCGGTTTTTACTTTGGGGAAAAGTTTCAAATATTTTCCTGTTGCCTTGGAGTATGTCAAGTATTGTTCCAGGTTTATTTGCTCTAAACAAAAACAGAAGTCGCTGGGAACACACAGCAGCTCAGGCAGCATCTATAGAGAAAGGAAAGTGAGTCAACGTTTCGGGTCCACGACCCTTCGTCAGAACTCAAAATAAAAAAGACGGTAGTTATTTTCTCCATCTCATTTTGTGCCTCTTATATAACTCTATAAAAGTTGCCCTTGAGATGGCTCTTTTCAAGATTGAAGAGCCCCAACGTATCTAGTTGATCTCCCAGACACTGGAGATCACTCTTGTTGCTCTCCACTGCACTGTTAACAGTTTTTCACACAACGCACAACCTAATTTAAAAATGTCCTTGTTTCAGGGCCTCTTCCACCTCAGTTGGTCCGAGCTTCTCTGACTAGTAATTCATCAGGTGGGCTTCTGGAGGCTGTGGTCTCGTGGAATCCTGTGACAGGCTCGCAGAATTACACTGCTTCACCCATTGAAAAAAGTCGCAACACAGTCCAAAACTGTACATCAGCTTCTACGTCCTGCACTATCTCGCCAGTCGACTGCAGCAAAAAGTATAACATCACGGTAATTGCCATCAACGAAGCAGGTCCTTCACTGCCTGCAAATGCCACTGAATTGACAACTGGTTAGTATGAAGTTCAACATAAACACGCCTAGAGTCAGCATTGACTTTTATTGATATTCAATTTTAAATTTGACTTTATCCTTTGAATATTGTGGACTCTTTGATCTCTAACAATTCAATGTATTGATTTATTCAAGCAATCGTTCGAGTAGCTTATTTTATTAGGGTTATTCTGTAGGCCTATAACAATCATTGCGGCCCTATACAGTAAGAAGCAGCCAGGGAGGAATCAGAGCCAGAGACACATAAGCTCTGGTGAGATCTAGACAAGATTCTCAAGTCTCAGTGTCAGACAAATAGTTAGTCAGAACAGTAAATGTTTGGGAAGAGAAGTGACAGAGATGTAGATTTGGGGATGATCAGCAAATATATGGAAGCTAACTCCGTGTTTACAGATAATGTTGCTGAGGCGCAGGATGTAGGCATAAGAAGACCAAGAATGGAACCTTGGGTATGCCTGGAGGTGACAGTATGGGTATGGAATGAGAAGCCATAGAAGATGTACTGATTGCACTGTGACAGAAAGGATTGGAACCATTAAAACCACAGTGCCTTCAGGAGAGCATGACTTTAGTAGTAAACAACCAACTTAAGTAGTCTTTCTGCAAGCAACTGAAGCAACAGTTGATTTGCTAAATCTATATGAGGATTTTGTGTTGAATTATTACAAGCGGTTGTTTAAAAAAAATTAAAGTATAATGATAGTATGCGTTGGGTCTCCATTAACGAAAAATTTTAATAACAACTTTGTCTATTCTGTTACTTTTAGTCCCTTGTCCTCCACATCTTATAAGAATCCGGGAGGTGCATATAGGTAATCTGACAGTGTCTTGGGACCAAGTGTTCCTGACTGATTACTACATGACCTTTGTGAAAAGAGATGATGGCCTGGAGGTTATGTGCAACACTACATCAAGGAGCTGTGATTTCCAGTCAGAATGCGGGTTCACTTATTTTATCACTGTTTTTGCATACAACAAAGTCGGTCAGAGTCTTGCAGGCGAAGTGTTAAATTATACAACAGGTAAGTGTTGCATTTGTGGCTATTTTGTAAATGATAATTTCGGGAGAAATGTGGCTTCATAATGTGCTTGATTACTCTTTAAAGATCAGGAACAACAGAATAAGAGACATGAGAGACACTGAGAAAATGTATGAGAATGAGAGGCAGTGTGTTCAACCCTCAGTTGACTCATATGGAAAAAGTCCCACACACTCTGTCTACTGTGCGCTGATTGATTGTTTTCTTAATAAATATGACATTTCCATTTCCAGATAAGACCTTGTTTTAGTATATTCCTTGACAAAGATGGTGGGTATGTTTGATTTGTGATAGTTTTGCATTCCCAACCTTTGGTCTCTGAAAAATGAACAGAATAATGTTTCTAATGTAATAAACAAATATATAAGTGCTCCTGAACACAGGAACCTTTTGCGCTTGATATACATAATGATGTGCATGAGTTAAATTAATCCTAACATTTGTATCTAAATTATATACTTGCAATTCATAGCCGTGAACTTGACTCAATAGAAATGTGATCAGCGCATAGTTGTTGCTATTGTCATCCATATTCTTTGTGTCCTAGCTCCCTGTTGCCCAGAAGATGTGAAAGCTGTGTATGTCTCAAGTGACACCATTGAAGTGGAGTGGAGTCCAGTGCGTGGAGCTGAAATTTATGAAACAAAGGCACAAGATGAGAGTACTGTGGTGCTCTGTAATGACACTTCCTCAGTCTGTACATTATCTGGTTTGAACTGTAACACAGTCTACAATATTACTGTATATTCATACAGTGATGTCAGAAGGTACAATTCCTCATGTGGGAAAAGGGAGATTACAACAGGTAAAAACACATTCAGAACAGATGCCTGAGGTTCCATCAAACACTTAGAATTAAATACTATATCATTTCTCAAAGTTGTTTTTCACAATACAATTTTTTGAATAAAATCATTGATGCATCATAGTTGAAATTGATGGCTGGGGTAGAATAAAAATCAATTGACGAGGAGATAGATTAAATAAATAAAGAATCCTTGCATTTGATACACCACTTATAGTGATAAGTGTCTCGAAGCTAGTTGCTGTAAAGTGTGTTGACTATATCTCTGCAGGTGAACACAACAGTTAATTTTCACACAGCAATGTCCCATGAAGTGCTATGAAGAAAATGATGTTTTAGCCTGGACTATGAGCTCAAAGTCTTAACAAGGGGCTTGAACATATAATCCTCAGACTCTGCGGAGTGGGTCCTACCAATTAAGCCAGGCTGACACTTCTAATTGATATACCTTTAACTACGAACAACCTAGTATTGAAGTCTTGAAGCAAAGCACGTTAAATGTAAAACTTGGTTGAATAATTTATCATTACAAATTGAATTTTGCAGGACCGTGCACTCCTGAAATTTTGGACATCACAAAGGTGTCTCCATCCACTATTACTGTACTCTGGCAACCAAATAATGAATATGCCAGCTACACAGTGTTTGCCTCGGGAGATATTGGTGTCTGGTCTTGCAACAGCTCAGAGTATTCTTGTAGTATCGACGATCTCCCCTGTGGATCGACCTTCTCTGTCAGTGTAGTGGCTACAACTCCAGAAGGAAAGAGCTTACCCAGCTACAGCCAGCCTTTAGAAACAGGTAAGTACTTCTACAATGTGATTAAGAAATGGAGAAAATAATTTTGGTAGAAAATCTACCTTTAGATTAATTGAGAAACTGACAATCCCAATAACTTTGAGAATTCCACGGATTTTGTATGCTTCATCTGAACTCTGCAATGAAAAATTTAACTTCCTAGTAATGACAGAAAATAGTCCAATTTTCAGTATTATAAAGGACAGGAATTTCTATGTGGGATGCATGGAACTCTCAGTTTGGTTTGGATATTCTTAAGCATGCTACTGTTTTTTTTTTGCATGTATCAGACACCTGGCTAACCCTCAAAAAACAGACTGGAACTTACAAAAAGGAGATTTCTTACCAATGGGATTTCAGCATTAAAACTGTGCCTTGAAACCATTTTAATTAGTTTTTTTCTTAAATTAAGATATAATCTTTGTAATAAATTAATTTTACTTGTGAGGAGAGAATGGAGAAAATGGATCTGCTTCCCCACAACAGATCGAGAGGAGACTTGATACAGGTTTTTAAAATTATGAGCAGGTCTTGATAAAGTGAACAGGGAGAAATTATTTACGCAGGTCAATGAATCAGTAGCTAGAAGACATATTCAGTCATTATTTCCAATAGAGCAAAGAGGTTTTACACCTCTTTGTAAAGAGGACATGGAAGGCCCTGTCTAGAACCGTGGTCATGACAAAATCCTTATTAGCTTTCCAGATGGAATTAGATAAGATAATTAGATAAATATGCCAGGATATGGGGAAAAGCAGGAGAATGGGGCTAAACAGGGGCTAAACAGATAACTCTTTCAGAGAGCCAGCACAGCCATGATAACCTGAATGGCTGTCTGTATTGTAATTTTCTAGAGTTCTATTTTCTACGGTTCAATTGATAGTAAATGGAGCAAAATTAGTATAATGTATAAATGTGGAATGCTGGATTGATGTACATTTCTTTTTTTAATACAGTGCTGGTTATCTTATTAATTTAACAGTCATACAATTTGTTTCTATTTTTAAAATATGTCTTAAAGCTTCACAATGTTAAGTAATAGCTTTTTAAACCTTTAAAGGAGAATGCCTTAAGGCTATATTTCTGTATCATTTTCCTTAAGAATGTTCTTAATTTTTTTAAGAATATTTAAGAATAAACACTGTATTTTCTTTCCAAGCACCCTGCTGTCCTGATAGCTTCACTGTTACACCAATCACTCAATCAATGACCAACGTAAGCTGGTCTGGTGCAGTTGGAACATCGTCTTTTACCACAATCCTCAAATCTTCTAAAGGAGAGGCTAAATGCCACACAGGAGAAACTCACTGCCTTCTTGGTTGTATGACGTGTAGCACCAACTACACAGTATCTTTAAACGCCTTTAGTGTCACTGGTCTATCATCAGTCTGCATATATCAAGGGTATTCATCCAGTAAGTAAAGGAAACAGAAAGATTAATTATGTATAAATTATACTTTTATTTTCAAACATTATTCTCAATATAGATTATTTTTCATATAGTGATCGTCATTAAGATTATCTTTGATCAGGTAAAATTCCATCTAAAATTAAACTTGAAGATATACAGATCCCTTTTTATTGTGGTTCTATCTGCTGTTATAATTGTATTCATCTTAAAAACAACTTTGCATTGATCCTACAGTTTCTAGTCATCCTTTACGAGAAAGGATGTGTTGGAAATACAGCTGATAAATGTTTACCAACAAAGCAAAACAGAGGAATCTTATCAATAGAGTAAATCAGCTGATCATAAGTAGCAGCTTCAATTGAGGGGCAGTCATCTCGGGGTTTATGAAAACATACGGGTTATTGACTTTAGCAATCCTGTGCAGGTTTAAAATATGTATCAATGTTTGCGAAGCAAGCACATATAATTTGGGGGTTTATAATAAATAAGTGATGCATGAACACTAAGAATTTTTTTCACTAAAGTTGTATTTCTACCATTGCAGGTAACATATCAGTGTTAAACATAAAGAATTGTTATGTACATTATAATTGATCTTTGACAAGGTGGACGTCCTTAAACAAATATTAATTTCTGTTTCACACCAGGTGCTTGCTGCCCATCTGGGGTTAGACTTTACAATCTTGCAAACAATGCTTTAAGAGTTTACTGGCGTGCCACTGCTGGCTCAGTGAGTTATATTGCAAATGTTACTGGATCAAACGCAAACTTCACCTGTTCCCCATCACCTGGCGACACATCCTGCGATGTGACTGGGATTTCCTGTGGGGACATATATAATGTGATTGTCTCTCCAGTTTCTATGGATGGATCAGTGGCTACATTCTGTTCCAGAAAAACGTTTTCAGGTAAATTGTTGTTATATAAAAGGCTGAGTCATCAACTGGACTCTCATCCAAATTTTAATAAATCCTATGCATCTCCAGCTTTATATATGGATGTTAAATTGAGGATTTTTTTTTTAACCAGAATTTGTATTTTGTTCTTTTTCTAGTTTCTTGTTCCATGAATTCAGGAGCAATGGGTAAGAACTTGTTTGTGAAAAAAGTTATAGTTTCTGCAAATAAAATTCATGTTTTGTTTGATATGTTATTTACACCATTTTATTTATTCAGTAATTTATCGAGGGAAGAGGAGCTTATCATACTAGTAAAACCCAGATAAGCAAGGTAAAACAAACAAAACAAACTAATTGGAAAAAATTATTTGGCATGTAGCAATTGTTTTAAGTATTAAACTGAAATGTAATATTTTCTAATAGATGTTTCTTTTAACAGGACTACGATGAACAAAATAAGATTATTTCCACAGAAATCAAACTGAAATGATTTTCTTCACAATATGCTTACTTTAGACTCTGGACTATGTGTAAATTACTTAGATGCTTCCTGTTAAATGCTGAGAAAGAATAATTTTGTTTTTTTAAAGTTTTTTTAAGACTTATCAGTGTTTGTTGATTGAAAAACAAAGATAATGTTATCTTATTCATATTAAAACAATCATAATTTCATTTGCTTAGAATATGTCTGAGAAATAGTTATTGTACTAGTTAAACAGTTCTTACATTGTACTTTCCTTGTTTGAATTTGGCGTGATCCATGCTTTTTTTATAGAAATATCAATGCAAAGAATAAATATTATGCAGAACTTTCAAATTTTCTTGGGTATGTGATACAAATAAAAATCAAACTTAAATTGTTATTCTTCCCCATCATGTGTTTTGGATTTATACGCTACTGCATTCTTGGCGTGAGCTACACAATAGACACCTGCAGCTCATGGCAATTAAACAGCAAAACACTCTAGCATCAACACAAAAGACCACAACCTGCCTGGCCAGGTTACTTTTCAATTTTGGCAAGTTTGAGAATAGTGCAAATTACCAGTTTGTAAGTGTGATTAGTCCAACATTTGTAATCTTCAGTCTTCTACTGAGGTTCATTTCAATCCTACTGAACAGTCCCATCCTCCACTAAAGGCGCATTTCACTCCATTTTAGAACTTATTTTCTCCAGTTATTGTGTGACAGGCAATTTCCTATAGTTAAAACAGTAATCTGAACAAAACAAAAACACTTAACAAATGAGGGCTTTATATTCAATAGAGATTTCAGCACTGTTCAGGGGACTGTCTTTGTAGAACCCGACAAGGCTCAATATATGGTCTTCGGACATTAATGACACTTACAAACAGATTTCCGAACTCATCAAAAATTCTAATTAGAAACTGTCTATTCAGTAATTGCAAAACCGAACTTGCATCTACATAAATAACATGCATTGCGCAGTATCACTATTTATTATTGTCATTGATATTTAAAATGATGTCAGTCCGAGAGTTTTGTCCAAAATGTCATTTGATAAACATGGGGGCATCACAGCTTAGCCTTTTCCTGTCTGAGATTCAAGTGAACTTTCAGCAGTGACAACTGTGATAATATATAGGAGTGGAAAGGTTTTCAAATCATGCAATGGATAAATGGGTTAATGGAGAGACATTATTTTTCCAAATCCATATGAGAATTAAAACAGTGATCATTGAAAAAAAGTCTAGAGACTATTTCAGGCAAAATTACTTCAGAGTTAATTTATAGAGGACTAATGTCTGACTAATTTGTCTGCCTCCTTGTTGATACTGTTGCCTAATAAAACGCACGTGGAAGTAGCCTTAGACACGAAACACATTAACTATTAAGAATTTCCAAATTATCGGCATTCACAACAGTCCGAGTTTGCCCAAAGAAAGAAAACCCATCCCGGGTCATGACAACTCTCTTCGGATGACTAGGATATCTTTGCTGATATAAAGGGGGTCCTCATGCACCACTTGCTATAGTTGCAATAGTTTCCACATAATCTGCCAGGATATTGACCAAGACCAAGACCTTCATTTGGAGATGGTATCTATTGTGTCCTGTTATGTTCTCAGTTACCTATCAACAAAACTTAGCTTCGATACATTTCAAATGAAAAAGGCACTTGCAGCACAGTATAAACTGGTTAATCAATCCACGACTGTTTTTACGTCTAAGTGTAGCCCTTTTCTCAAGTACAGCGATTAAAATAGAAACTTTGTATCATAAATTAACCCAGTACAATTAGTTATCTGACAGGATTAATTGTGATTAGTGACAAAGATGAAGGTAACTCAAAGCCCTAGATTTTGAAGACTTAGAGTGTCTCCAAAGTTAAATAGGTCGGATCATGTCTCGTATTCAGTGGTGATCCGAGCCAGATAAGCTCAGGATGAAGTATTGTTCTAAGTGGCCTAAATAGGTGTATTGCCTCCCACAGGAGATTATTATATTAGAAAACAAACATTTGTATGTATAAAGAATACTTCAAGATGTGCTTCTATTATAATCTTGTCCTCAAGTTTCATTCTTAAAATAATAGCCCAGTAAAAAAAGGACCCTATGATACACATAAGTAAAGAAAATGTGGTGGTGAATATATGGCTTGTGCCAAAATAGACAGAGTTACATAACAACACTTAGCCTGTGGAAGCAAAATAAAAGTGAAGAAAATTGATTAGAGAACATTGGTACAGCAGGGATTGTTGAAACTTCCTGCACTTGCATGAAGAAATGTGGAAGTTTGATGGAGATAAGAAATAGGGAGATAGAGCACTGAGGGTCATAGCCAAATAATTATGGCATTCAAAAGGAGAGACAGATTGAGGTTTAGAAAGAATTTTTAGCTGAGATTGACGTATGTTGATGGATTTCGCACAGCAGAAGAACATATTTTTGGATATATTTCCACTCACCTCAGATTTACAATTTGAAGTTTCTACCAGCCATTAATGATTAATGACACAGCAATAATTACACTGAATGGGAAATAGTGCATAGACCCAGCTCTTCTGCATTTCCTAGCCAGGTTAATGACAATTTAGCAAATTCCTGGGATAGTTCTGTTTGTCTCCTTGTGTCTTAAAATGGACAGAGGGGTTATATGTGAGCGAATGGCCTTTGATCATATCCACTTCAACTCTATATCATCTCCAAAGATTTTTATTTGAAGATTTCAGAATCCTATGGCTGAAAATAATAAATTATTTTGGAGCATTACAGTGTGGAGGTTCAAATGTAATCCCTTCTTTAATAATCATAATTTAAGACAATACATTTATATAGCTCCTTTTATCCCAGCTGTGGGATTGGGAAGGGAGAGGGAACAGGGACCAATAGGGGGAGCCGAAGGCCAATTGAAAAAATAAATTTTAAGGTGGGATTTGAAGGTGGAGAAGGGTAGAGTAAGCTGGTGGGACTAATCCACTGTCTGAAATTAAATGTACACATACCAAACAATGCTGCTGTCCATTTTGACTGTGTTTTTGTATTAACTTCTGTTTTTTAATAAAACGTAATATATTACATAACAAGTGAGTAAAATGGCTACTTTCTGTTCTGCAAAGTTGTTGGGCTACACTGGAGTTTCAGAAAACACTGTACATACACACACATATATATATATATAATAGATATCAAGTGACAAATAGGAAAGTAGCTTGTTTATCCAGTCGCTGGGAGAAGGAAGGTAGCATACTTACTATGATTCTTCCTATTAGAACAGGAAATTCTAACAGGACTGAGCTATTATTTTAAGAAGGATAAGCTGTTTTTAACTCATTTATATTTCCTCTACTTGTGCTAAGAATGAAGATTCATCCAGGATCCAATGAGTTGGACTCTAACATAGAAATGTAGCAGAGGAAGCACAAAGAGTATCGACAGGAAATGGTAGGTTTCAGATTTTTGGTTGGTGCAAGAAATATTTCAAAACAATTCCAAAAATAAAAATGCTCCTCCAAATTAATCATGGTCTTACACAATTGAAATGATGAAGGTCTAGGAAGAAACTGAGGAGAGAATGAGTCACGGTAACTGGAAAGATGATGCCATCCACCTTTATTCTCAAATGATTTTTGAGACTCAAATATTTTGTGAGTTATAATGAGACACCTATCACATAACATAGAACTGATGCAACATGAGACAAAGTGCTGCTTCCTGATGCTATAGCTAAGAACATTTACAATGAGGTTGGGGTGTGGTGAAGTACTGTATAAGAATTGGAAGTTCAAAGAAGCACAAAATAATGCCTTTATAATCGAGTAGAGTTATGTTACCGGGAAAAAATTATCTGATTGTTATCTCACACTGTGATTGCAAGCATGTTGTGATATTTTGCTAATCTGATTATTCATTTCCTGTAATATATCTCTTGGTATGTCTTAGGGTGAGGGATGCAGCGCTAGGAATAGAACACATTTCTGTGCTTTTTGTGCTTAACGTTAGTGTAAAACATTCCGCATGCAACATAGGCCAACATGTAAGGTTCCCTACGGTCCATCCAAATAATATAACCTAATTTAAACTTGCAGCACCTTGGGACATCCTTCTAACGTGAAAGGCACTTATGAAATATAATTTTGTATTGTATTTTATATTGAGAAAACAATCTTCTATTGAAATGGTGAAAGTTTGTTTTTGCATCATTACAACAACAACAACAAGATTACATTTGTATAGCGCCTTTCAAGCCGAGAGGACATCCCAAGTTGCGTTAACGATCCCTCTAGCTTTCCTGAGTGAGACTAGGCCAATAGTGACTAATTGTGTTATGGTCTTGTTTTGTCAAATCATGCCAACAACAACAACAACAACAAGATTCCATTTATAAAGCGCCTTTCACGTCAGGAGGACGTCCCAAGGCGCTGCACAGTTGGGTCATGACCCGAGCAGGGGGGAAATGGTCAGGGTGAGGGGAGGGAAGGGAGGGAGCGAGGAGGGGGGAAATGGTCAGGGTGAGGGGAGGGAAGGGAAGGAGCGAGGAGGGGGAAGAGAGTCGAGAGTCGAGAGAGCCCTCTAGGAACTGGATTCAAATGAATATGATCAATCTCTCTACTATAGGCAGAGAGAAGAGACATTCATCCCATCAGTCTGGGTAGGATTTGAAGTTACTTTCCAGAAGCGAAGAGATATTGTTCTAACCCACTCAATAATCTACTAACAATGATTGACAATGACTAACAATAATTCTGTTGCTTACTGTATGGTTATAAAAATGCACAAAATATTACAGTGTTCTATTTGAGGCAATTTTTAAAAGCAATTATTTTTATTAAGTTTCTTTTGTTTCACATATAAGCATTAAGAGATCACACACAAGAGATCACAAGAGGGTTTAGATAAAGAAGGCCCTTCAGCTAATTTAATCTCAGAATATCCACCCTGCTACCCTTCCATTAAAAAACTACTGTATAAATCATATTATTTTTCCAATTATTTTAGTTTGCAAATGTTGGTACCATACAACTAACTAACTAACTAATGGAGACATTAAACTGTAGTCCGATCTGCCTATTCAGGTAGATGTTAAAGATCCCATAATACTATTCGAAAAGAGAGGGAGTTTCTTCTGG